ACGCTCGCTCACTTGCTCGCACACGCAGCTCCGAGTGGCTGGCTTCTCGTGTTTCCAAACCCGCACAGCGCCTGGAATTTGGTCGAGCCGAAACGCAAAGACATTCGCGCCTCATTCGCCTAAGTGAACACGCTGGTTGCTCCTTCGGATTGGGTTCCGACATTTTGACTTGAGATTGGTCGCAGTAAGCCTTGATACCTTACCTGTCCCTTGCCATCTCGCTCCCCTCAGCTCATCTCCCAGAACAGTCGCCGCTCACACCTGCTCATCGACCACTTGGATCTCGGATTCTACAACCTCCTCGGTGGACGCTCTGGAACAACAACATCAGCAGCGTTACTTCACTCTCTTTCGGCAACAGGACTCTTGCATCCGACTCTCTCTCTCTTTCTCTCTAGCCCGGGTAGCCACCCACGCTTTGTGCAACATCGCAACACCTTTGTCTTCGTTGCAAGCCACAGGGATCCTAGTCAAGGTTTCCACCATCAGCTCGAACATCTCTGGAACTTGCATCTCAACTTAGCATCTCGAATCACCAGCGGCCCCCAACAAGTTGGCACCCCTCTCCAAATATCGAAACCTTGCCAGCCTCAAGCTTGCCATAGAGCTCGAAGCTATTCTGATCCGGACCAAGCACTTCAAACGATCGTTACACAATGTCGAAAGCACAATTCTTGCGAGAGTACAAGCTGGTCGTAGTGGGCGGTGGTGGTGTCGGCAAATCGGCGTTGACGATCCAGTTCATCCAGAGCCACTTTGTTGACGAGTACGACCCGACGATCGAAGATTCATACCGCAAGCAATGCGTCATTGACGAAGAGGTCGCGTTGCTCGACGTGTTGGATACGGCAGGACAGGAGGAGTACAGGTAAGTTGGACGCAAGCTACTCGTCCGACGGCTGGAATGAATTGACATACTGACCCTCTTTTGCGATTGCTATCCTGCCTTTTTACGTTGCGGTGCCTCGCTACACAGCGCGATGAGGGAACAATACATGCGAACAGGCGAAGGGTTCTTGCTAGTGTACAGCATCACATCTCGCAACTCGTTTGACGAGATTTCGACATTCCACCAGCAGATCTTGCGAGTCAAGGACAAGGACTCGTTCCCCGTAATTGTCGTCGCCAACAAGTGCGATCTGGAGTACGAGAGGCAGGTGGGAAGTCACGAGGGACGCGAATTGGCCAAGCACTTTGGATGCCGATTCATCGAGACATCAGCCAAGCAACGGATCAATGTGGACGAGGCGTTCAGCAACTTGGTACGCGAGATTCGAAGGTATAACAAGGAGCAGACCATGGGCAGACCGGGTGCGGCTGGTGCTGCGACGACCTCGGGTGGCATGGAGCGTTTCCAGACGGAGGAGGGCTCGCATTCGGCAGGGTGCTGCAAGGGATGTGTCGTTCTCTAGGCGTTCTTTTGGGGTCTGTCTTCAGCATTAGATTCTTGTTCTCAAACCTTATTACAAAGCGCAGCGAGCTGCTACAGGGTGTGACAAATCTTGTGTGCTTGTTCATTGAGCAAGTGGACGAAGGGCTGGGCTTGGACGACGCTGTCGCAAGCAGCACACGATACGCCTTATGGTCATCCTTCTTGCCTCTTCTCTCAAAGCTGACCATGCCGCTGCGGCTTTCGATGGCATCCTTTTCATTCGGGGGAGCTATCTTGCGCGTGCTGGGATCTCGTGAAACCATTCGAGGCCGTCAGAGCTCTGTGTGTCATACCGGGCTTATTGCGGGTGCGTTCCGATGATACGAGGACGATGTTGTTTTGATTCGACCACGTGATCTATAGCACACATCCGAAAAATTCCATCACAGTGTGGGGAGGGATGAAATCTAGCAGACCTGCGAAATTGCAAGACGCGACTTTTCAGCCGAGAAAAACACGTCTCATGCTCGTACTTGCGCAGAGAGTGTGTTGGATTCGCGCAACGAAGCAACACACCCTGCAGCTCAAGCGCGCGCATCTTTCGATTTCATCATCTTGCTCAGCTGCTTCCATCCTCCTTTTCTCTATACCTCGGCGCTTCTCGAACAGATTACTACCGTCATATCGATTCAGAGAACATGGCACCATCACGCGCATTCGGTTTCTCCTCATCATCGGCCTCTTCTCGACACGCCAACAAAGCACGACCAGTTTCGGACGAGGAAGATCACTCCGAAGCAGACGAAAGCTACCGACGAATGAAAAAGAGCGTCGCCACCACAACCATGTCCTCCTCTGCTGCTGGCAGATCCTCCAGTGCAGCACCTCGCTCCAAACGTCCTCACGAATCCGTCGCAGCCGACTACGACTCTCGATCCGTCAAGAAGAGTACCTCCACTTCTTCTTCCCACAGACCCAGGATGCAGCACGACGACTCCGGTGCCGAGGAGGACGGCGATGTCCCCGGTCTGTCGGACGAACTGCTCATGGAGCGTAGAGCGTACGATGAGTGGGTCGACAAGAAGCTCTCGAAGCTATCCTCGAAGCGCGAACAGTTGCTCGAGGAACGACTCGAACGCATCCGCTCCGAACGCGATGAGATTCAGTCGCAGTACGACGAACTTCGACAGTTGAGGGACACTGCACCTGAACAGGCGCTGGAAGAGTTCAAAAAGACGGCAGAAGCCAGGTACCGACACGACAAGGATCTCATCAACTCTCTCAAGGCCAAGATCGAGGCTGCGGAGAAGCGGGTCAAGGAAGCGGAGGGAGGAGCAGTGGCGGATCGAAGCATGAGCATCCTCAACGCGAGTGTCCGGGAAAGCGTCCATCCAGCTTTCGACGATGCGAAACTGGAAGAGCTCAAAGACGCACACCGCAGAGAGATGCTCGAAGCCGAACGCAAACAACGTCGTCTCGAAGAAGACGTCAAATCCTACAAGCTGCAGCTCGAACAAGAGATCGCCCAGTCCAAATCGCTCCGATCCAAATCCTCCGCCAACGCAGAACCCTCCTCCGCCGCATCCACCTCGCTCGCCGCCTTTGAAGACGAGAAAGCCGTGCGCAAGCTGTACGAGGACCTCACCGGTCTCGTCGTCACGGGCGTCGAAAAGATCGACGCCAACGAGCCGTTCCGTCGCTTCAAGGCGATCTTCGCGCAGGAAGATTACTATTCGGTGTTGATGGATCTGGAAGAATCGTCATCCAAACTCTCTAGCGGGAAGAACGGTACCAGGGCTGATATTGTTTATGTGCCCAAGATCGATGATGATAGGGATGGAGAGCTGTTGAACAGCCAGATGGTGCCGCAGGAGTGGTTGGATGCGTTGAGGTTCGATAGGAATATGCTGTTCAAGTGGTACGAGAAGACGAGGAAGGCGTTGATGACGGACAAGGCGAGGTTGAAGTTGAGGGCGAGGGAGGAGAGGGCTGGTCGTCATTGAAGGAGAGGAGATTTCGAGTGGTTGCTTTGTCCTTGAATTGGTCCTCGTCACGCAAATATATCCCGGTTCCATGAGACAGCGTGATTCCCGTCTGCACAACCTTCATGAACGAAACCCGAACACGAACAAGATCACACTCACATCTTTTACAATTGCCATCACTCGCATTCCTGCATCCGCATCTCGCCCCTCAAGCAGGCGAAGGCCTCGTCATCGGATCCGTCGTCTTCGTCACCCTGAAAACATCTCCCACCCTAACCACACCCTCCTTCTCCCTCGGCACACTCAACATGCCGAAGCAAGGTTTGCCCTTCTGCGCAGCCAGCTTGTCCACCTGTCTGTATTCCTGCAGCACCCTGTACGGCAGGAAGTTGTCCCTGACGCCTGTCTCGGGATCGATGTTGGGAACCATGCAGCGTGCGCACTTTGCCAACATGTAGATTCCTGCTCTACCTTGACCCTCCGCCTTCTTCCCGAATGGGGCGTCGCCGGAAGAGGACGAGGGGAAGAGCTCGGCTGCTGTCCAACCGTCTTCTTCCCAAGCCGAGAGGGTGGTGGTGGAGTTGGGAGCGTTGTCGACGATGATGTTGGGACGGAAACGCGTGATGGGGAGAGAGGAGAGTTCTTCCGGGGTCCAGTATTCGCGATTGACCGAGGGTGGCACCTTGTATGACTTTGCGTCATCACCTTCACCAGATAGGGAGGGATAGACGGAAGCAGTGAGCGTGCGTTGGACGTCCCTCAGACTTTCCGCGGAGGCGACTAGACAAGGAAAAAAGTCCTGGTATCGAAGTACGGCGTCTTTCCACTCGACGCTGCCGTCCGGCTTTGTCGGTCCGGATTCCCTGGGAGAAGGTCCCTTCCTCACCAGCCTCACCTCTTTCCCAAAGTACGCCGACAGCTTCTCGTCGGCTTCACGCGATACAGCGTACCCATCGACGTACGAGCCCCAAATGAAGATCCCATCCACCACCTCGTACTTCTCCAAATCCTCCTTGCTAGGCTGCAAGCTCACCTCTGCTGTACTCGCAGCTACGCCGGTCTCTGACTGCGGGATCTCGATCACCAGCTTGTTGCTCTCGTGGACGATCCTCGGGTGGATCAGCACCATCTTTGGCAGTTCCCTGGCGGTGTAAAACTTCTTTGTATTGGCATCGATGATGAGCCATGTGCGATCGTATTGCAATCCTTGATGGTCGAACGGTGCCTCCTGAACAGAAGTGCCGCGACACGATTTGATCGGATGGATGAGGATTTGCTGGACAACGAGGTCTTTTGTGAGCGAATCGGCGTGGGCGTTTGTTGCCGAGGCGTTGGATGAAACGAGCGCATTCTGGAGCATGTCACTCGTCGAAGTGAGGAATGCCCGACCGGCTTGGGCGATGGCGTCCATGATTGCTGTCTGCGTGGTGGCAAGCGCCAAGAAGTGAGTCAAGAAAGGGCAAAGGGAAGACAAGTGGGGTAGATCGTGGTAGGTGGAGGAGAGGAAGGAAGACAGACGCTTGAGCCATCATTGAGACCGACCAAGGCGCAGGGTCCAGCTCAAGCAAACCCGCCGCCTAAATAACCGATGCCCGGCAAAACCAGTGTTTTGCGCGCTCTACGTCCCAGCTGAGCTTCCAAAATCGATCCCACCGGCTCACGCGATGTAGGCAGAACACATCACGGCCTTCAGTCGCCCACCACAGCACACCGTGAGGTGACTGCTTCTACTGCGAGGAAAACAGGTTGACTACTATTACACGCAAGTATACATCAGTGTACACAAGGCTTTACTGCTACATGTCTTTCTGACAGCGCGGGCTCACTCGCGATTCGACGGTGGCGGTTCGTGGCCACGCGGGCGATGCGGGTAAGGCCAGTATCGCGAGGCCGCCGCCGCCTCCTCTCCCTGACTTGCTCCGATTCGAGATCCAGGCGCGACGCCGCCACGTCCAGGTGCGGGGAACGTCCCCAAAATAGGAGGCAGCGATCGACCGGCCGCGCCCAAAGAAGGCAGATGAGGTGCCCCCACTTTACCACCGCTCGACGCGGACAGAGACGGTAAGGACGGTCGGGGAAGGCTTTGCGATGGGAAGCTCGAGTAAGGGCTGTTGGAGGATCGGTAAGCGCTGCCAGCCGAATATCCGCCGACCGCAGAAGATGCGGTGTGTCCTCCAGCTGATCCAGCCGAGGTGGGGCCTGGAGACTGCGAGTACCTCTGCCACCTCTGCTCGTACGAAGGACGCTCCAATGTTGACGAAGGCAGAGGTGCAGTGAGCGGACCGTTCGCAGACCTTCCCCTGCTGGCCAATGCACTCGAAGCCGACGCCCCGGCAGTGCTGGGATATAAACTTGCGACGCCTGGTGTCCCGTATCGACTGTATCCGTGACTTGCACCGAATTGCGCGCTCGTCGGAGAGATCTGCTCACCGCTGCCGTCGTGGCGTAGCTCGCCAGAGACGGCAGGAGGCATGCTGTGCGACTCGTGCTCTCGCGACCTACCCGCCGCGCCGTACATGCCGTAACCAGCTCGTTCACGCTCGCGCTCGCGTTCTGCTTCGGCGACCTCGCTCGATGTCAAGTGGCTCGGCATCGGGCCTGTCCTAGCAAGGTGACCAGAACTCGACACGCTGCTTGGCGGCATCGAGTATCGGGACGGCGGCATGCCACGATCGGCTGGATGCGACGGCGGCGCCATCGATGCATACGCGGATGAAGGCGAGACTCGGCGTCGTGCCTCATATGGCGAATCGTAGACCCACGGTCGCGATTCGCTAGCTTCTTCTCGCGGATCACGACCCTCGACAGGAGGTCTTTGCGGCTCGAAACGACCGTGCTGTCGGGCCCGCTCTTCGAAATTTTCTCGACCGAGCCGTCCCTCGGAGCTGATCGTATGCATACCATCGATGCGGTCGGCGGTGAGCGGCCTTCGCTCCTCCAAATCGTGAGACTGCCTTGCGTACAGCGAAGGCGGCACAGATCCATCCCGTCCGATGGTTGGTGGCGGAACGTCCCTACGATCCGCCTGCCAGGCGTGCAGGGAAGATCGTCTTGCTTCGCGGTGGCTTGTAGCATCGCTTGTGTCGTTGAGCAGCGAGTTGATCTGCAACCCACGACGATGCATCGCTGGCTCGGGTGATTCGTCTCGCATCTTGACGTCGATCCCATCGACCTGACCCACAGAGATGCCAGGTGGTGGCGGCAGGTGAGTCATTCGGCCCCCTTCGCTGCCAACTCCAGGTCCCACGGACCCAGAAGCAACCATACCAGGGCCAGCCGAAGGCAGTGCGGAAGCAGAGTTGCTCGCAAAGCGCTGGCGCACAAAGGCGAGCGCAGCTTGCTCACGCTCCTCGAGCGGCGCATCGGCGTGCGAGCGCGCCAGAGCCGCTGCTTCGGCAAAGTCGGTTTCGTCTTCGTTCCGGGCAAAGTAGTTGCGTGCCTGAGCCGTCGACTTCTGAGCCAAAGTCGATGACACAACTTCCCATCTGGGTCCATGCACAACGAGTGCACGGAGGAACTCGTATCGTTCTGCGACAGACCAGTACGACGAAGTCGGCTGCTTGCCGCGACCTTTGCCGCCGCCGACCTCGCCGCCCTCCTCACCCGGAGCTGCTGTTTTGCTGCGACGCTTCTTGCCCGCTTTGCGACCATCTGCGTCCAGCTCGCTGGGGGAACCGTCAGCTGTGGTGTTTGCATTTGCATCGCCGGAACCTGGCCCTCCGAAAAGACCAGCCAGCGCTCCAAGGGCTTCGGCTGCAGCAAGATCGCTGTCTTCGACTCTGGGCTTCACCTCGGCAGAGGCTGTGTCGTCGTCGACCCCTCCAATGAGCGTGGTCTCCTCGAGCGTGTCCGCTTTGAGTGCAGCCTCGGAAAGGACAGGGTCCCCGGCTTTCGCCTCGTCCAGCGCTGTACTGTCCTTCTTACCTCCCGGGCGCTGTTTGCGCGCCTTTTCGGTAGCGCTAGCACTGTCCGACTTGGCACGCTTCGATTTCGGTCCAGGTTTGCGCTTGTCCGGCTTCGCATCTGACCCTTTCCCGTCAGCATCGCCTTGGTCAGCTTGTCGCTTACGGCCAGCGACGCTGTCTTCGCCAACACCAGCAACACTATCGACGGTCGACGTAACCATTCGACTACGACCACCGCCTCTGCGACCAGCACCAGTCACGGGCACATCGGACGAAACTCCCGACGGATCCGTCGCGTCGACAGGCGAACGGAGCCCGGAACCGTCCTCGGCTTCGTCAACCTCCTCACCCTTTGCCGACTTCAGATCAGCCATGAGCGCACTGCCCTTGGCCTTCTTGGGCTTGACGCGGGCTTTGCGCTTGCGCTCCCGATTCCTGGCAGCTGCCAAGGCCTTGAAGTCGTTGCCGGGCGCCTTCTTGTTGAGGTAGTAGTAGCGAACGCACTGCGAAGGTGTCTTGTGTGGCAGAGCTTGAGCGATTTTGCCAAATTGCTTTGGCCATAGAGCATAGCGTCGCGCAAAAATGGCCTTCTCCTCGTCGGTCCACACGTCAGGGTCGAATTCGTCGAGATAGAAAGCTAGTGGATCCGCCACAAAGCCGTTGATGTCGTCGTATCGGAGCTTCATGAGATGGTCCGAATCTGGGTCGATGTGCATGTCGGGAGTGGTGGCAGTGGTTCGCGCAGCTCGCATGTTGGGATCTTGCATGTCTGCATTCTCCAAGCTGGCGAGAATCTCGAGGAACTCGGCCTCAGAGCGGACAGCATCGCCGAAGCCGGCAAAACCGCCAGTCTGAGCGCCGCGACGATTGGCTCGTCCTGTGAGAAGAGAAGACCCCAGCAAGCCTCCACCTCCTCCACCAGGCGATGTTTCTTCCGCACCGAAAGCGCCGGGAGTCCCAGCTGGCGTGTTGATCGGTGGTCGACGCAACATCTCACGGCGCTCGGCGCTGCGGTCGAGACGCGAGCAGTGCAATTTCCACTCTTCGTTGATGCTGCGATATCGCTTCTTGAGCGCCTCTGTCTTTTCGTTGAGGCGCTTCTTTCGGTCGAGCAGCTGGGTGTAGAGCTGCGCTTTCGTTCGCTGTGCTTGGTCATCGCCTTCGTCGAGCCAGAGCGGCTTTTCCGAGCTGATCGTCTGGGGAATGCCGTAAATCTTGGCTTTGAGCACGTCCATCGTCGTCCTCTGCGAAAGCATTTGATTCTCCCGCATGATCTTCTTCCAGTCGTCCTTGTGAGCAAGATCTATTGCAAAGTGCTGACGAACAGCGGCGTTGATTGCGCGATCCACCTGCTCCTGTGTGGTGGGTGTCATCATGGGCGGTTCGACCTCCTTCGCAGCGTCATTGATTTCGGCGATACGCAAGGGAGGCTCCACCTCGTCAACTGCAGGCATCTCGACTTCTTCGATGCGGGCCGACTCTTGCTGCATGAGAGCCTGCGCTTCCTTGTCATCGCCGTAGTCGACGTGCGGGAGTGTTATTTCTTGCGTTTTGTTCTCGTTGTCGATCGTAGCAGTGACAAACTGACCGGAAACCTGGATCTGCGAGGATGGTGCTGGGATGGCGTCATCAGCGCCTGTCTCAGGCGCGGACATCGTGACGTCGGAGGAAGCGACTTTGACAGGGGATGCTGGCTGATCCTCGAGGACCGTGGCCGAATCCTCCATCGGCGCGCCGGTCTTTGTTGTCCGTGTCGGGACTGCATCAACTGGATCTGAACCAGCACGTTCATCGCTCATGGACACGTCGCTGATTGGGGCAGCTGGTTCCTCCTCAAGCTTGACATGCACCTCTGCGGGAAGAACGGCATTCGCCGTGCTGTTTTCTTGTTGTGTTGCCGCGTTGCCTCCATCGGCCGTCTCGGCGTCGGTCAGCACGGGCTGCGTTACAGAAGCATCCGCCGGCGCTGACAGGCTGTCTTCAGCCTCAACAAGTGGCTTTTGGTCCTCCGTATCAACGTCTTGCCGGCTAAGAGCCGTCACGTCGATGAGCGTGTCCGTTTGTTGACTGCCGGAGACGACGTCTGCTCGTTTCTCCGACGCTGATGGCTGTGGCAGCTCGGTCGACTCGACAGCGCCATCGGCTGCGGTGGCAATCGATTCTGGCTGACTATCTGCGTGGACATTAGTCCCAAGCAGGGCGCTTCGAGTAACATCAATATCTTCAGACGCCTGCTGTGGCTCTTGATGTTCGGGAGCCGCATCGGAGATGTCGACATCGCCTGTGAGTTCCTTGACTGACGCGATCGAGGTGGAAACGGGTACGACCGTCTCGTCGATCATTGACGTTGCAGCGTCGGAGGGCTCCGCATCTACACTACCGCTCGTGGGAGCAGCATCGCGTGTCGGATCAAGATCGGCAAGAGGAGTCGATGCATCCACAGCCGCTGATTGGTCTTCTTCAGCAGAAGGCATTTCAATGTCTTCGGGCTGCGCGGCTCCTGCTGTTGCAGTTGCTGCAGCCGCCTCCTGGATCGCAGGGTGCCCAACCTTCTCCTTGCCCAAATGACCGCTCTCTGGCGCTTCACTGGCCAGCTCCATAGATCCGTCAGCAGAATCGGGGAAGACAGACTGCGCATTGGGAGCAGATGGCGGAACGTCGGCGCCTGACGTTTGGGTGCCTACTGCTGCGCTTTCGTTGGCGATGTTCGCTTGCGCAGCTGCTGCTGATGGCGCTCCGGCATCAGCTTGCTGATCGATGCCGTCCACAGTGCTCGGCAGCTGTGCATCAGCGGCATTTGACTGAGCTGAGGTGCCTTCTTTCGAAGACGGCAAGAGGTCTGGTAGCTGTGCGGCTGTTGCGGTCGGCTCGTCTACTGACGTCGACTCGGGCGGTAGCTGAGGCTGTCCTTCACTTTCTTGTGCAGCCCTTTCGATGACGGCAGAGCCGATTTGTTCTTCAACTGGCTCTGAAGGTTGCTGGTTGTCGCTGGTCTTTGCTTCCACGCTCGGCACGGACGCAGCATCACTCGCGGCTGCAGTATTCGAATCCACTTGTGCGAGCTCTGGAGACTCTTCCGTCTTCTTGTCCTCCACAGCTTGTATTTGCGCTGGTTCTCCAACGTCCTTATCCAGTAGTGTGGGTGCCATGGTTGTCGGCACATCAACTTTTGTCTCGTCAGCCTGCACGTCTGGAACAGCGGTTGGAGCGTTCGCTGCTTTCGATGGCTCTTCCCACTCCTTGCCGATGCTATGCCCGCTCGTTCGGATTTCGTCGTCAGCAGCATCTTGCTCTGCAGACTGGGTTGTCCGATGCGACACGTCTCTGCTCCTCGTCTCACTCTTCTCGGAAGCGAGGTCCGATTCAGTCGGTTTGCGACCTAGGTCGTTCGATCCGGCAGGTGGAGGTGTCTGATTTGAACGTGGTGCTGACGGACGTTGCGAAGTATCAGAGCGTGCATCGTCAGAGGCTGGGTGACGGACGGTCCCTGCATCAGAGCCCTTTCCCCACTGACGCATTCCGCCATTGCCCCAGCCGGCACTAGACGCTCGCACGCGCGGATCACGCTCGCCAGGCCATTCGCGATCTCTATCCCTGGATCTATCTGCGTCGAAATCACGATCTCTGCTAATATTTGGCGACGGAGAAGCCGCTCGTCGGCCGTTGAACTCGCGATTGTCGAAACCGTACTTGGTGGAGTTAGAAGGCGGATACGGCGAGTGTCGGTATGCGTCTCGGTCACGCTCGCGATCCAACGTCGACCAGTCTCGGTCTCTGTCGCTGTCGCGGAAAGAGTCCCAATCTCGCTCCCGATCGCGCTCGCGGTTGGCACCGGGCCTGTAGGTGTCGGATCCGCGGGGAGTAGCGCTGGTTGGTGATGCGTACCAGCCTCGTCGGTTGTCTGCTCGCGGTGCTTGCCCACTGAAGCTGTTTCTAGAAGCTGACGGGAACGAATCTGGCCGGAGAGGATCGCGAGGGTAAGAATATGCTGATGCCGAGCCGTACGAGTCCCGGGCTTCTGCAGAGTAGCCAAATCGTGGGCGCTGTGGTGCATAGGATGAAGAAGGGCCGGGCGACGTTTCGTGGTACCGATCGCCCTCACGATCTCGACTCGAAGCTGAATGTCTTGGAGACAGATAGCCGGCAGTGTTGGTGGTCGACGGCGCCGAACTCGCCTTCTTGTCGAATGAAGGATCAACGAGCGGGGTGAGACGGTCAGCAAGGGGAACGGGGCGTCCATCGGCACTAGGACGAGAGTAGCTCACCTCGTGGTTGACGCCGTCATCTTCTGCAATCTGGCCCTCTTCATCCACCCTGAGCATGCCTTCTTCATCCTCATCGTCATCCCCGGTAGCCATGTTGGCGTCTTTTGATGTTGGGTTGTCTGCGTGCTGACCTGATATAGGTTGAGGCCGGCTCGTCGGCAATGTCGAGTTCGTCGGGCCGCCCGAAGCTTGCGACGAGTCGTTCGCCTCCATCGCGAATCGTACAGAAATATGACTATCGTAGCATGCCAAAGACAGAAGCAAGACAAGGTCGCGGTAGGTGGTTAACTGAGCCGAGGTCGCTTAGGGTGCGATTACTGTGCAAAGAAGTGAGCTCTTGCGAAGCTGATGTCGAACTATGCAGGCTGCGGTGGGTATACGAATCGAAGCGGCCTCTTCTGTAAGTGCCGGCGTAAGGCGAAGCAGGTATGAACAGGATGAAGGACTGGATGGATGGATGCTATGGAAGAAGTACGTCTATCAGGTACAAGTTGGCCATTTGGCTCAGTTGGCTGGGAAAGCCAGAAACCTCGAATTTGGACGCGACACCGGCGGATTTTCGGAGCCGAGCTGCCTCTACTGCGTTCTCTGGCAGAAGCCTGCGAAAGCCAACCAATCATCCCTGTGCCGATGTATGCTGGATCGACATGCACCCCGCCATGTGGGACGTATGCAGTTGGCGGCAGCAACGGCGACATCAACGTTGAGGCTCTACCTATGCCTTCACAGATAAGCGCCACAAAGTATCGAATTTGTCGCGATGCTTCAGCCGACGGAAACGCTCATGCTTGTGCGTGGAAGTGCAGCAATTCCTGTGCGAGGCAGTCTGACAGAACGAGGACCTCACGAGTTACGACAGACATTGATGCACAGATCTCCTCAGAACGATCAATCTTGGTTTCTCAGGGCAAAGGACCAAGCAGTCTTTGGCAGACGCTGTCGTTTCGGTCCTGGTCAGGATGGTATCACTCGAACATACTACCTCTTTGTCAGTACAGGAACAGGGCTGACGTGCTGTTGCATGAATGGATTGCGGTTGCGAAAGCATGCTGCATGCGCAGACAGTCATATGATGAAGAGGCGTAATGCAGTCGAACGTGTGGAAGAGTTTGTGGAGCTCCGCTCAAACCTGACCGTGAGCGACTTTACATGGCGTACTTTCGAGTCCATTCACGCGCGGTGCTCTCGTATCGCTGACGATCCGTCTTGTACAAGTTGGCGATCTCGGGAACGAGCGGGTCATCGGGATTTGGGTCGGTGAGCATCGAGCAGATCGAGAGCAATACCTTGGAGATGGTGAGAGCTGGAGACCACTGGTCCCTGAGAATGTCGAGACAGATGCTGCCGTTGCTGTTGATGTTGGGGTGGTAGATCTTGGTGGAGAACGAGACTTTGGGGGGCTTGAAGGGGTAGTCGGTGGGGAAAGTGATCGAGAGGAAGAAGACACCGCCTGCGTAAGGGGAGTCACCAGGGCCCATGATTGTCGCCTGCCATTGGAACATGTTGTCACCGGTAGGACCAGCGCTGCAAGATGAAGGTGGGTCGCGACCGAGGTCGGCGAGCTCCTTGTTGATTCTCTTCATAGCCATTTTCTGTGTTCGGCGAAAGATGAGTCCAGTAGAGAGAAGGAGACAGTCGAAAGATCGAGAGAGGTGAAGGTGGCAGAGTACCGGATTTGAGACAGGCAGGTGGTGTAGCGATCGTTACGAGGCACATAGAAGGAAAACAACAGTCAGTACTTGTGTCTGCGAAGTTTGGAAAGTAGTGTCGGCACGCAGCAACGGGCGCGCAAGTTTGGAGAGACACGGATTGGTCTGACCGTGACATGCAAAGAAGGCGATCCATCGAATACCATAGATCAAACTGAGCCGGCACTCCTCTTCGATCCTCCTGGCTGATAAAGACGGCGAGACGTCCAGTTCTAGACCTGCACGATAGCCGTGGCAGAACGCCGTCCCCAGATCGTCGAGTAATGACACCAATCCCATGACAGCATCGTGCTGCCTGGCGGGGATAGGCGACGCCGAAAGGGTGGTTGAATGCGTAGTATCGAAGATGTGCGGTGCCGGTTTCGATGATCCGATGCAAATGCCTCCATGTCCTCTACAAGAAGTGATGTGTTCGCCACCGGACATGCTGTTGTCGAGATGAAACTTACTGCAAAAGTGTGTGCCTAGACGTAGGCAGTCGTGACGATGTTCGGATGCTGGAAAGATGTTGAAGCTTGAATGCCTTGATCCTAACAGAGACTCGAGTCAATGCAACGACAGATGCCAAAGCTGTTCTGGTACCGTTGCTGAATGCTGTATGTGTTGTGGTGGAGATAAGCAGAGTCTCAGGGCCGAGCGATGAATTTGACAGGGCCAGACGACGTCGACGCCTCCAATCGGCTCTGCACGGCGAAAGAAACACATACACGCCTCCCGCACACTCACACCTCTGTCTTTCTTTTCCGCAATCACATTTGACTGTGCGCCTAACGAATTGAGTGGCTGCTGAGCCAGAATTTCTGTGCCGTTTTCTCGACCCAGCGGACAGCAAGCAGAATCAAGAGTTAGCGCAGCTGTGCCGAGTGAGCCTTGCTGAGTCTTTTGTCTGGATCGATCTCTTTCTCTTCGCTGTGCCTTTTGTTTCGATTTTGAACCTCAAGTCGTAATCAACCCATTGCCTCTTGCTCGGAAAGCACACAAAGCTGCGTGGAACCAATGATTTTGCGCTCAAAAATCGTCTCGAGTTTATCTGCATTGTTAGGTCACGAAGATCCATCTAAGAAGCTGGAGGAACGACACAGCGACATACACGTTCTGTGTCGGCCGGATGAAGCACCGACAATGTACTCGCAGCCTCACGCACTGTCTGTCAGACGAGATGTCTGCGAAGGATCTCGTCGACTGATGAACATTGGCTATCCAGAACAAGCACTTCGAGAGCATATACAGCCGAAGCCGAGCCGGTTCGCTTGAACATGGCGGATTGTTCAGACGGGCAAGCTCGGAGAACGCGAGGGGATCGTCGATGGAGTCCTCGCGAGCTCATGTACCACGATGCGTTGCTTTGCAGCATATCTGACGTTTCCGAGACTTTATTACCTTGCCGTGCAGACTACGACTTATCGAGCTCCTGTACACGATGGGGCGGTTGAATGCTGCATAGTAGTAGGTGTTCGTGATTACACGGTATCATGAAGAATATACAGGTACAAATACATATGGAAAGCCTCGTTTAGAGAGGAAAGGCTGCGACTGCAAATGCGACGGAGACTAGGGCATGGTGAGAAGGGTGAAGTGGTACACAAGCTGGGCCTCGGGTTGCTTAGCAGCCAGCGAGATCCTTGGCATCCCTGATGCGGGCAGCCATGTTGGACCAGTTGGGTTGCCTTGCGGCGGGTGCTGGTGCGGAGGCGTCAAGAAGAACTTGGAGTCTATTGAAAAGGATAAGGGCAACATTCACGAATGTGGTCAGGTTTGCGGTCCTTACATCGAATGTTGTAGCTGACTGGGCACGTTGAGACTTACCTGTTCTTGGACCAGAGACGGCCGTCGAGGTTGCGCAGGGTAGTGGTGGCCTTGACAGCGGTAGCAGCCGAGGTCTTGAGACCAGCGGTTGTAGCGGAGGAAGCGACAGCGGCAGCAGCGGGCTGGCGGCCAAGAGTGGCGGACAGACGGACGGCGGAAGCGATCATGGTGGGCGATGGAGTATCTAGGGCTAGATGGTTGGCTTGGGTGATAGAAGTGCTGGGCAGTTGGCAGTAGGTAGACTTTGGAAGAGCTCAGATCGGTGGGTCGAGGACATCTGCAATGGCAGAGAGAGGGTCCAGTATATATGCTCATGGTTCAGCTTACTCTACCTCAGCAACGTAAGCCGCCTCTAGCGTACACAGTGGAGCCATCGTGAGGACTGGGATGCGAGACATTCATCTCAACAAAGGGGATTAGCACAGTCGATGCAGGCGGGCGAGGTCTGTAATCTTCTTCATCTGGCGGGAGGACATCCCGTTGTGTGACGCCTGGAGGGCCTCTGCACTCTTCATGTGGGAGCGCGTAGGAACAAATCCGCTTTTGATGCAGTTCACCACTACATTGGCCAGCGGGGACGTGGTGACGATTCACAAGTGGTGAAAGCGGGGTGTCGGCACCGGTAGAACCAACAACCTTGTCACAGCAGCGACTGAGCGATCCAGCATTAGGCGAGCATATGTTCCTTGATCGCGAATACGCGAGCTCGACGGACGCACAAACTGATGGACGGTGCTCGTGTGGTCCTGCAGCTGCCCAGTGACGACGTCGAACTGAAGATGAGAAAAAGGTGTCGTCTAGTGCACACGGATGCGTGCTAGCAGAGTCTCACTGGAGGACACCCTCGATCCCACCACGATTGCGCGGCAGCTGTTCCTGCGGACTTTTTTTTTCGTCATTTTATTTTCCCACGATGACGGCACTGAGCAGTGAATGCCTCGCACGCACACACACGCCCTGTGCCCATTGGCCCAACTTCTCCATCTCCTTCTCATTAACTTAGCTTCGTTTGTGAAACGCGATGCCCGCCTAGTGCCTCGACCGCCGCTTGGTGACGCCGGATCCTTCTTACCAGGGTCGTGGATCCGACCATCGCCGTCGCGATAGGTTCGCTGGTATACTGTCTGACATATCAATCGTTTTGGCGCGCTCACTATCACAAGCACGCCTTGCGGTGGATGGACTTTGGCCCGACGGAGACACGACTTATCAAAGTAGCTTGATGTTCACTGATAGAATGCCCTCGACCCTGTGGCTCATTGGATGCTTCGATTGATGCCAGCTTGACTCGGCATACGTGACTTGCAAAATCCACACGAACCATTGAGCTGTTTAACGCTTCGCCCGGGCAGTTACGCAGCCTTGCTGGCACAAATAGCCGACGCAATAAAGCGAACAGTCTGCACGACTCGAGATGGTGAGACGGGCTGATCTGATCCGGGACGACAGTGTTGCAGAGGAGTGCCATAGCTTGTGGCCCAAAAATCGACACCATCTGCCAAAGAAGGCTAGCGTGAAATCCGAGCTAATCACTGCACAAGCTCAAGCGAGCAAGCGAGCGAGGAGGCGAGCGTGTGGAGAAAGAGAGCGCGCGCCAGCTGCCGCAACATCATCATTTCAGAACAAAAGAATCTTTGATCGCGACCCTCATTCCACCCCGCCAAGCGAGGTGAGGAGGGGAGCAAGGACAAAAAAGGCAGCGGGGCAATGTGAATATCTACCTGGCGGACACACACCGTAGGCGAGACCGCGATCATATTGAGCGAGCACCCCGGCTCGAAGCACGGTGACGAGTTCACATCGTTCCGATCATCGCTTCAGCTTTGTTGATGGCATGGCATCGTTCGAACGATGCGTTTCGCGTAGAGCAGCTTCTCCTCCTCGCGTTTTGCCTTTTTGAAGACTTGAAGAGCTCGATTACCCCGCAACGCTGTCGAAGGTGTCAGGCCTCCTCGACATTCATCGTCTCGAATCCGGGGTTTCGCTTTTCATCCCGGCGTCTGAGTCTTAATTCTTCCGTTCCGTGCGCCACGCTGATGATCTTCCTGCAACCGGAGAGTTCCCCTCGTTGCCTCGTGGGACTGTCCGTTTCGAAGCAACGGATCTTTTCTTGCACACAACTACAATATGTGGGTCCAGACCTCGAATGTGATGTGCACAAAACAATGATTGGGAGCAGATATGATACGGATAATTGACATTGCGAGAGAAATAATTGAGGTCCATGCGGAAAGTCATGAGAAGGGACATGATATGCGTCGTTACGTTTTCGTTCCGGAGAAGCGAGGAGGTCAGGTGCGAACTTTGGTGGGTAAGAGCGAGAAAGGTTTGTAATACAGTAAGAGCCGGCATCCTCTGCATCAGAACCGCAGGAATCTGCCTAAACCGAAAGAACGACTCGGTTCATCAGCATCGGCCGTCGAAGGATCAGTTCCCTGAGCAGCAGTCTCTACATCGACGTCCGTCTGTCGTGCGTTCGAATCGATATCGGCCCAGTTGAGCGAGGCACCCCGATTGCCGGCCGAAGGCGATCCAGCTTGTGTACGCGGTGGTGTAGGCCCGCCTCCGGCACCGAGCATGTCCCTCGGACCGCTCGGACGTCGTTCTTGAGCTCGGAGCAGAGCTGCTTGTGCTTCGGCCGCAGACGAGGCACTTGCGACTCGCGGTGACGGTCTCCAGCTTGCAGAGGCAGGAACACTAGATAGACCTGAGCCACTGCCTGTCGAAGGCAGCTGCGAATGCTCCGGCTGAACCTGGCTCAAATCGACGTTGCTGGCAGAGCCGGGTGACGGAGTAGACAGCGAAGGTGCTAGTGCTGTGGGAGCAGGAGTAGATGCGCCTGGTTGCAAAGAACGGATTCGACGGCGTTGCGGAAGAGCTCTAGAGGCATCCCCTGGGGTGTCGTTGAACTGTTGTGCAGCCGATCGCGTTACTGCTGCACCAAGAGATCCGCTAGGATAGTATCCACCTGCCGGTTGGTATTCCTCTGGCATCTCCTCGGGCGCTTCGACGTCTCCGAACGGATCTTCTTGCAAGCTGTCGAGACCACCCGAGCTACGAGGTCGTTTGCGTTTCTCCAATGAACTGCCACCGCCGGTGGCGCGACTGCTGGTAAAGTCGCCTTCGGAAGTCGCTGCTTCTGCTACGTCCGTGACAATGCTGGAAGCCGTTTCACCGCTTCTTCTTGAAGGGTAGTAAGTGGCATCGCCCGTCCGAGCAGATTCATCGACGCCAGCCGCACCGCGCGTACTTGTCGTATTGTCTCGGCTGAGCAGGCCACTCGGACTGTAGCTGGCCGCGCCCGTGGAAGCCCCACTGCCCAAGCTTGCATCGGTCCTCGGGCTGACGCCACCACGGCCGCTCGAAAGGTAGCCGGACCGCGAAGAGCCGCTGCCCGTGCTGCGGGAGCTCAGTTGCGCTGCAGCACTCAGACTGTCGAGTCCAGAATTGTCGCTCGCCGTTCTGCGTCCGCTCATCGACGAGTTCGAATGGCTAGCAGCATATCCGCCTCCCCTCGAATTCTGACTCGACAGGCTTGGATACGAGCGCTGCCTCGACGACGCTGCGGCTCTAGCAGCAGCTGCTGAGCTGAGCGCAGCAGCGATTCTAGCTTGCTGCTCACCGCTGCTTCCGGAGGCTTCCTTACTCGATGCGTGGGCAGGTGAGCTTCCGCTCGTGCCGTGTCCCAAAGCTGATGCACCATACACGCTGGCTCTTTGACTGCTGATCTGCGGCGCCAGACCTGACGCTTCGCTGGTTTCGAATCGAGATGTGCGTCTCGATGGATGAATCAGTCTGCTCGAGTCCTCCGATACACGAAAAGGCTGAGTATCGTGACTGTCGCGTCCTTCCAAATCGTCGTCGAGGTCGCCAGAAGAGTCTCGAGGAGCTGAAGCAGCCGGTTGATCTCCTCTCGATGGGGAAGAGGTTCCAGGAATCCATGCGTATTGGCCCATCGTCAGACGACGCCAGCCAGCAGCTACGCCGCCTAGGATGCCAGCACTTGCATCACCAGCACCGGTGTGATCGGCGCCTGCTAGATCTTCGTCGTCTTCCTGAAGCCCAAGAGTTGCCTCTCCAACGTCTGCCTCGCTAGCATCGGAATGTCGTGGCACTTCCGAGCTTCGGCGTATGTTGCGAGGCGAATCAGGCGGCGTGACAAATTGACCGGATCGCTCAGACAGTTGACCTTCGCTTGGACGTCGCTCCGCTCCCAAAGCAGGCGGTTGGTCCTGTACGCTATAAATGGGCAGACTCTCCCCACCTTGAGCCTGTTGCTGCTCGTAGACAGGAAGAGGCGAAACAATACGTCGTGAACCAGTCGAAGCAGCGCCTAAGGATCCAGAATTGCCGCTGACAGCACGGAGACCCGGCGGCACGTCCTGCGACGAGGCCGTCCGATTACCCGTGCTTTGGCTGGCTGTCTTTTCGCCATCGCTCCTCTCTCCGAATTCGCTGACACTAGGGATGGTCGCGAGTCGAGTGCGTCCTGTCGCAGGTGCGCCCTGGCCTAAGGCTCCAACTGCGGGCGATGCGCGTTCGGTAGCGACGCCTGACGATGGTCCCTCCTCGAGCTCTGGCGAAGGCTTGTAGTCAGGGCCCAAGAGATTGCTTCCAGATGAGATGAATCGACTGTAACGCTCCGGATCCGTGGAGCGCAGATGCCGCAGCTCGTCTTCTGACATGCCAGAGGCGTGGGATGCTCTCAAAGCTGGATTGCGTCCTGAATATGTGCTGCCTTCGCTGTCCCGGTGTCCGGCAGCCAAAGCCGCCAGCCCGCCAAGGGCGGTACCGCCACCTAGACCCAGTAGCGCCGGACTCAATCCACCCATACCAGGCGTGTCACTATCTGATGTGTCCGTAGAGAGGCGCGGATTAGGGCTGTTCGAACCAACAGCGCCAGGTGCAAAAGTTGTACCGGACGTTGGAGGGACGTTGCCGAGCGTCGAAGACGCTGCGTTCCTTGGCGAAGTGCGTGGAGCTCGTGGAGGTGGTGGCAAGCTCGTCCCGCTGCCACTGCCACCGCTGGTCGTGAATCCACCAGTGCTGTTGCTGCTGCTCATGGTGACCGCTCCACCAGCTCTTTGAGTCTGAGAGCTTCCTGTGGCGCCCGTAGCGTGGCTGCTTGATCCTGTTCCTGAGCCTGAACCTGAGAAAGCACCCGACGAGGCCGGTCGCGACGTGCTGCTGGCTGCCGCGTTCGCCAGTGTCAATCCATGCCCCAGCTGGAATGGAGCTCTCGATGGACTTCCAGGATCCCCGCTGTCTCCTCTGCGTCGACCGGAGTAGTACAGTGCTGCGCCAGAAGGTCCAAGCATTGCCGCAGCGGGACCCATCAGCCTGGGCGAAGCCTCGCGCATCTCAGTGCCAGATCCGTGTCCGCTTCCCGGCGAGTCATGGAATGGCATCAGTCCACGTCGTTCGGCCATGCTTCCGTCACCGAGATCGTCGTCGCTGAGGTGCTGTTCTTCCTCGATCTCTACACGAGGCTTGTCTTTGTTTCTCCTAAAGGCGGCACCGAAGAATCCAGCTCCCGCCGCAGCGAGACTCGCGAAGCCTGCCGTTCTGAGTCCGTTCGAGGAGGCAGAAGGAGTAACATTGGCAGCAGAATAGCTGGGGCTTGCCCGGGTGGCGGCGGGATTGGAGCCTCGTGATCTGCAAGAAGCCAGGCTTGCGGGTCGATCAGGACCCAGTCTTTGACCGCCGACGACGAAGAACCCAGAATTGGGACCACCTCCGCTAAGATGGTCTTCCTCCCAATCGTCGCTGTCGAGGCTTTCTCGACGTCTCGCGCCGGCAGCAGCGCTGGCAGCGCAAAAGCCTGCAGCGCCTGCCCCTGCTCCAAGAGAAGCATAATTGCCGCGAGCGCCCCCGCCGGCTTGCGAACGCGATCCTGATCCCGTCGCTGCTGCGAGAATCGAACGCTCATGCCGTCTCTTTCGCCGCCGTCGCAAGCAGCAGAGCAGCAAGAGCAGCAGCAAGAGCAAGGCGAAGAAAGCTCCAAGCACAATGCCGGCAATCTGGCCGCCAGATAGTCCACTACTGGACCGGTTTTGAGGATTCGGTGCCCCAGCCGCTGTCGCTGAGGGGTTGCTAGAGGTAGTGGCTCCGGATCCTGTCGTAGATGACATGGTCGTCTCAGTGTTCGTGCTGCTCGGCGTTCCTGTATTGGTAGTTGAGATGATCGACGATGGTGCCTGCGTTGCTGTGAGGCTAGTCGCACTGCTTTCAGGCGCATTCGTCGACGCTGTCGGTGCCGAAGAGTTTGGCGGTAGGCTTGTTGGAGGGGCTGCTGTTGGTGACAGCGGCGTCGACGGCGCAGACTCGGCTGTCACCGAGCCATCTTGTGTGCTGGCTGCTGTGTCGGTCGTTGATGGGGTTAGTGTCGGAGAGGTGGGCGGCAGGGTTGTCGGAGAGGTTGCTGTTGGTGTTAGTGACGTCGAGGGTGCAGACTCGGCTGTCACCGAGCCATCTTGCGTGCTGGCTGCTGTGTCGGTTGCTGATGGTGCCGATGAAGAAGATACGGGCTGAGAGGCAGTCGGTACGGCAGACGCTGAAGGCTGAGAAGATGCTGCTGGGGTCTCTGTGGCAACGCTACTCGCAGCTGCGCTTGTGCTTCCTCCTGGCGCATTAGATGCTGTCGTCTGCGAAGGCAAGATTTGTCCTGGTGTCGTGTAGAGCGTTCCTAGATCTGGAGCTGGGAAAGGCCCCGTATAAAGTAGCGGAACGTTGACGACCGAATATTCTATCGAGGTGGTCGTTCCTCGAACGGTGCTGAGCGTTTGATAAGGTCCGAAGGCGCCCTGCGGGTCATAAATGACTTGGGTGATAACCGATGTGTACTGGATGACATTGGTGGCCGCTGCAGAGTACGAAAGGTAAGAAGGCAGGGCCTGGGCTGTCGGACCTGGCCCTGGAGCCTGCTGTGGGAGAGTTGCCATGCGATGACGAGTCTAGCTGTCGAAGCTTTTGGTGGCTATTGATGGCGATATGAGCTTTCGAGACCAGCTCGTGAGGTATTGGGCCGGGCACAGCCCGGGCCAGCGATTGTCTGTATTTCGCAACGCAGCTCAGTCCAGCTGTATAATGGTCGAGGCGTCATATCAGGGTGAACAGGGCGGGCGAGATGGGGAAAGAAACATTGAAAAGCCGTAGGCGTTCGTGTTCGTAAGGATGAGCGGTTGATATGAGAGAAATGTACGTGAAGAGAGACGGAGATGGTGGTGAGGAGTGAGTCAGTAAAGGCGCTCTCCAGCGTGAGTGCATTGCCAACTCAGTCTCGAGACGACCCAGGACTGAATCAGGAACCGCAGATCTCAACCAGTCTCGTCCAAGCCAGGGCAGGATGGAATTCTGACCAGAGATACCGAGACTCATCGTGAGAGACAGGTACAGACGGCAAGCCTCTCCTACACCGGGAAGAGAAAGCGACAGATAGCATCGCGTACTTACAGTTGAGAATCGGAAATGCGTTCCATACGGCGCAGCCCAATGGACGGGGCTGAAATAGTGCTGAGATATCGTCAGCCCGAGGGCTATCGCTGTCGGGCGGGGCGCGAGCTGGGCTGAAACGGGAAGCGCAGAGTACAAACAAAAGCCTACAGAAGCACGATGGGCCATGCGTCTCGGAACCAGTGACACGTTTCAAAGGTCGAGGAGGCTCATCGGACGGCGGACTGGAGGTGAGGAAGCGAGGATGATGGAGGTGCGAATAGAAGTTGGAAGACGCAGGCGGAGCCAGGGACGAGGCTCTGAATCATCGAAGTAGCTGTGGGGCCGGTCAGCGCGAGAGAGACAAACAGGAGGGCCAAGGGACGTGCAGCCGCGTGTAACCTCTATGAACACACCTGCCGATTGATCTCGGTGTGTAGCTGGTGCTCGAGACTTTGCTCATGAGCGGGTCATGTCGCTTCTCACAACATTTTCTTTCGCAACCTCAATTTTGCTCAAGCAAGCGAGTCGGTGCGAATGTCTTTGAGGTCAAGGCGTGACCGCTGATGGAGGGAGAGAGCCGGCAACTGAAATTTGACAGGTACGCCCAGCACGGCTCGGAGGTTGAAATGACGTCCGGCTCGTGAGCTCCTGAAGATTGGCGTACAAGAGCAGAGCAGCCCCTCTGCCATGAGAAAGCTACCATCGACAGGGGCATGTTCGTCTCTTTATCCGATTGAGGAAAGAAGCAGCACAGCTTGTAGACTTTGCACAAACATTTCGGCTGCACGTCGCTCCTATCCTGCATATTTTTGGCATCATCTGAGATTTCTCTTCTCAGGCGCGGGCGCAATCTGACGTTTCCACTTCCAATTAGGTTTCCGCCTTTGAGTCCAACACTTGACGCGTCTCGGACAAGCGGCACTGGTACGACAAGGCGACCTCGCACCGGACGATTGCTGCATCAAGCCCCTGTTTGCTCCTCGACCTGAGAAAATAACATGCATAGCCACATGGAAACAGATCAGAATCCCATCGCATCGTCCACGATCGCTGCAAATCGGGAGGGCTCGAAGTCTGGAAAAGCATCACAAGCTGTTGTGCGTGCTCTGGCCACGACCTTGGGCAACGTCTCTTCCGAGCCCACAATGAGGAAGTTGTCTCTGCCGAGGGCTTCTGCCAGCTCGACCTGATGATTGTCCATCAACGAAGTGTTGGGCACCACTACCAGTGCGGGTGGCTTGGGGCGCATCCTCAATGTGTCTAGGATCGTCCCTGATCCAGCATGACTGATCACCACGTCTGCAGACCGGATGAATGACTTGATGTCGGGAGCGAATTGGAAGAGATGCAGATCGATGCCGTGCTCCGTTTCGGCTTGTAGTGCTGCTCCTTGAAGCGCCGAGCTTGCTGCGCTGCTAGTCAGGCCCTGCATGGCTTTCGCTTCGTCGAGAATGCTTTCAAAGATGCCTTTGCCTGCACTCCTAGCCTCGTCGATGTCAGTGAACGGGCGGTTCGTATCGCGTAAAGCAGTGCGAAGGCGCAGACCTGAGATGCTTCCTGTCATTCCAGGATCGAGACCTGCGATGTTGGGACTGCTTTGATACACCCTCCGGCCATTGACGATGCGCAGGCCTGGTTCGGGGAGGATTTCGCTTCCTTCGTCTGCCGATGCGAGCGCAGACGAGGTCAGGATGTCAGCGATCGATGAGTTGCCGTACTGAACAGTCAGCCGGGCTCGAAGGGCACCGCGTGATGACGGGCGGGGTGCGAGTTGGGCAACTGCGTCTAGAAATTCATTCGAGAGGACGGCTCGGATGAGCGAGTCGAAGCGCGTCGTACCGACAGTGACAAAGAGGCGCAAATGATCGCGTTGCTGAGCAGCATCAGCAGCATCTGCCATCGCACCGTCAGCTGCTGCCATTATAGCGAGAGATCGATTGATGTGGCCATATCGGGTCGGATCGTCGAGGCGTGCGAGATGGTTGTCCTCTCCAGATCAGGAAGAAGTGACGGAGGAAGCTAACGGTGTTTTTCGCGATCAGACCTCCACAAGGAAGAAACGCGGAATCAGGGTCCAAACGGGAAAGGTCCAACTGCGCATAATTTTCGTGTTCATCTCTTCAACTATCGCCAACCCGATCGGCAACGTTGATGAGGTTGCCTCTCGACCACACGCTTCACAACCGATTCTCTTAGCAGCACTCGGCTTGCTTCGTAGTGTTGTACGATCCCGCAGACATGTCGGTGAGTTAAGCTTGCGCCTCGTCGAAAGCCACTACTGAGATCAGGACCAGAAGGCTGATGAATTATCAACTCTCCCCCACTTCGTGTCGTCAATTCGGGCATCCGCGATCGAATTGGCTTCACATCGAACAGGCGGACAAGAGCGGCTCTGAGTCGACCCGATGGGTGACGCTGGTCAGCGAGGTAGGTTATCTGATGTCTGTTACTAGCTTGCACGGGTAAATGGCCATTCATTGACGATCGTCTATTCACGTTTCCGTCGCATTCGTCGGACTCGCTCTTCAATGAACATGCCCGGCGGTCATAACGCTCCCTTTCGTACCTTTCTACGACGGAATTTCTGGCTCTCCAGGACGGCTATCGATTCCTGGTCGACAATGCTACTGTGATGGCATCTCCGACGATCAAAACCATGCTCTCCATGGGTGAAGGAGGAGGATTCGCAGAGGCAGAGAGCAACACTGCGCGGCTTCAGATCCGAGGAGAAGTGCTGGAAAAGGTGATCGAGTACTTGCACTTCAAGACCAAGTATGGGGCAGCGGCAGACATGGACGTGCCCGACTTCAAAAACCGTATCCCACCCGAGATCGCGTTGGAGCTGTAAGTCTTTCGCATCGTTGCGGCAGACTTGGCAATCTGCAAAGCTGACACCGTTGCATTGCTTGTTTCGCGGTCGCTGCGTTTGATTCCTTAGGTTGATGGCTGCCGACTTCCTAGAACGTAAGTTGTGTTTGTCACTTCGGCGCTCGGTGATCCCATTCAACTGACAATTCGTTTCCTGATCGTGTTTGGACAGTCTGACCGCTCGCAATCGAAAAGCAAGAATGAGATGCCGCTAGAACACGTTCAATCCGTTCGTAAGAGGCTGTGTCCGTGGTGAGCCCGGTCGATGCTTATAAGCAGCCCTGCTCTCAAGGTGCATGGTGTTATCAAAGCTATCCCTGCATACAGCTGCGGCTTTGAATGAGATTACCGATCAGAAGCTCGAAGACACAGCCGGACTTTTGTTGTTCCTGGATGCACGCTTGATCTGTACCGGCCCCACGTTTGTATCTCAGCCCTGATGACAGGTGCACTATGAACAATGGCGATCGCGTGCATTGACGACGCGGCGCACGGGTCTGGCTGCAGCAGGAAGCAGATCGAAGGTCAAAGATGGCCGATGTTCCCACGCTATGGATCCGATGCAATCCAACCGAGACGTGAGACCTGCACTTGTTTGATGGTGAAGTTCTGAACACGATCAAAGTCGAAGTCACCTTCATGACAAAGTGCGGCTACCGTATCTGCTCTAACGCTACTTTCCTTTACCAAGCGGGGACAGGCTCAAGTCCAACTCGGTCGGCTGGCAGCACCAGCGAGCGCGTCAGCACGCGCAAAATTCGCACTGTAAGAGGCAAGGATGCGATACAACTCCAGAGCGACAACCTGTTCGCGCTTGGTCGAATGCAGCGAAAGACTGCGCGTGTCAGGCTGGACCAAGCCACGCCAACTTCAGAAGCATCGGAATCAAGCCGTGACTCGCCAGGTCGGCCCTGCCGCCTTGCCTCCGTGTTTCGGCTCCTCCGCCCGTTGTCGAATTGCTCTTGTTGCCGCGCTTGTCTGTACCTGCCACGGTGAATGACACTGCCACCTCGATGTAGGCAAGGGCACGTAACCGCTTCGATGGATTTGCTGACACTTGTGCTCTTCATTCAATGGAATGTATCTTTCGGGAGCGGAACGAAAGGTATGGCAAGAAAAGCCAAGAAGGTTTGTTGATACCCTGCACGTCGAAACGCAGCCGAGCAAACAGAAAGCACTTGGGCCCAGGTGCTTCGGAAAACAATTTATCATATTATTTATAACAGTATTATAAATAAATGGATGCAGAAGCATCCTTCGTATGCAGTAAACGAACACCAGACCGCGCTCTAAAGTTGCTACAGTGCACACACTATGTTGAATTGCGACTTCAGGCTGTCTGGTCTCAGCCTCCGCTCCGGTGTCTCTGCCTAGACATTCTATCTACTCGCCCTCCATCATCCGCACACTACCGGCCTCTTCGATCCTCAGAGGACGCGACAATCTGCCGTTAAAGATTGCATCTCTTTGCAGCTGCCTTGCACTTCGCGTGCCAGCATCGTGTTGCGTGCGTCTCATCCGCTGAGCCGCGCCTCATCTTCACGACCTCTCGGCTCTTATTTCGCGTTCTTTCGCATCACTCCGAACTAAGCATGTCGACACTGGTACGCGAGATTGGCCGTATCTGACCAGGCAAGCGTCCGCTAACCATGATCGATCCTTACCATCTATATATGGGCGGGCGCCGCTCGAGTGTTCGACAAACGTCCGACTCCAAGGCAAGCAATACGGCGTCCAAGCAGCCGGACGCTTCTGCCTCCGCAACCACATCCAAGGACAGCTCGGTCGATTCCAGGTCGCAGCAGAGCTCTTATCTTGGCGGCGACAGTCTTTCGCCCGTGAGCACCATTTCGACCGACCATGCCCCCAAGGCGAGCCTGGCGCCTTCTGGCTCGCCGAGTAGCGCCGCTTCTCTTCCGCACAGGCTGCCCGAATTCGAGCACTTCCGGCAAAGCAGCCCTTTGATGCCCGAGTTCTACCCTCGCACCTCCGAGTTCTTCAGCCAGGGTCGTCGACGAAGCAGCATCGCCGTCAGTCCGGAAACGTCTGCTGCATCAGCGTCGCTGGCCGCGGTCGTCAGTCCTGCTCCTGCCATTCAGGAGGCCTCGATCCCTCCTTCTCGTATCGGCGGCGGCGGCAGCGTTGGTGGCGGCAGCAACATGACAAAGAGGGCCGACTCGTTCCATCTACCTCTCACCTTTGAGGAGCCCGAGTCGCTGCTAGGTGAACAGCTTCCCGTCCGCCTCGGTCTCGCACCGCCTTCTCACTCGCATGGCTTGTCAGCTACCGACGTGACCTACAAGGCGCGCGTCGGTCATGGATACTACTTTTTCACGCCTCCGCCGGCACCGCGTCCTCCACCGACGTCCAAGTCGTCCTTGCGGCCGTCGCTGCTACGACGAAACACGGACGCTTCGGACAAGTCGGGCCTCTCGCTCAACACAAGGGTCTCGTCAACCACGCCCGTTCATTCGAGTCCATCGTCCATCTCGCCCAGCACGGCTGCCACATCGCCGCAGCGTGCGCGCGCCAACAGCTCCATCACCAGCCTCCCTGCACCGACACTCGCGGCTCAAGCCAGCAGCTCCAAGGCCTCTGCATCGTCATCGCGTACTCGCTTGCCTCCGCCTTCGCCAGACTGCTGGGATCCAGAGGCTTACTTTACCAGGACACGATCGCGCGTCAAAGGTAGAATGCGCGAGTTCGTCTACCACGCCTTTCCCCTCTCGACGGTGCCTTATTGGCACGGCTACAGCAACGAGACGATCGAAGCCGAAATGACGACCCATCTCAACGTCAACGCCGCACTTCACGGCAACACTCTCAGACACTTTCCCGAGGGCTCGCGTCCCGCTCGCGTGCTCGATCTGGGCTGCGGTAGGGGCGTTTGGTGCCTCGATATGGCACGCGAATGGAAGACGTCTGAATTGATCGGTCTCGACGTGGTTCCGATCCAACCACCGATGCATCAGCTGGCCGATGCGGACCTCGAGCGTCGCGTCAGCTGGGTTGTGGCCAACTTCCTCGACCCTCTGCCCTTTCCTGATGCGAGCTTCGACTACGTGCACATGCGCTTTGTACTTCAGGGTGTGCCCGAGGATAAGTGGGTGGACATCTTCTCTGAGGTCAGGCGCATATTGGCCCCGGGAGGCGTGTTTGAATTGGTCGAGGGCAACCACAGCTTCTTTGGCCATGCGAGCCTCATCGATGTGCAGGAACTCAAGGACCTCGAGCACGGTCGCACCGCGACAAAGATAGGTGTAGGTGTCAAGATGCCCAAACGTCTCAAAGTGCTCAATAATGGCTCCGATTCGACCGACATCGATGCGATCGAGGTGGTGCTGGAAAGGATGATGCAGAGGCGTTTCATCAACCCGACGCCATTGTCGGTGATCCCATCGTCGTTGCTGCTGCCTGGATTCTCGAACATCGCCACTGGAAATCCTCGCCACATTCCCGTGTATGCCGAATCGAGCGCGCAACGGGCACGCGCGCGTGCTGCAGCCGCAGCGTCCGGCAACGAAGCCGGTGCTTCCTCCGCCAACGCCACTTCCAGCGAAGATGAGACCAACCTCCAGGACAAGTACACCAGCCGGAGTCAGATCGGCGCACCGCTCAAATCGGGATTCGCCATGACCGATCAGGACCTCTTCAGCGCTTTCACGATCCTGCAACAGCTCGACCACTTCTCTTCCAGTCGAGAGCTCGTCTGGGCCGAAGCCGAGGAAGAGAAACGAAGCCTTCAAGGTGTACCGCAGCCTCCACTGGCACCCATGGACAACAGCCGACGCTTCGGTCAGGGCAATCCTGCCGCGTTGAAGCCGTTTGCACATCCATGGAAGTCGAAGGATGAGTTCTTCCGAGCAATCGACGCATGGATCGAGTCGACGAAGGCGTCAGCGGACTTGGAGCACATGCTGCGCAAGTATCTGGGCTGGGAACAGGCGCATGATGATCTGACGGTGGAAGGGCGAAAGTATGCAGAGAGGAGGAGGAAGATGAGCGTTTCGTCCGCGGCGTTTCCCTCACTCGGGCTGGACCAGCTTGCGATGGATGGGGCGCCGGACAAGGCAGATGCCGGGAGCAGACAAGACTCGCTGGCTGCGTCGCGTGATGCACGAAGCTCGGTGCTGAGTCCTGAGAGTGGATCGACGTTTGCAGTTTCGACGACGCATGCGCACGAAGCGCCAGCTCGACTCCAGACTACCCGCTTGTCCGCGCCCGACGCTCGGACAGGTATGCAAACAGATGCGCAAGAGGCCGATGCCAGCGGCAAGGTGGTGGACAATGGTAAGAAGAAGAAGAAAACTTCCAAGCGGCCCAGCAGTAGCGGAGGTGTCGGATCATCAGTAGGAAGCAGCGGCGGTCTTGGTGGTGGAACCTTTGGACGGGCACGAACGTTCGGGCGAGGAGGGGCAGCCGCAACGGTACCGGTGCCCCTTCCTGACGCGCCTGCTTTCATGACAGGGTACGCATTTGGACCGTCGGCGACCGACAGCATGTTTCGCGGACCCGCAACCAAAGCTGCCATCGTCGCGTCTTCTCGAGGCGGTGCAGGTGCCGTCATGACACCGAGCGGAAGGAAAGCTTCTGTCGGATCCAGGTCTTTTAGCGATAAATCTTCGATCTCGGGCAAGACGGAACGAGAGGACGCTAAGTCTCAAATTCTGGACAGTGGTGCGTCCAAGATGGCCGCTTCGCGTCCTGCGCCAGTGACGGAAGAGCCATCGCCTGCAGCAGCCTATGCGGCTACGCAGCGTACTTCGCACGGATTGGAGGAAGAATATCGCCTGCAAAGCGATCGAGTTCCCGGAAGGAGGTCGTCGAGACCGGTAAGCCCTACATCGGGGATTCCGTCTTCCGGCGTGCCAGCACCTGCGCCTTTGGAAACGAAAGCCCGTTCGTTGTCTAGTGGTGCTGCGCTCGGCCGAGCGTCGATAGGAGCACCGCAGGCGGATTCGCGCTCGGTCAGCATGCCGTCGACCATCGTGGCTGGTCAAGCAGGAAGTGCTGGAGGAAGTGTGAGGATCGCAGAGCCAGCGGTGAGACCTTCGAGGGGCAGGTCGGCGAGCAAGTCGAACGACAAGGCTGTGGCCATGATCGGATTCTACGACACCACTGGATTCATAGCAATAGCGTAACTTAGCGCTGCAGAGCATGTTATAACTCAAATCAATGATACCCTTTTTTTCGTTCTCCCGACTTTGATAGAGAAATATGACTGATGGTTGCGATGTCAAATTGCAAACGAGGATGAGAAGGTGGATACAAATACATGCGGAAAAAAGAGATTGTTTAGATGACCTCGACGACCCTTGTCTCTGCGTCCTCTTTCAACGCCTGTTCCAGCCGTTCTGTCAGCTGCTGGATCCGTCTCAATCCGACGTGGATCAATTCGAGCAAGAGAGTAGCTTGTACTGGGCTACCGTATGATTTGTCCAGGACGCAGATTTCGCGCTGTGCGTTGAGGACGAGAGTCAGCTTGGATTGGGCTAATGACTCTTCGAGCAGTGTTGGATCGAGAAGTGCTACTGTTGTTGATGAAGATGTAGGGATGGAGGAGTTGGAAGTTGGATCGATGAGATGCGAATCGGGTTCGTCTTGTGTCTTTGCGGTGCTGGTGGAGGAGAGGTTGTTGAAGATGGCAAAAGTAACACAGAGGGGAGTGTGATGGATAGCCAATGGGATGGGGACTCGTTCGTCGATCGAGTAGAGACGAACTTGATTTCCGTTTTCGATCGAGTAGTCTGGACGTCTGAAATGTCGTAAGGACAACATGGAGCACAAGACTGCTGCGTCGAGTGCTGCGCCCGTATCCGACAGGAGATGCACTGTCAGATGAACGTTCCACACCTGCTCGCCCGCCACTACACACAGCGCTTCCCTGTCGACCGCTTCGGTCCTCCTGACGGCCTTCTCGATCAATCGATCAAACAGCACTTCCCTAGCTCGAGCCGAGGAGTTGGCTCCTCCTCCGGTGGAATCGTATTCAATACCCGCCATTGGTGAGATGTCTGTTGTGATTTGGAGAAAGCCTTCGTAGGGTCGATCTGAGCGTGGTGGCATGAGGGTTGCGCGAACAGAAGTGGAAACGCGAGTTCCTTTGATGGTGACGGTGCAATTGCCGAGCTCTTCGCCGAAGCTGATGTCGATGTCACGGGTGGAGAGGAAGGATCGTCCGTCGGGTCGTATGCCGTCGGTCAGACACGAGACCATGAAGTCGGACTCGGTCACCGAGGGCTCTAGCATCTGACCTGGCGGCATCTTTGACTGCAAGCGCTTTGCGAGTGGTTGCGATAGGTACTGCGAGACTCGGGAGAGAGTGGTGATGAAGATGCAGTGTTGGTCAAAGCGAAAGCGGAGCTGTCGAGAACAAGAAGAAAAATTCCTCGACGCTTGACCCTTCTTTCTTGGTTTCTGTGGAGGCCAAAGCCTACCCGCGGAATGATTCACACTTTAACACTGCGAAGCTTGTTTTATGAGACCTAACACTTTCATGTCCGCCGTCGTTTGTGGATCATCATACCAAGTCTTGTCTGGATCGACAGCTGCAAACGAAGCTCACGCTCTGATTCGAGCCGCGGTCACATTGCTGCAATACATTAGGTCCACATCGCTAGCTTGGTCGGAACGGAGAGACGAGTGCATAGAAGCGAAGGGACCCAAAGTCAACGTTCCTGAAGCAACTAGACTGGATGCACGCCAGTGCAGCATGGGAGCAAACGCCGTTGCACCTTGATCTCACCGACGTGCGTATACCCTGGCTGTCGAGAGGAGGGCAAATTCATCATGGTGGGTGTGGCCAGTTGATTGCAAGCAGATGATTGGTCCATGATAACGACGGCATGGAAAGGGTGTACCAGCGAAGGTACGCTCGTCTGTCAGGCACGAAGGACAACAAGGCCATGTGTGTCGATCTGATCAACGGAGTCAATTACAATTTCGGAGACCTGCAGATGTCCATTGCGAGCTGCATCTCAAGCGGCAGCGTCAGCGTCAGATGGGGTGCCCGCTCAGCTTCTGAACAGTGCAGTAGATTCCACCTCTCCGAAACAGTACGACGGATTCGAAAAATGGTGGCACAACCGCTTATCTCTTGGCTAATTCTTATCTTTTGGGGGCAGAGGAGCAAACACAGCTGCCTATTGTAACCAACTGCTGCCGTTGCTGCTCTTTCTCTGCAAACGGCATTTCGATCTCAGCGACACCCACTCCTGGCAAGCCATTGCGGGTCTTGACGAGGTCCTTGTGAAGAAGGGAGCACGGGCTGTCACTGGTCAAGCAGCTGCCTCGCCAAACAACACGACTCGTCGCAGAGGGGTTCTTGGCGAACGTGGCCTCTGTGCTCAGAGCGTGATTAGCTTGAACTGCACATTTGAGCCCCAGCAGACCACGATCTCAGTCAGCCAGATTGGGCAAGCCAAACGACGGCACACGAGTACCGCACCGTGCCGAAAGCGAAAGCTCTGCTGCCATGGCATCCATCTACCGGGACCCCCGACGAGCATCTATCTCCCTCGACCAAAGACGAGTCAGATCATATCTAACTTGTTTGATTACTCTTGAACAGATTTTGCCTCTCCTCGTGAAATTGGCAACATCGCATGGGCCGCCATGCCGACAATGTGATCGGAAGAAGAGGTGCCTGAAGATGAAGCTGTGACACGAGCTACGATGTGCATGCATGGCTTCTAACCGTTATCTCTGCAGGTCCACTCCTGCCTCAAAGAAGGCAGGCAGTCTGAAGCGCGTCTCAGCTCTCTCTCTGCGGTTCCCCACTTTGTTGATTTCTATTTGATAATTTTATTAAGCCTTTGATTTTCCAACCACGCAGACAGTCCCGTGAGACGGCTCGCTTCGAGATGACGATTTTCTTGGCTCTTTTGGCCTGGCTCTCTTCCTGCGCTGTCGGCTCTTGAATCACCCGATGGCGTAGTCGCACATCTGCACTCTTCGGCTTACCCGCTGCCAGATCACTTGGCTCCTTTCACGCCATCCGCTGTCTCCAATCTCTCGTTCTCGCTGCACGACTTTCCTTCTGCGCTACCTTCCATCCACTCCACCATCTCATCTGACCACTCACCTACCAAAGAGCTCAGACACCGTCGACTTGATCGCTGTCGCTTCAACTCGCCTCCACATTCATCTGCGGCCCAACTCGATTAAGCTGCGTCCACCGATTCGGCCCGCATCCAGCAGCCCTCACCAACCCACCCTTGTAACGCATCTTCGCACGCAGACTTAGCAATCATGGTTCTCGGATTCGGTCACCATTCTCAGAAGGATCACGCTGCCTCCAACGAGTCGCGAGGTCGTGACCCTATCATCGCCACTGGTCGTGGCGGTGCCGGTAACGTGAGTATTGGCGCAATGCCACAGCTGCAGCACGGCATCGAACGGCGGCTACGGTTTGCCGACTACCACTTTGCATGCAAGCCAGTCGCTCGTCGGGAACCTGCATTCGTTGAGTCAACAGCACTGACCAAGAACCCTCGCACTTCTCGCCTCTCTTTACCTCGCGACAACAGATGGTCCGCTCTCCGTCCCGATCGCGCGATCGCTCCGGCAATGCCATTTCACGCGAGGCAGTCGCTGCCGCCGCCGTTCCCAACCACATGATCTCGAGCGGTCGAGGTGGTGCCGGCAATGTCCGATCGCCTTCGCGCGACCCTCTTGACCGAAAGAAGGCTGCCGAAGCACAGGCACGCGAGGACAAGCTTCAAGAAGAATACCGCTCCCACGACTCCAAGGTGGCACACTCGACTGGCCGTGGTGGTGCCGGCAACATTGCTACCACCGGAGACGCTGAAGAGCGTGGACGTGGCCGCGACTCGAACGGCACTAGTGGCGGAGGAGGTGTCGCAGGTGTAAGTGAAGAATGAAGCATTCATTCCCTCGAGCTGTCCGGATATAAATGGAAACCAAGTCGATACCCAAAGCCTCAAAGATCGCCTTCTGCTTTGGAAAGCTCTGCGTCCTAGCGGAAGATTTCTCGATCGGAACATTCTCACGGCAAATCATGTAGAGCCACCGGAATCGAGCCATTCCCATGCTCTCTTTCCGTGGACACAACATGCTTTGTCTCGCTACGTGACGTTGCAGCAATTTCAACGCCTCATCACACTTGCACGGTGTGATTCCGAGATTTGTGCTGCGGGCGACATGAACGTCGTCGTCAGATAGTGCTGCTGTTGTGTTGTCGCCTATCTCTCTCGCGACTTTGTTTTTCGGGACAGCCGATACCAGTCGAACGGTTGCGCTGACACTTTGTTGCATTCTTCTTGATATCACAGCTGCTGAGGTCGCTGTCGAGGTCTCGATCACGCGAGCCACGAGGCAACGGTAAGGATTCGCCCAAGAACCGTTCTCAGTCTCGACCTCGTGCGTCGGAGTCGAGCAAGCTCGCTCAGGTCGACGAGACTTCGCGCAGCAGCGAAGAGGAGACCGCGTACTCTGCTTCCACCCACAAGGGCCCCAACGGCGGAGTCTAAGAGTTCTGTGTCCATGCTGCTTCGACATGGTACAGGAGCAACGACCCCGAGATGGGGTGTAGAAGATATCTCGTCTTTTGTAAAGATCCTTGTTTCGAGGTTTCCGGATTCGTAATGTTCATCGCTTGGGCTGGCTTGTCGAGTTTCGTGGATGAGTGTGTGATGATGTATGCAACTCAGATCCCACGACTTTGTCCATGTTTTCCCCTCAAGTGGTGCAATTCGGGTTAACAAGCTCAGTTGTCACAGTCGGCATCGGATCCACCATCGCGCTCACACAGCATCGCTCCACCTCACGACAGGTGATCACCGGGGGAAAGAAGAACGTGGTATTCGAGGCTGTGTCTGAATGTGCGATCGAGAAAAGAAAAAGAACAAGCCGAGCGGAAGAAGAGGAGAGGAAAGAGATACAGTGTGAAGCTGGGATCGGGAGAGGGAAGCCAAAGTGATGATGGGAAAGGTATGATGAGGGGCTGCAGAGATGGTTGGGCGGGACACGTTCGACGTTTGCTGTGTATCACTTTACGAGGCTGTCGGTTAGGCTCGAGTGTAGCGCATGTCCAGCGTAGATGCTTCTGCTGCCGGACGTCTCCAGCGTCCGCCACGTCTCTTCAATCCCTCCTCCTTCCCTTCTCTCCCCCTTACTGACTAAGAATCTGCCTAACAAAGCTCTCGTAATGAATGTTGCCGTCCGGGTGAACCTGCACTCCCTTCAACAACTCGTCCATCTCATCATCGCTCAGCTTCTCTCCCAAACTCGTCAACACGTACCTCAACTCTCCTGCTCCGATGAAACCATTTCCGTCCTTATCGAAAACCTGGAAGCCGCGGATGAACTCCTCCGGAGTGCCCGCGGGTTTGAAGCCGTTCGGACGGTTGAGGATGTTGAGGAAGGAGGAGTAGTCGATGTCCTTGGGGGAGGAATTGGCGAGGTCGGCAACTTCTGCCTGGGTTGGGTTCTGGCCGAGGGCGCGGAGGAGGTCGCCGAGCGATTCACGCGAGATGGTGCCGGTTCCCTTTTTGTCGAACAGGGCGAAGGCTTCTTTGTACTCTGCGTCGGACTGAACGGTGGTTGAGGCGATGATGGGTCAGTTCTTGATCGGGTTGAGAAGGAGAAAGGACAGCGATGGGACGCTGATGGACGCGAAACAAGAGCTGGCTTCTGTAGCACTTACCATTGTGAACAACGTTTGTTTCCAAGATGAGGATGTGGTGGTGGTAGGTAGTGGACGGTGATGACCTGCACTGTGCGGAAACAAAGTTGGAGCTGTCGAAACCTGACACGCACAGCTGCGCAATGGCTGCGCCCACCTCTTTCAGGTTGCACCTGCGTGTTGGTCTCGGTGCGGGAGCTCCAGGATCAGCGGAAAAGGGGCTCGAAACTTGGCCCCTATGGACCAACACTTTTTGGCTAAGAGGTGCGGTCAAGACACGCGCGCGGCACCTCAGCTGTGTTCCATCCGCCAGCGGCTAGACGGGTCGAGCGCGGAGGGTGCGTCTCACACGTGACTTTCCGCAATTGATTTGATAGATTGTGATGTTCTCCCAATCTTACAATTGCTCCGAACCAAAATTGACTGGGGAGGCCCGGCAGAGCCCGATAGCTGCTCACCCTAGAATTTGTGAGACAGCCAGGGTGCCGATTCGTAGATCAACTCGTTGGAAGATGCGGATCCGTCTCTCAATCAAAATTTCCAGAAGAACGGCTGAGACCAGGCGATCCGACATCTCTCTCCCCCCGCCGCCGCAACGCCGCTTTCCGCGAATAGGCCGAAGCACCCCAACCCCACTTCTTCTCTCTCTTCACAGTTTTGTCGCCATCACCATCCCACCTTCCTCTTCTCCTCTTCAGTCGAGATATACGTCACAATGCTCTTCGCAAGGTCATCAGCACTGCGCACCGCCGCACGTCAGGGACGCAACTTTTCGTCCACCTCGACAACTCGTGCCTCTGCTCCTGAAAAAGCCTCCTCCGCCATCAACGACATCTCCAAGAAGGCCCAGGAGCTCGGTGGCCCCGCGCTCAAGCGCGTCGAAGGCCTCCTCGGCGGATACTCCGAACCTATCAAGTACAACTTCCAGGTCGCCTCGAACATCGCCAAGCAGGTGTACATCGCCGAATCCCTCGCTCCCCCCACCAGCGTCAACTCGATCACCTCCGCATACCGCCACATCTACTCCAAGATCTCCGACAAAACTTACTGGACCCAACTCCTCACAAAGGGCACCTGGAAACAGGTCGGCATCTACGCGGTGGAGGCTTACGGTATCTTCACCATCGGCGAGATGGTCGGTCGCAGATCCCTCGTCGGCTACAAACTCGACACCTCCAACCACGCTCACCACTAGATTTGCTTCGAGCACTGTTAGCAAATATCAACTCATTTCTTCTTTTCCTTGATCTGCGGCATTAGCTTCTGTGTCAACCTCGCAGAAGTCCTGACGAGCACCGTCCCTTGTCTCCGCATAACACACGCCGCAGAAAAGGCACAGGCGATGGAAGCATGCAGCGTGTACTGAGTTGTGTATGTTCATGACAGACGCCACGATGGGTTCGGTGCTAGAAGGCGACAACTTATCATGGCAGCTCGGATCTGTGCGTCAGAGTCGACCCGAAGAACGCGAGCATAGCTGACCCGCGATACGAACTTTTGTCACCTACGAGGTTGGCCCCGTCCAGTTGGGCAGCCTCCCAATCTCGAGGCGTGGCCCGCAGCGTGAAGCATTCCGCCCAAGACCATCGCTGCGCAGGAAGCGTTGCACTGGCATTGGCGCCATTCTTTCTTGCTATAGGACACTCTGAGTCGGTCACAAGAGTCCAGTCGTAGCCGCGACCGCCGTAGCCGATCGTGCTTGGTTCGCATGCGAAGCTGATCACGTGGCTGAACTGGCTCGCGCTGAGACAGCCGTCTTCATCCAGTTGGCGCAGAACATGAAGTCGCAGTTCAGGGGGCAGATCGAAGAATCGTGAGAATCCCTCCGCGTGCTTTTCGCTTTCTGAAACGGCAGTTCCCTTTTCGCTGCTCCGCACGCTGGCCTTACAGCCCAATGTTCTGGCCGATGCCAAGACTGTCAAAGCAGCCTTGCGACACTTGATGGCGGCAGCCCGGTTGCGGGAGAGACATGCCCACGTCAGCTCGTTGCGATTGATATGCGTGAGCCCCAAGCCAAACACCAAAGCGTCCTGAAAATCGATTTCCCAGTCGTCCAACGTAACGCCGATAGATGTCATGTGCCGCTGCATTTCAGCGGGGATCTCGTCATTGTCCCTTTCCTTTCCATGCAACCGCCGCTTGCACGCCCTATGATGGAAAAACGACACAATTGCCTCAACGTTAGCCAAAGGCAAAGGTGCGTAGCGCCGTCTAATTGCATCGATTCTTGCCGAATCTTTCGCCGTTTGGGCAGGAAGCCAGCCCCCCTCAATGTTGCCCGCGAGCCCAAGTGTTCGAAGATGAAAATTTGGACGTCTCCTTGTCGACTCGAGTATCGTTCGGAAAAGAGGGTCGTCGCGTAGAGCTGCAACATTTCCAGATATCCCGTAGTGACCGTTCGTTGCATCCCCATCGCCATCTCGGATGACTGCAGAGCTGATCAAGCGGACGCTACGCTCGTTGAAAACATTGCCGTTGAGCTGTAGTTCGAGCAGACATCGACAACGCTGCGGATCGGTAAGGAAGTCGGCGATAGATTGGGCGATGAACACATTTTGCTCGTCAGAAGTTTCGTCGTCACCAAGGCTGATCAGACCGGAGAGTTCGAGACACTCGAGTTCCGTGCCGGTGGCTGGAACCGCGTCAAAGAAGGCTGCCAAGGATTGAAGCGAGATTGGGTTGCTCGACAAGGACAAGTCCTTCAGCCCTGATTTACCAACAGCTTTTGCCAGGTCTGAAAGCGTCCCATTCTCGCCGTCGATGTCGTTCGATTTTAAGTCCAAACGACTCAAGGTCACATTACCGGCCAAAAGCTTTGAGATGGCGGGCAAGCAGTCTGATGTCAATCCGTTGTTGGAGAGGTCCAGGAACCGAACACCGCTAAACGACGGCCAGGGATGTGTTTTCGATAACTGAGTTCGAGGCGCAAGGATGTTGAGCCAGTCAATCGATGCTGCATAGCAGTCTGGCTGACCTAGGTTGGTGGCGGCCTCGTCGCTTCCATGGAGGGTGTTGTTGTACATCTTCCGGAGCTGTTCCAGGACCTTTTCCATCCTTGTATCTCCAAGACCGGCGTGCTGGAGGTCAAGGAAGTGATAGTGGCCTACTCGTTCCTTCATGGTCATGATGATGTCGGATACTGAGACTAGATTGTCGTCCTCCGGGAGCGAAAGAGTGCCAAGGGGCAGGCGTCTACGGCCATCGTAGTGACCCTCGTCATCTTGAGAAGATGGAAGTGACAAGTCGTCAACGTCCATTTGGCTCATCTTGCCGTACAGCTCGTGCGCTTTGAGTAGCCCATGCAGAGCGCTCGATCGATCGATCTGCGAGAGAACGCTTGAGGTAAGGACGGCAGTTGACGGTATTGAAAATACCTTGAGCGCATTCAGACCTGGCACTCTTGAACGCTTTCAGGCTTGGATCTGCCTCCACACGCAACAACCGCCTCTACCGTGCATGAGCTAAATTGGTGAGCTTTGTCTGCGCAAAATTGACAGGTCGGCTGAGCCGAGACGTCACACCGGACCCTGGATTGTGGCTCAAGTTGAGACGCACGGCGCACGCTCCGACAGTTGACAATCTTTCGATAAGATCACCGTCATCAGAAGTCACACACCACGCCCACCTTTGCGTGGACGCCTTTATTTAGCCTCGATCAACGGTCACGATGAAGTTCTCAGCCTGGCAGGCGCTGCTTGTGGCAGCTCTGTGCCTTTTGCCTTCTGTCTGCGCCTGGGGAATTGCAGGACACCAGATCGTAGCCACCATTGCGCAGACGCAGCTTCATCCTTTAGTTCGAGAACAGCTCTGTTCGATCCTGCCCAATTATACACAATACCCTTCACACTGGCCACCATCCGAAGATGTACTACCTCGCACACACTGTCATTTGGCCGTGCTGGCCGGATGGCCCGACACCATCCGCTCTCGATACCCATGGAGCGGTCAGCTCCACTATGTCAATCCGGTAGACGATCATCCCCCAACCCAATGCTATTACGGAGAGACCGGCTGGACGTCCCCGAACAACGTTCTTACTTCTCTGGTCAATTACACATCCCGCGTGGTGACCGAAACCGGCTGGGAACGCGACATGGCGCTACGGTTCATGGTCCACCTTTTCGGTGATGCGCATCAGCCACTTCATCTCACTGGACGCGCTCGTGGTGGCAACGATGTCTGGGTTCACTTCGAGGGCAGGAAAGCGCGTCTTCATAGCGTGTGGGACACTTTGCTCATCAACAAAGAGATTCGCGAGCTCTCAAATTATACGACACGCTTGCCTTCGGGACGCATCGAGAGCGCTCTCGTCGGAGCTAGATACGACCCTTTGGTGAGGTTCATCCTCAAGGAAGGCCTCGGACAGCCTGCCATCCGCGGCGACGTTGGCAATGCCTGGTGGAGGGACGAGTCGGCCAGCTGGCCTGCATGTCAAGGCCATGCCTCCGTCTCAGACGCACAGATGCTGGAGGGCGAGGGACAGCTCGCCTTCTCCTCCATGGTCGAGGACCCGAGCAGGGTGGATGACACGGATCTGCCGATCTGCCCTTACGAGTGGACTCAACCGATGCACTCATTGGTGTGCGACTATGCCTTTGCTGCGCCTGTACCCGCCTGGGAGCCAGCGCCGCCGTCTGACGGAGACGATTCGGAGCCTTCACCGATACCCTTTACCGAGCCTGAGCTCGACGTGCCCGAGTACGTGGGTCGCATCGAACGCGACAAGGTAATTCACAAGCAGCTCGCAAAGGCAGGTGTGCGTCTCGCTGCGGTACTCAACACGCTTCTGCTGCCTGACGAGAGCGTCTCGACGTTGTCAGACTAACGACATGCATCTGCTGTGGCTCCACATCCTTTATTGGGAATGATCGATCGATGTGTATTTGATGGCACCGTCCGAACGTAGTTGCAAATGAAGCATTGTTATCTATTCTAGTAGGCGCCGTTGTTGACAGGCGCATCCCCGCCAAGGCGCATTGTAGCGAACGCTGTTGTCGGAGACTTGCTCGGCGAGTTGGATCCAGATTGAGCGTCGGCACTATCATGAGCCATCGCACCCGCCTCGCCACGGGCCGATCCACTGCTAGCGATGTGTTGTTCAGCGCGCTCAACCACCTGGAAAAACACGTCCCACATGCGAGGGCAGTCGAGGTTCTCTAGCACTTCGACATTCCTCCCACCTGTTCCCCACCCTTCATGCTCAACGCGGTCGCCCCAAAAGTCGACGACGGTGGCACCGCATGCAAGCCCATCGCTGCACTCCACGTCGACACGGTACCTCTTTGGCGGCGTACCGCGGAATGCAGCGGCGTTATCGACCGTATTCGCTGCTGCCTCCGGGATGTCGCTCGTCTCTCCGCTGCCTCCACCAACGACGTTGGTTTCGAGCCCCAAGGAGTTGACATTCTGCACACTCCGAGATCTCGACGGCGAAGGCGACGAAGATCCCACGTGCGTGTCCTTGTTGCTGTGGGGATCGGCATCAAACATGGCAACATTTGGGACGTCACCAGGCGAAGGGACGCGTCGGTAGAAGAGCGTCGGATCGATAATGTAAGCGATGGCGAGCATATCGTGCACCGGTGGACCCCTCGTGAACCCAAACTCGGAGGCGTACGTCTTTGCGAAGAACGTCAGCGTCGAACTCAGCATCCTCTTGAGATCGCTCGGTCCGGCCTGTGTCGATGCCGGTAGCTCAGAGACCTGCACCGCGGGCGAGACGCCTGGTGACTGCGTGGGCGAGATAGGGCTCAACGCCGACCGAGAGTGCCGACGGGAAGAAGGTACGGATCTCGTTCTGCTCGAGAGGAGTCGGTCGTGAAGTTCTGCTGTGAAGATAGCTTGATGTGTGACGTTGAGACCAGCCATGACCACTTTGATGTCGGTGTTGAAGACGATGGCAGCTGCTTCCGGGTCGTTGAGAATGTTGAACTCGGCAAGTGGACCTCTGTTGCCTCGAACGCCGGCAGCACCACCCATGAGTACGATCTGCTCGATGCCTTTTATCAGGTGAGGGTAGCACCTGATGAAGAGCGCAACGTTGGTCATCGGTCCCGTGACTGCCATGTGGATCGGAGGTTGACCTTTGTTGAGCCGCTCCGTGAGGATGGTAGAAAGTGTATATAGGAACAGTGAGGGCTCGGGTCCAGTCGTAGGTGAACTCGTCTTGGGGTGAGCAGGCTGAAGCCAAGGCTGGCACAACGGCGACGACAGGGAGGGCAGACCTTGAACTCCACCTAGACCGCCTTGACCATGAATTCCGACGTCAACTTTTACATCCTTGACCAGCGGACAATCGGATCCGCGAATGACGGGGATTGAGGGATCCGCTCGGTACAGCGCCATGAGACGCACAGCATTGAGGAAAGTATCGCGGCCGCCTGCATTGCCAGCTACCGTCGAGACGCCAAGCAGCTCTAGACTGGGATGGTGGACTGCCATCAACAGGGCCATGGCATCATCGTGGCCGGGATCGCAGTCAAGCCACAGAGACTTGACGACTGCGTCATCCCTTGGAAAAGTTGATGTAGGTGTGAGGGGCGCTTCGGCTGAGCCTTTTGCCCGTGGCTGGAACGCCGGCGACGAAGAGCCAGGTTGTACGAATTGGCTGAGACGTCGCAACAGCGATGGAGTGCTTCCAGGTGAAGAAGGTGCGCTGCTCTTCATATCGGAAGGTCCGCAGCGGGCGGTAAAGTGACAGCCTAGGAGATCTAGATGGAGAGCAAGAGAGTGAAGAGGCAGGAAATGAAACGCTTGATCGCCGTCGGACGCGCGCAGATACGCTGATGGATGTCACAACGGTAAGCGCAAGCATTCGCACATCGAATTGCTTCCCGAGATGTCATCGAGTTGGAGTTTGCGCACAATGCGCAGCTTTCCACCTCCAATCGGATCACAACGGACTTGCTTGCCTGCTTGCATGCAAGGCGCAGGGTCCAAGTTCCGGGAGTGACATCTCGGCTGTTCCGAATCCAGAAGGCAGCCGGCCGGCCCTTCAACTTTTCCGAGGAATTTAGCGGTCTTCTTTTTTGAGCCCTACTTTCCGATAACCTTCCTCCACACCCACCGTCAACCTTTAACCGGATTCGTCAAGATGGCGGACGTATGGATCTCACGAAAGAGGTGGACTTGCAAGTACTGCGATGTCACCATCAACGACGACCTGCCATCGAGGAGGCATCACGAGACGGGAGGGAGGCATAAGCAGAATGTTCGCAAGGCGCTTGAGGATCTATATCGCAAAGGCGAGCAGGAGCGCAAGGATGCCGAGCACACCAAGAAAGAGATGGCACGCATAGAAGCACTTGCAGCCGAAAGTTATGCTCGAGATCAGGCCACTACAGGTGAAGGGGCTGCTTCATCTTCACGGTCTACGGCGTCGACGTCAGCCTCGCTCCCAGCGACCACGGTACATCCCAAAGCCCAGCCGGTTCTCGCCCATCCCGCACGTCACAACACGAGACCATCATCCGCGACAGGAACGACAGACGTATCGCGGCATGTAGCTCAGCCGGGTGAATGGGAGCACGTGCTACCCGTCGCTTCTGCTTCGACGTCATACGCCAACGAGGTCACCGATCGTGACAGGGCAAGATCGTTCCGCATCAAGGAGAAGGTGGTTCGCCTGGATGATAGCGATGATGATCAAGACCTCGCCAGCATCAAGGTCAAGAAAAGGCCACGTGCTGCTCAGGGAGATTCTTCAGGCTTGCAAAGAGGAGTCAAGAAGGAGGAGCAAGATCAGCTCGCTGACCAGGTCACGAAGGATGCCGCCGTAGCCGTCAATGCATCGAGTGAACTCAGTACAACAGCAACGGCGGCCACGACAGTGAAAGGGGAAGAAAGTGACGATGTGAAGACGGGTATCGCACCGATCATTGATCCGAATGATGAAAGCGCTGGAGGAGGTGGCAACATGTTCAAAAAGCGAAGAGCCGGCGCCGGAGCAGGAGCGAAAAGGGTCCGAGCCGTCATATAGTGCGTAGCAGCATCGACTTGTTCGTCAATCTCATGTACATCAGCTCGTCGTCGTGACAAAGTACTGACTGCTTGTTCAGCGCCGAATAGCCACGCATCGTAGAATGGAACGAACCAAGGCTAGGAGGCCTGTGGACGTCAGATCGGCGATGAGGAGTAGTGGCACCGAAAAGATCGGCGATAGGCTTGATTTCTTCCACGTCGACGAATATTCTCGCTGCTGGAAGAAATGGATCTTGTCTCACTCTTGCGCCCGTCGTGAAAGGCGAGCTGCCCGCGCTTCCCGTGTGTGGCCCGCTGTATCACTTCTGGACCTCCCTTCTCGGCTGGCACAGTCAAACCCAATTGCAGCAAATGGATCAGCAAAGAGGGACAGTGACTTGTTCTGCTCTGCGTGGGCCATCGCAAGCACGATGAAAAGGGTCAGTTGCTCGCCATTGGAGACCAAGTGCGTTGCGGAAAGGGCTAGCAGCGGATGAAAGAAGGCGGAAGAATTCTGGGAGGCGCCAATTCTAGTTGCAAATTCCCGGTCTAAGGGAGAGGACGCACAGACCGGGGAAAGAGGCACACTTGGATGAGCTGGAAAATGCCGTGGTTCGAGCTTTATTGCTATTGGCCGGCAGGCACTCAGCCAGTGTTCCAGTCTCGTTGCCTCTACAGCTGGCCACGTCGTCCACGTCGACACCGGTCAGCCACAGCGAAAGCTTCCAGCTCATCAGATTCGTGTCGATCAATTGGACTCCCGACGCTCCCTCCCTTCCACACCATCACCTTTCTTCCTCAAGATAAATACTACCGAGCCCCGTAAGTCGTCCTTGCTCCTGACCCCTTCCACTACACTGTCCTCCTCCTCCCGGCTTCGAGTGCGAACGGCATCCTACTCAAGACCGCTTTCGCCACCGTCGGCAACGCTCACATAGTACCCAACTGTTATCGTTGTCGTGGTCGTCTCCGCTTGTACAAGCATCGCCGTGCGAGCTTGTTCGCTGCACCACATCGTCGTGGCTTCCATCTACATTATATACCCGGCATCTCTCGCATTTTAAGCATATTCTGACTCTCTTCGCATCTGCCATTCGTACACCTCTCTACCACCCAAAAGTCGGAAGTAGAAGCACAAGAATGGTTCTCGCCAGCCGCACAACTGCGCTGGCACAGCGCCGCAAGGCTGCTCGTGCCACCGGCATGTCTCGACCCGCCTTTATGACCATCATCATGGCCATCTTGGCTCTCCTCACTTTCTCGGCCTTCATGGCGCCCGGCTCGTCCGCTGGCGGCATGGGTGTCGCCGCTGCTGCCGACAAGCGCAGCGAATACGGAACCGTCATTGGTATCGATCTTGGAACCACCTACTCGTGTGTCGGCGCACAGGTCAACGGCCGTGTCGAAATCATCACCAATGACCAGGGTAACCGTATCACTCCTTCCTACGTCGCCTTCACTCCCGAGCGTCTCGTCGGAGACGCCGCCAAGAACCAGGCCGCTCAGAACCCCGAAAACACCATCTTTGACGCCAAGCGTCTCATCGGCCGCAAGTGGGGCGAGTCGGACCTCAAGAAGGACGCCAAGCACCTCCCCTTCAAGCTCGTCGAGAAGGGCGGAAAGCCCGCCATCCAAGTCACTGTGAACGGCGACAAGAAGGTCTTCACCCCCGAGGAGGTTTCGGCCATGGTGCTTCAGAAGATGAAGGAGACCGCCGAGGCCTACCTTGGCCACAAGGTCACCCACGCCGTCGTCACCGTCCCGGCCTACTTCAACGACGCTCAGCGACAGGCCACCAAAGATGCCGGTACCATCGCCGGTCTCAACGTGCTCCGAATCGTCAACGAGCCCACCGCTGCCGCCATCGCCTACGGTCTCGACAAGAAGGACGGCGAGTCGCAGATCATCGTCTACGATCTCGGTGGAGGTACCTTCGACGTTTCGCTCCTCTCGATCGACTCGGGTGTCTTTGAGGTGCTCGCCACCGCTGGTGACACTCACCTTGGTGGTGAGGACTTTGACAACCGTGTTTCGGACTACATCCTCAAGCAGTTCAAGAAGAAGACCAGCCTGGACGCCTCGGTCAACAAGCGCTCCGTCGGAAAGTTGAAGCGTGAGGTCGAGCGTGCCAAGCGAACTCTCTCCAGCCAGATGTCCACCAAGATCGAGATCGACGGTTTCTTCGAGGGTAACGATCTCGACGAGACTCTCACCCGTGCCAAGTTCGAGGAGCTCAACATGGACCTGTTCCGCAAGACCATGAAGCCCGTCGAGCAGGTGCTCAAGGACGCCGGCGTCAAGAAGGACGAGATCGACGACGTCGTGCTTGTCGGTGGTTCCACTCGTATTCCCAAGGTGCAGGCCATGCTCAAGGAGTACTTCGGCCGCGAGCCTTCCAAGGGTATCAACCCCGATGAGGCCGTCGCTTGGGGTGCCGCCGTTCAGGGTGGTGTTCTCGCCGGTGACGAGTCGCTCGGCGATGTCGTCTTGATCGACGTCAACCCGCTCACCCTCGGTATCGAGACCAACGGTGGTGTTATGACCAAGCTCATCCCCCGTAACACCGTCGTTCCCACCAAGAAGTCGCAGATCTTCTCGACTGCCGCCGACAACCAGAACACCGTCCTCATCCAGGTGTACGAGGGTGAGCGATCTATGACCAAGGACAACAACCTGCTCGGCAAGTTCGAGCTGACCGGCATTCCCCCCGCGCCCCGAGGCACGCCTCAGATTGAGGTCACCTTCGAGCTCGACGCCAATGGAATCATGAAGGTCGGCGCCGCCGACAAGGGTACCGGCAAGTCGGAATCCATCACCATCTCGAACGACAAGGGTCGTCTCACACCCGAGGAGATCGAGCGCATGGTCGCCGAGGCCGAGGAGTTCGCCGAGCAGGATGAGCAGGTCCGCAAGCGCATCGAGGCTCTCAACAACCTGCAGAACTTCATCGCTTCGCTCCGAAGCCAGCTCAGCGACAAGGAAGGTCTCGGTGGCAAGCTTGACAAGGAGGACAAAGACACCATCAAGTCGAGCCTCAAGGATGCCGAGGCATGGCTCGACGAGAACAGCCAGACCGCCGAGGGCTCCGACATTGAGGAACAGCTCAGCGAGCTCCAGGCCGCCGTGGCACCCATCACCGCCAAGATCTACCAGGGTGGTGCCGGTGCCGGTGGCGACGACGAGCCTCTCAGCTACGGCCACGACGAGCTCTAGATAGGTGATTGGATCATCTGCAGCTCGATTCACGCTTGGTGTGGTCGTTCGATTTCTAATCAGCGTCTCGCGTCATTCTTCTGTTCACATCGCCGTCTTGGCGTACATTACTGTTATCACGTAGTCTTGACTCATTGTCATCATGTGAATACTCAAAAGAAACAGATTTCAGCATCTCGGCTCAGCGGATTGAACGTGCGTGAGCAAGCAAGTTGAAAGAGTCTGGGATTGGTCTAGAGGTCGGCTTGGACGATAGCTTCAGCGGGACAGGCATGCTTTGCGCAGGGATTGATCTTGCCCAGACATCTGCGTGCCTGGCAGGAGGCGACCTTGTGGGCCTAGTGGGTTGTGCGGCGACTTTTGTTAGTAACAACGCGGGGCCTGTGCTGGCCGACCGAGCAACGGTGCGGCGGATCATTTGCTGAATACGCTTCGTTAGGAGATCCGAGCGGGACTTCATCTGACGAGATGACTGTCACTTTTCCGAACCCGAATCTGCTTTGTTTGGGCATGAGAGCGTCGAGTGCGAGCAATCATTAAAGAGCGCTTTGAGCGGCAGGCTCGGATCTCTTTTGCATGCTCGGACGCATCTCCTGGCGACGTTCATTGTCAGACAGACCGCGGCATGTCTGCTGAGCTCCGCAGTCTCCATTGTCGGTGCGCATCGATGGCTCGTGCCTCGTTTTCAGCAGCCCCGCCTTTGTAGGGTGATCGCCAGCGCCGATGCCTTCGCCATCGTTTCCGTCGGATGATCCGCGCAGCGTCGACACGCTCGGAGCACCAAATTATCCATGCAGCTTGCGCCGCTTTGGGGCGCTTAGGCCTCTTTGCATTGTTTGCACTTATCGCAGCCTGGCTTTCAACAATCTGGCACACGTTTTCTCTCAGCAGCGCATAGCACTGAACCGACTTGCAGTAATGATTGATGCAACGGGAGAAGCAGGGTCAAAGCGCCGCACGAAACTTTGTCATTCTTCTCAAGGATCAAAGAGGTGAAGGAATCCTTTTCCTGAGAACTTATCATCGATTTTCAACCGAGGCGTGGTCTGAGTTGCGATATAAGGGTTTCGCAGACCTTGGCGGAAAAGTCGCCATTCATCGTTTCCTCCAGTCCTCCCTGCTCATCCAGCTCAATTCGACAGACGAAAGCTTCCGGCCTCCAAGTTGCCCGTCAGCATCAAGTCGTCTGGTACTACAGCATCAGCAGCCACGCGGATTGTCATCCCTCACCAGTCCACCGTACTCGCTAGAGCAAGAGCACCGATGTTGCACGCCTTCAATGCGACTCTACCAACCGACAAGTTTCCGCCGCTGTCGGGCGACCACCAAATCGATATTCAGGACTTGCAAGCTTTCCTCGAACACATGTTTCGTCCGCAACTTCCAACAAGCTTCAAGCTGCAGATATATCTATGCATCGGTATCGTCAGCTTCCTGCTGGTCCTCTGTGCACCTATCGTGCTTCAACGGCTCCTGTACAGACGAGCTTGGCTCTTCAAGCTGTGGCACGTCGGTGGCGGCACGTTTGTCATCCCGAACGCGGTGCTCGCTTTTCTCCTCCTCGAAGCACTGTTCGGCATGCTCTGGATCGCATATGCCATCATCACACTTGAGCACTACCGATATCACAACTATCAACGGTCCTATTTCGCTTGGAGAACCCTCATCTGGACCGTTCTGTGGACGGGCTGCTGGTGGACCAGTTTCGGCCTACTCAGCGCATTTCCTGACGCTTTAACGCTCAAGACAAAAGGTCGCAGGCAGAAGAGTCTCATCTTGAGTCCTGCGGTCTTCAACATTGCGTGTTGGGGAGTGCCGTTGCTTCAGTACGCCAGCATCCTGCCACTCGTCATTATTGACTCGAGAGACAACGCCTCCGTCGCCGCTGGGTTCGAGACATGGCTCGACGACGTTCAGGTGGCGTTGAGGGGAGCCGTCCCCGATGCCGTATTTGCGCAACTAAGATTACGCGCCATGCATCTTTGGCTTGACATGACCGAGGTGTATTGGTACTTTGGCGTCATCATGGCATCCTTGTGCTGCTGGTCCATCGTGGCTCTGTTGGTGTTTATGCCGGTGGGTGCACACGTGCTCTTACGTATCAGGCTGCAACTTCAGCTCGAAACTCTCAAGATGCAGGCAGCAGGGGGTCGTCTAGTCGATCGGAGGCTCGAAAGTGGAGTAGACATCGACCAGGATTCACCTGGCTTGCCGAGACGAAGCGAACGTTTCAGCGCTACAGCCAGCGGCTTGCCACCGCTACGAGAGCCAGCGCGGCCGTCCCCGAATAGCAGACCTAGCTCGAGGACCGCTCGAGAGCGTCTCGTTCAAAACTTGAAGCGGCTCTTCAAGAATCTGCTCGTTCAATATCTCGGTATCTCTGTCGCCATCCTCTGTTTCTTCTTTGCCTCGGGCAAGGACGCTCTGCAGGTGTACAGTGCCGCTCGCCGTAACGATACGATCAGGACCGAGACCCAGTCGATCCTCTTCGCCGCCTGGACGATGGTGGTGTTTGCGTCTTTGACCCTTTTCTGCACCTACCGGCGGTCCTTTGATCCTTCGCTTAGCGTGGATCTGTCGGACGAAGAGCCGTCAACTCTTGCTCCTCGCTCCGTTCTTGTGGGGCTGAGAACGCCCTTGTCACACTTGTGGAACAAATGCTCGCAGAGTGCCGCATCGAGAGTTGCCACTGAAGCAAGTGGGCTCGAGTGTCTAACAATCCAGACTGGGAATGAAGCTTCATCCCGGCCGGCTTTGTTGATCACCACTCCGACGCAATCCACACTGTCTGTCGCAGCAGATTCCTGCCAGTGTTGCTGGTCAGCTCCAGCTTCGGACCGTTCGGGAGACACCCTCGTCTCGTCGTCCAAGTCATGCTTCAAGACATCTTTGACTCATAAAGTCGCGGCAGTTTCACCTGCCGTCGAAATCTTTTTCGCCACTCCATTTGGCAAGATGCCTGCGGTACCGGCGTCAGCGCTACGCCCGCGAATAAGGAGCTTCTCGATGAACGCCACGGATACAAGAATTGCATGCCTCGATATCGAAGAGGAGCTCGCACCCACTTCGTCCAACAGCAGTCCCGGGAAACAAGGATATCTGCGCAAAGATTCGACGTCGAGCGTCAAGCGTCGCAGATCAAAACGTTCAAGATGCTCGAGCATATCAACGAAGAATGCAGTGGTTTTATCTGACCACGCGAGAGCGTTTGCGGGATACGCACAGGTTGCAGCGAGCGGATCCAACGCGCCACAGAAGGCCGAATCGACACCAATTCTCGCTAGGAGAATTTCGACTGCAGAGGTCCGCTCATCTCGTCGTATTGCAGATGCGGAAGAGATGCACTTTGTTCCGCAGCTGGATATGGAGGCAAAGTGCTTTGTTCCGCCTGGCACGCTTGTCAAAGAAGACGATAAGGTCAAGGAAGATCATGAAGGTTGAGATGTGCAGATCTCGCCGGAACAGCCAACAGATATGGCAGGCACTGTTTCTCGGAATGGGCCACCAGCACCCGGGATGCAGGATCGTCCCGAGCTTCGATGACTCTACCTTGTGTCTCTAGCTGTATTCCAGTATTGAGTCCCCCTCGGGCGCCTAGCACCCGTACTTCACACTCCTTCCCCGCTATTCAGGCCCTTCTCGCTGTCGCTCCTATCCTGCTTTCTGATTTCAATACACTCTTTCTAGTGGCTTTCGTGTTGTGATGTCATGAGACGGCTGATTTCACAGTCGTTGCGAGTCTTGATGCATGATGAGACAGCGGCGACGGCTGCTGCCGAGCCAGAAGAGATTACACGTGGTGTGATGTTACACAATTGATCGCAGTGCTCCTTCAAGCGAGCCTTTCCTTCCCGAAGCCATTCCTCTAGCCGCCAGCGATCATGCGAGCTCTGAAGTATCTGCGCCAGGCTGGTTCATACCTTCGACGATCTGACGCAGTACGGACTCGCTGACCAGTGTTCGCAGTTCGGGTTCTGGATCGGTGCCATCGCGCTCGGCTCTTGTCATGATCTCGCCTACCCTCACCATGAGCTGATCTGTTTGTGCATCCAGCATCTCATCTTGTGCTGTCTGTTGCTCGGCCGTCAGGGATTGACTTTGGCGTGGAACGCCGTTTTCGTCCTCGTCGACTGTTGCCTCCTCATCTTGCTGCTCGTCGTCTGCATCACCGTCGTTGTCTTGCAATGATTCGCCGGTCACGCCTGCGATGTATCGCGCCAGTTCTTCGTGTTCGTTCTCCATCGCCTGCTGTGCGGCGGTGAGCCCATCCGCATTTGTGTGCTTTGCGTCCGCGTGAAACTCCTCGATCAAGCAGCGTGCTGCCTCGATCGTTTCGCACACGAACAGCGGCGTGTCCAGGTCCGAGTCCGTGGTGTTAACAGCATCGGCTGGAGCAGTTGGATGTGAGAGGAGGTAGCGGAGGATATCGAGATGGCTGTAGGAGGCAGCAGCGTGGAGCGGGGTGTAGGTGAACTCGTCTGCTGCAGTGGGGGAGATGCCGAGCACGTCGACGCACTCTTTGACGCGTTCGAGGTCTCCTTCGCCAGCGGCGATCCAGATGTTTTTGCCGGCAGAAGTGCCCGCGACGGGACGGTCGAGTGATGTTGGCACCGGCATTGTGTCGGCAATGAACGGTAGTGATGAAAGCCTCAAGGGTTGAGAGTGATGTTCGAGGGTGAGTATTTAGCATTGCAGAACGTGTCCAAGAAGCTTTAATCCAACTCAGCCTGCAGGAAAGGTAAAATTTGGATTACGAGCTGCTTACTAATCGCATGTTTGACGCATGAGTGTGGAGCTTTGTCGCCTGGCACGCTCTTGCGACATCCATCTTTGACGTTTTGACGTTGTTCGACGCTTTCATTACACTTTCACCACAGCTGCCGCTCGAATCGTCAGAAAGGCTCCCGACCATGGGCAAGAGAAAGTCGTCAAGTAAAAAGCCGACGGGCTCGAAGAAGCCGGCTCCGCTGGGTGAGTGCCTCCCATCACCACGCAGTCGTCGACAGCAGTGGAAGCCGAACTAACTCTTCTTCTCTGCAATGGACTCGGACGGAACAGATACGGTCTTCACATGTCTCTTTTGCAATCACGAAAAGGCAGTCTCGTGCAAGATGTAAGTGCGCCCTTCTACCAGCTCCTCGGCATTCCGCCAAAAGACGATGCCGTCCATACTGAACAAGACGACTCTGCATGGACGTTTGATGCAACAGCGACGACAAAGCAAGGATTGGCTACTTGTCATGCAAGATCTGCGGTCAGAAGTTTTCCGCCGACACGAGTCCGCTGGATCAACCCATCGACGTCTACTCGCTTTGGATCGACGCTTGCGAAGACGTAGCCAACGAACAGGAGCGATGAGGGGTCTTTCTCTCTCTCTCTTTCTATGCTGCGACAGCGCCTTACAAGTCCGACAGCGCACGTTCGCTATGCGACGTGATCACAAAGCTACCAGATACACACACACATGTGTGATCAACTCTTCCCCGGCCCTCGCTTGCAATCTTGTCCTTCGCATGACTCCTGCATTCGCGATCACCCGACTCACGAACTCGTCACCATCCAGCTCGTTCTCGTGTATTCTTCTTTACGACCACTCTCTTGTACTTTTACGCAATCGCGAACCGGCTTCTACATACCAGCATCCTGGGCTCTACCGGCTCAACCGAGGGTCGCACGTAGCGAGCCTTGAAACTGTTGAGAGACCAAGTTGTCGCTTCGCATCAGCAATCATCGATCTTTGATCGGGCTTCCTTTCGTGCAACAGAGGGCGGCTCTTTGCTGGTCGACCGTGTGGTTGTAACTACGATGTCGAATGTCCTCCACATCACATTCGTGAACGCCTTAACAAGCGCAGGTAACGCGCCGCTGTCCAATCGGGGCAGGCGAACAAAGCCGTGCGTCGCGGATAAAACGCTTGTACGCATCGCTTCGTAGGCGACACTAGCCGGTTCATCTTCTACATTCTGTAGGTATGCATTCACCGGGCCAACGAACAAGCCTTGAGTTCCGCCGTTGTTCGGCATTTCATTGGCATCTTCCACGCGGAAAGCTGTGCAGAGCATGACTGCCGCCGGCCAAGTTGTTTCTTTCCGCACCGTCGGACGCACCGCCTTGTCCAAGATTTGACCGGTGCACAGCAACGACCGAATACCATGCAGTTCATGCTACGTCTTCAGCCGGATATCCGGACGTCAGAATCTGGGGTTTACCTTTGAGAGAAAAGATGGCCGAAACACGCACACTTCGAACAACCACGGTTGATGCATTTCCTCGCGCCGAGCAGTAGCACAGCTTTCTCCCTTCGCTGTCTAGCGAGATGTTAGCGGGGACGTGAGTGTCTCCTCTTACCATGATGAGCGTAAAGCTGTGTGTAGGAAAGACGGAGCCTTCGAAGGGGAAGACATCGTTCCGCGGAGAACAGGCAAGGGTGGTGTCAAGCTGTGCCGAAGGTGTATCTCGCTCCGAGCGATAGACGGCCCGCTAGATCCTGGTCCCCCGGAAACACCGGTTGCGAACCCTCTCCGATCCAGGGTCTTCAGGAAGAACGCATGTTGGCCGGTCAGCGTCGTGTCTCCTTCCTGCGGCTGTGATAGCAGATCGGTGATTCCACCACTTCACGTTTCGCTTCTCCATGCAGTGGAATCTTGCGCTGACTCTTGCACGTTGTGTGATGTGTGATTGGTCACTTCGTGGATCGTTGCGGCATCGACAGACCACGCGAAATAAAACCACATCAGACCTTACGCTAAAAAGTCAGGACCAAGATCGGACCATACATCGACTCCGCAGCGCGATGTACAACTTTTTCAATTTACTTGTGCGAGATTACGACATTTATTCACGCACAGCTAAATCAGCTTACGGTGGCAAAATGTATTTCCCCAAAGGGTCCTGCGTCAGTCGATCGCGTCGGGTTTTCCCTGCACAGCCTCACGCCGGCTCTTGGAAGAAAAAGTCTCTCTTGTGAGACATACACACACGCTGTTCCGGAGCGCGGCACTGGCGCGTGAGACTATGCAGCTTAGCATCGCGCGCTAGAATTGTCTCTGAAAGTCATAAAGCGTATATTTGCTGCTGTACAAGAATGATTCGGCTCCTGGACTGCAAGACTGGCTCTCAGACGGAGTGCGGCTGCTGAAGAGAATCGCCACGGAATGTGTACGGAAAAAGAAGCTATCAAGCCGGCAAACGAAGATCACGGGTCCAAACCAGGGTTTGACGTGCCCAGAAGAATGTCGTCGAAAAAGCGCTGAAAATACACGTCTTCACTCGCCAATAATCGGAAATAGGGGCAAGAAGGTGGCCCATGCGTCAAGCGGGACCGTGTGGTAGATGCTGTGTCAGTCGTCGCCATCCTGGTGCGAGAATATGTGGCCGTTGTTTCTGGCAGACATAATAAGATTTCTGGTTCTCGGCTCGATCCGAAAGTCGGACCTTGTGCCCTGCCAGCAAGTTGGGTCGGCAACACGGACACGTCCGAACTCATTTCTCATCAAGGTCACTTCTGTGATGTGCAGAAGTGCTGACTGGCTGGCTGGCTGGCTGTTCGAAGCAGTGTGCGAACAGTAAGGGGTGTGCAAATTGGCTGGTCATGCATCACGTCGTCAACAAGAAGGCAATGAAAGAATGATATATTTGAACGAGTACGAACAGACAACAGTGATTGTTTGGCGAAACATGTAGAAGGCGAAGGACAAAGAAGAGCTTCGCGGGCCGGTCTGAAGCAAGGCAAGTGAAACAGAAGGAAGAGAGGGCTAGTGATCGGGTAGATCACGACCTGGGTAAAATTTGCCGGTGCTACACATCGGTCCGTTCAGCCCGTGAGAACAATCCAGCGTTCAAAAATGCAACATTGGACTTTGAGTAATACTCTCACCCCCGTTCAAAGGAAGGGGAGGAGGGCACCGGCGGCAGCAAGGATCGAGAGACCGGCAGTGGCGGGCGAGAAGGCGGCAGCCGAGTTGGAAGCACGGCTCGAGGTGGCAGCAGGGGCAGCCGAGGTGGAAGTGCCGGCGACGGAGCTCGAGGCGCGGCTGGCAGAGGACGAGGCGGCGGTGCTCGATGCGGCAGCCGACGACGAAGCACGCGAAGCCGACGACGAGGCGGCCGAAGAGGCGGCCGAGGTGGAGGAAGCGGCACCGCTCGAGGAAGCGCCGGATGAAGCGGCGGCGTTCAAGCACGAGCTGTCCGACGAGCCCAAGACGACGACAGGCGAAGCGTAGTTGGTGGTACCAGAGCCGTCCGTGATGGCGAGGGTGATGTTGGTGCCCGCGGCGATGTTGACGTTCCAAACGTAGTTGCCAGAGGCGCCGGTCTGGGTAGGAAGGGTCTCGATGGGAGAAGCCGAGACCTGACCACCGGGCAGGACGTTGATAATGACATTGCCGGTGGCGCCTTGCCACTCAAGAGCCCTAGGCTGGCACTGAGTGAGGGAAACGGGGGTGTTGATGGTGGCTGCGCTGACGGCAGCGGCGGCGAGCACAACGGCACCAGCGGCGGAGGCGATCTTAACCATTTTGAAGATAGGTATGTGTTGAAGGAGAAACGGAGGAAAAAGAGCAAGAAAGTCGATGGATGCGATGCAGGGAAATGCGGTGGTGGTAGGTGGACGGACTTGGATGGAAAGCAAGGGAGGCGAGGAATATATACTCCCGGGGGAGGAGACGCCGCTCTAGATGGGAGGGGGCAGGGCCTCTCTCTTCTCGAAACTCTACGCCGCGTCACAATCGAGCCAACCAAAGCAGTGGCCGCAGAGCCAGCTGTTGGACGGCAGAGGCAGTCACAGCACAGGCGCCCTTCGGAGAGACCAAGACTCGAGCGTGCGGCACACCAGCCGAGAGGCAGGCGTCGTAGCCAAGCCTGCAGAGCCAAGGCGACGCGAATTTGCTCGAAACGTTCGGGGCGCACAAGCGAGGCCGCCCAGAGTTGAGATCGCGAAATCTTGGTTCGAAATCAATCAATAAATAATATCGATCTTTTTAAAATAGAGTTCATGGGACAGCACTGCGTCGCTCTACGCTGCGCCGTGCTGCTTTTACCAAGAAAGTTGATGTTCGATGCGATGCCCGGCAGCTGCGAGCCGTTCAAAGACAGACAGCCAACACCGTACTCCTTTCGATGCCCGCCCTGCACGGCCACACGAGAAGTGCAACTCTCGTGTTCTCTCTTGTTCTGAACTCTGCCACAGAAAAGGCCGTTTGCCGGCTGACCGCATCGCGCAGTGCTGTACCACGCTGCAATGTGTAAATGTCCTGCCTCCGTTCTTCGCGTCGGATTGTCTAGATCTGACGGTCCAGGACAGGTTTGCCGATCCCTGGCTTGGGTCTGTTCCGACGCCATGATCGCAAAGTCGGCGTGGCCCGCTGGTCCGAGATAAGTGAGCTCGAGCGCCGTGGACGAAGCGCTTCTGTCGATCATTTGATCGTCACAGTCGTGTTCTGCGGCACGGCTCGTCTGTAGCGAGACTCTTGTTCAAGGCAAGGAAAGAAGGCTGATTAAACTTTGCTGTTGCAGCTTTTGGCCGCACGGAAACCCACCGGGTCACAGGCAACATCTTTGCATGACGAAAGTCCTGTGGCCTAGAGGCTGTTGCGAATCCAGCGTGCATGAGGGCAGGGCCTGTGTAGACACGGGTTGTGGCCTAACGGACCGGAAGCTAAACTCCGCGGTTGACGAATGGACGCAGCAAGTTCTTTGCATCCTTCAGGGTGTTGTTGTCTGTCACGTTACTTCCTGTCTCCTGGCTAGGTTGCTGGCCTACCATCTGGCGTCGCACAAAAATCATGACATTGGCTTGGAGGAAATTGTAACGCAGCGTCGGTCACATTTGTCTAGATTTCGCGTCAGCCAGTTTGATCACACCTCTGCAGACGTGCTTTTCTGACTGGCAACTCAAGGTTCGGCATGATTCTTTGTTGCATCTTTCACCTGCCGTGTGCAGTGCAGTGCAGTCGCAGGAACGTCGGCGGACATAAGTTCCCTGGCAAGCTCGATCCCAGTAGCTGACCTATCCGTCAGGCCGCCGGTCTGACCTTGGTAGAGCTTGGTACGCTCCACAGTACTGCTGCGATCAGCTTTGCCACATGATCCACGCCTCGGCATAGGTCGTAGCCTTGAGATAAGTCGGGTCGTAGCCGAAGCACAGTTACCGTTGAACTAGCGTGATCTCACATGGAATCTCTGTCGATGCGAGCCACTCTTGAGCTTCTGATGCAGGGAGCCGTAAGCCGAAGGCGCATGAAGCACAGTGCAATGTGAGTCGCTGTGCAGCGCGGATCCTCGTATGCACCACCGACATTGGAACGAAGGTTCTTTCGTGTGTGGCTTGCTTTGTTATTTTCTCCCTTTTTCGACCCTCCCACTGTATTGTCTCGTTGTGATGGGCCTGGCCATCCCCGAACGCCAGCCACTCGGCACGTCGCCTTCCAATCTTCTTGATAGGCTCTTGGCCTGCAGCTCGACACAGCCTTTCCGACAGCTCTCGAGACGTGCAGCATTGAAGCGCCTGCCTTGACAGGCTACTCCGCAAAACGAACGGCGAAACAGCCGTGCCGAACGACAGCTTTTTTTAGAGAAGCGCAATTACGTAAGCAGATTCTCCACACGTAAGAATCTGGACCCTGAACTGTCAAATTTCGACATCGCTTTCCACAAAACTCAGCCTCTCGCTTCATCGTCATCTTCGTCCCCAAGAGATCGTATCAATACATCTCTGTTGAGGGCTTTGTTCGGCAATGACACGATACTTGTCTCGGCCAGGCTTGGCAAAGCATCGACAGATATGAGCTAGCTCCTCAGAAACGGAGATGGTGCGGAAGAGACCCTCCATCTCGCCTTCGCCTCCTCTTGGTCAGGAAAGCAGCGATGATGAATTTATCCACGAACCATCGGTCATCAAAGGCAGCTCCAACGCACGCAAACGTCGACGGAACAATCCAAGTGCCACCATTCCGGTCGCCCCGGGCAGAACGCTGCGTGACTTGCTGGGCTTGACGGCGGCAGACGATTATATAGAGACGTCAGCCGCCATCGCAGCTGGAGTCGGACGTGCCAAGAAGCACCATGACTCTACAATGCCACTTTCAGATTCAGATGGAATCAAAACTCAAGCTGTGAATCAGCTGGAACGGTCGCCCTCTCCGGTTTCGACGACATCATCCTCCTCATCCCAGGAGGAGCTGGTCCTTCCAATATCGAGATCCCCTCGCGAACCTCGAGCGTACCTTTCTCCAGCCGCACTCGAAAGAGAGGCCCTGCAGTCGGACTTATACATCGCTTCAAATCAAAGCCAAGCAGCGATCGATTCTGACTCGGGGGGCGATGAACCGGAACAAGCCCTGAGCCTGCGTGCCGATTGCAATGGATCTTCGCCGCCGCCGATCCTTCCAAATGCCAGCCCAGCAAGTCGCGACAGTCATACGAGTGACGAGGAAGACGAAGTTTCTCTGGCGATGAGAGGCCCCGCTTTGTCCCGCCGAGCACCAAACGCAACAGCTCAGCCTGAGCGTTCCGCTACATCCTCAGACGGCCTGCATGGTCAGAGGCCATCGTTTCCCATTCCAGCAGAGCTCAGAGATATTGGTCCTCTGACTCTAGCCCCTGGCATCGAGGTACCTGCTACCATCAATCGCTTCCTTCGAAGCTATCAGCGAGACGGTGTTCGCTTTCTTTACAGATCCTATTCAGAAGGTAGAGGCGCCCTGCTTGGAGACGACATGGGTCTCGGAAAGACCATCCAGGTCATCGCACTCCTTTCAGCGATCATGAGCAAGACTGGATACGAGCACGATGCCGACCGTCGCATTGAAGCCATCCGGAGCGACAGACAAAGCTGCACTTATCACCGCGCGGACGCCATATGGCCCACATGTCTCATCATTTGCCCGAGCTCAGTCATCGACAACTGGCGTCATGAGCTCGACACATGGGGCTACTTCGAACACGCAGCTTACAGCGGCACTCGTGCCAAGGACACGCTCGAGTCTTTCCGTCGAGGTCGGCTCGACATCCTCGTCACCAGCCATGAAACGGCATCGCTCTCCATCGAACACCTGCGCGATCTCGATTTGTCCTGCGTGCTCATCGATGAGGCGCACAAGCTCAAGAATCCCAATTCGCAGATGACGCGAGCCATGCAAACTTTTCGCTGCAAAGCGCGATTCGCATTGACAGGAACCGCCATCCAAAACACGTACCGCGAGCTATACACGCTGGCCGACTGGACCAATCCTGGTCTGCTAGGAACGGTCAAAGAATGGATCGCTGAAATTGAGGATCCGCTCAAGCACGGTCAGAAGCGCGGCGCAGACCCGGAGCGCATCGCTGACGCCAGGACGAGGGCGGAAAAATTGGTCACCAACGTCTTACCCATCTTCTTCCTGCGCCGCACAAAGGCGCTCATTGCTGATCAGCTTCCTCGCAAGTTCGACAAGATCGTCTTTTGCCCGCTCACGCCGACTCAGCTGGACGTGTACAAACGCATCTTATCGGAAGACGAGGTCGAGCTGATGAAGCGACATGCAGATCCTTGCGACTGTGGCCGGCTCGATCCTGATACCGGTCTCCCATATCGACGCCAGAACTGCTGCTTCAAACGCGACAGCACAGGAGGAGCGTGGAACAAGAACATGCTCAAGTACATCTACCTTTTACAAAAGTGCTCCAACCACGTCGCTCTCGTGTTCCCAGATCCGGAAGATGCAAGCTCCAAGGAGCCGGATCGCGTGGAGAGGTACGACCGCCAACTCTCGTACGTGCAGCTCATGTTTCCCAGTAGCTGGCAGGGCAAGCGATGCAATGCTGCAAACGGCATGGAGCCCGGGTTTTGCGGCAAATGGAAGGTGCTGGCTGGATTGCTGGCACAGTGGCACGTCGACGGCGACAAAGTGCTGCTATTTTCCACTAACCTGCGGCTTCTCCAGTTCATCGAGTTCTTCCTGGCTCGCGAAGGGCATAACTTTCTCAGACTCGATGGATCTACGCCGCAGCCGCGTCGTCAACAGCTGGTCAACCAGTTCAACAGGGATGCGAGCATTTTCGTCTTTCTCATCTCGACCACGGCAGGCGGCACAGGACTCAATCTGACGGCGGCAAACCGAGTGGTGGTGTTCGATCCGCATTGGAATCCGTCGCACGACCTGCAGGCCATGGATCGAGCGTATCGATTCGGTCAGTCGAGGGACGTGTACGTGTATCGGCTGATCGGGGCAGGATCTCTGGAGGAGGTGATCTACGGTCGTCAGCTGTACAAGCAGCAGCAGATGGAAATCGGCTACAACGCTGCCAAGGAACGTCGCTACTTTGAAGGTGTCGCCGGCGATCAAGGCAGCCTGGGCGAGCTGTTCGGATGCAAGAATTTGTTCACGCTCCATGAGAGCAGCTTGGCGATGAAGTCGATCATCGACGAATGCAACATCTCGGAGGTGACGTTTGCACTGGAGCAATACCTGAAATCGGGCTCGCTCGATGATCAAGCGGCAATAGATACAGCCTTTGCGGAGCGTGTTGGAAGTCAGCAAGCAGACGCCGCAGATGTGACCGAGAACCTCGAGAGGGGTGTTGACTCAACGCCTGCAGATCCCATCCGTAGCATCCTCGAAGGCAGCGGGATCGCCTATAGTCACGATCACGCTGCTCTGATGGGCAACAGTGCCGCCGAAGCTGCCTTGTATCAAGAGACGGCTCAGCGACGAGCGCCGTTGCCTCAAGTGAGCACGAGCTCCGCCAAAAGGATTGCGTCAACGACCAAAAGACCGTCAAAGCAAACTGGCGCCTCGCAATCCACCTCGGGCTCATCCAAGAAGGCGGCGCCTAGAGCGGGGACTACCACATCGGTCTGGCCGCCGCCGCGGACGAATGTCGCCCGGACAGACACTGTAGCTACGCAGGAAGTGTTGGAGGAGTCGCAGTCGTTGGCCGTGGCAGCCCAAGGCTTGCGTCGAGCCGTGCATCACGATACGCACGCCACCAAGATAGGCATGCCTGATCTATCAGATCTGGCCGAGCTTCAAAATGTGACCGAGGTAGAGTTCGCCTCAGCCGTCAACGCAATGCCATCGGCGGAACAAAAGGCGTTCTTTGACGATGCTATTCGACGGTGGAACCGAAAGCGCAGTGTGCTCGCGAAAGCCGCCGACCGTCAGCAGCATCAATTTTTCTGAATGTTACGTTTTTGCAATAATCTACTCAATATTTTCATGCTTTCTTGGGCACCGGAGCAGTGCATTCGTGACGTCATGACAGCTGCATGTCGATTCTGCCGACGCGGCAGGGCTTTCGAAGCTGGGTCGCAATGAGAATCCCGATTCGGTTCACTACGCAGAAACGTCCCTGTGATTGATGACCTCGTCGGGTGTTTCGAGTCGGCGGGCGAACCGAGGATGGCCGTTGGCGGCCAACAGACTTGATACTAGATACAACTTGCCGCTGCCACGATGCAAGTGCTGGTGAACAAGGGCCTTGGATGAGCAGCGAGACGGGCAGAGGGCAGGTCAGCGCTGCATCCTTACGAGAGACGCTCGAGACGCTCGATTTGTGTGACCCTTTTCTCGCCAAAAATATCCGCCGATTCGGATTCGAGATCGCCATTCCACAGAGTGCATTTGAAGGCGCCTTTTTTTGTTCACCGTTTTCGGTGTGCATATCCACGAGACTCGCTTAGCTTCCTCCGGCTGCTGCGTGATGAGGGCTGTCAGCAATGCGTCAATGCAGGACAGTGATTTTGCTGTTCAGAAGCCAGCTGAAACGTCATAATTTTGGTTCCGCGCTCCTTCACCGATGGATTCGGTTGTGGACGTCGTGATGAGTCTTCGATGCGGACAGTCAGCCGAAGAGACAGCCCGAAGCATTCTTCAGCGTCCATCGGTGTAGCCATTCCGAGACGGAAATTGGACCCTACGCCGGCTGCAGGCTGAGCCTCGACTGGAGTGCGTGCCAGATGGTAATGAGCAATGTGCTGCGCTGACCAAGTTTGCCTTGGGCCGATCTCTGGCTGCACCTTGGCTCGTACCTCCCTTCCGTCGCTGTCTACGACAACGCACCATTGAACCTTTCCACCATCCATCGACCTTGATGTTGCTTTGACAGCCCTCGACGCTCCCAGCATAGCTCGACGCGAACACAAGTCACAGATTCGTCGACGGCCTCGACAAAGCTCCTGCAGAGATGGCGGAAGCATCGCACAGCCGCCGGCAGCGTGCAGCGTCTTTGCGAAGGCTGTCATCTAATCAGCACTACGCACCCACCATCTCAATACCCTCACCACCGACACCAGCAGAGGACTGCGCATACCCACCTCTTTCGTCCGCCACTAGCAGCGAAAAGAAATGCGAGGCAGGACCATCCCGCCCCTCAGCCCCAGCAGTAGTCCCCCGCAGACCCGTACTCTCGCGCAGAAGGACGTCCAAAAAGGAATACGTCCACCCCTACCTTTCCGGCAACTTTGCACCCGTCACAACCGAATGCCCTCTCACCGACTGCCTCTTCGAAGGCACGATTCCTGACGAGTTCGCCGGCAGCCAGTACGTCCGCAATGGAGGAAACCCGCTCGCCAACTCGGATCTCGACCGCGATGCGCATTGGTTCGACGCCGATGGCATGCTAGCAGGCGTCCTGTTCCGCCGTACACCGCAAGGCACGATTCAACCGTGCTTCCTGAACCGCTTCATCCTCACCGACCTGCTGCTCTCGACACCGGAGCATTCGCGACTACCCTACCTACCGAGCATCGCGACGCTCGTGAACCCTCATACGTCGATATTTTGGCTGTTGTGCGAGATCGTCCGTACCTTTGTGCTGGCAATGCTCACGTGGTTGCCGGGACTTGGTTTGGATGCGCATCAGAAGCTCAAGCGTATCAGTGTCGCGAACACGAGCGTTTTCTGGCACGATGGAAAGGCGATGGCTGGGTGTGAGAGTGGCCCGCCCATGCGTATCATGCTGCCCGGACTGGAGACTGCGGGGTGGTACACTGGCGAGGAAGAGGAGGACAAAGGCGTCGATGAAAAGGTGGACAAAAGCTCTGGTCGCGACCAGTCGAAAGGCTTCGGCGGCGGACCACCGATCGTCAGCATGCTCCGGGAGTTCACCACGGCGCACCCAAAAATTGACCCGAGAACCCAAGAACTGCTGCTCTACCATATGTGCTTCGAGTCGCCGTACCTTCGCATCAGCGTCATCCCACCATCACGATCGAAGCGATCCCACCTGCCAACGCATGCCAAAACCATCAAAGGCAAACCGGTTCGCGGCCTCAAGCAGCCCAAGATGATGCACGACTTCGGCGCCACGTCGACGCAGACGGTCATCATCGACGTGCCTCTGTCGCTCGACATGCTGAACCTCGTCCGCGGCAAACCGATCCTGCACTACGATCCTTCGCAACCCACTCGCTTTGGCGTGTTGCCGCGTTACGAACCGGAACAGGTGCGGTGGTTCGAGAGCGCCGAAGCGTGCTGCGTCTACCACACGGCCAACAGCTGGGACGACGATGGCAAATTTGCCTCCTCCGAAACACCTACTCGAGGCGTTAACATGCTCGGATGTCGTCTCAATAGCGCAACGCTCGTCTACTCTGCCGGCAACTTGCTTCCACCTTCGCACGTGCTTCCACCTCCCAACTGTCCCGAAAAGTGCCAGCTCTACTACTGGCGTTTCGACCTGGAGAACGCCGACACCAACACCATCAGTCACGAATTCGCACTTTCTGACGTGCCCTTCGAATTTCCTACAATCAACGAGGATTACTCGATGCAGCAGGCACGATACGTGTACGGTACCAGCATGCGGGATGGCACGTTTGACGCTGGATTGGGCAAAGCAGCCAAGATCGATGCGCTGGTCAAGGTGGATGCGGAGACGCTGATTCGGAAGGGCAAGGCGATGTGGAGCCAGGGAAAATTGAAGGCAGGCGAGAGTGTCGATACGAGGACGGTGGAGGAGGTGCTGAGTGCTCAACGAGATGGAAGTGCGGCGGAGGATGATGCGATCAAGATCTTTGAGATGCCTCGAGGGTGGTACGCACAGGAGACGACGTTCGTCCCTCGTCAACGTCGTCGGGAGTCGAGCGAGCCACAGCAGGAAGACGACGGCTGGCTAGTCTGCTACGTGTTCGACGAAGCTACCGGTCTCCACCCTTCCACTGGCGAAGTTCTCCCCGGCGCATCGAGCGAACTCTGGATCGTCGACGCCAAGCACATGACCCAAGTGGTGTGTCGCGTCAAACTCCCCCAGCGTGTACCCTACGGTCTGCACGGGACGCTGTTCACCGAAGAGCAGATCGCCTCGCAGAAACCCATCGACCCAAGTCAAGTTCGCAGCTGGGCGAGCTCGATCAACCTCGCCGACCCATTTTCGTCATCTGCACTGGGTTCGTCGGTGTACAGCGCTTCGGGAAAGGCGGCAACGAGCAAGTTCAAAGATGGAAAGGAGACGTACGCTGCTTTCGTCAGGGATCCGATTCGGATTGGCGCTTGGTGGATCAAGCGCAACATTGAACTGTTGATCGCCTAGGGGTTTCATATGTATCATCTTTGGGCTATGGGTGCAAGCACGGATGCCCTTCAAAGTGGAGAGACGAGGTTGTGTGATTCTTGCGCTGCTCTCATTACTTGAGCAAGAGCGATCGCTAGCTTGCAGCGGAAATCTGACTTCGAGCGCTTAGGATCGACCTGGTTGTCAAGAACATCCTCACGCGTTCGTCCATATCCCGGATCCTCGTGAAGAACTCAACATTCGCCATCCTTTCCGATCCTCTGCCTCTCAGCCCCACAATCCTTCTGAGGCGCTTGTTGCTTCTCTGAATGCGGAATTTCCCCTGGCCAAACTTGTACTCTTTTCCATCAATCTCGTGCTTGTACATGCAATCATCTCCGAAGATGCAGAATGGGTGTGTCGACCGCTTGCTGCTCAGAGCTAGACTCTTTGAGAAGTTCTTGCAGGGCGTGCCTGCTGCGCGTTGGCGGAATCGCTGTAGTGCCAGGGTGCGTGCGCTGGAGGCGAAGGGTTGTGGTGTGACAAAGGTGTACCGGGAATGGGTTCGACAGGTAGGGCAATTTTTGTTCTTGGACTGATCGTGCTGTCTACGCCATGTGCTGAGGCAGGGTGGACAGAAGAGATGATCGCAGTTGGAATGCTGGGCGTAGACGGCGGGGATCTCCATACAAATGTCGCAGTGAGAGGCGGGAGGGCTGCTGATGCTAGCTGGGACGCCTTTCATAGGCATTGGATTTGAGATTGGGGCTGAAGAGGACTGCGGGTCTGCGGGAATGTCTTGCCAAGCATCTTGGTCGTCGTCGTCATCGCTCGAAGTTGCAGCAGAATGGAAAGCTTGTGCTCTCGCGGACAAGTCGGATCGACACGTCGAACCGGGAATGAATTCGCCAGCCTGCGCAGAGAGTCGAGCAGCAGGAACAGATGCTTCCGAGGGGCCAGATTTGCGTGTGTCGGAGTGAGAGAAGATACACTTGGTGCCCCTCTCGCACTTTCCTGAACGATAGAAGTATCTACACGGAGTGTCTTGCTTAGCAAAGGCAGGCGGACACGGCAAGACGCTCTTGCTTGCTTCGGACTGCATCCTGCGTCCAGATGGGCTGGTATCAACGCGGCTTGACGGTATTGATGATGGAGTGGCAGGAGATAGGACACGCACGATCGCTTTAGAGTGGCCGGGGTGCGTGCGTGCATAGGATCCAGGGTCCAATTGACCTGCGTCTGAAAGTAGCGGAGACAGCAATTGCAGCCGCAGTTTTCCGCTCTCGAACACGGCCCGCAGTGATGAATCCGAGACGGCCGAGTGAGAGCGCCAAAAAAAAAAGGGATTTTGGTAGGAAAGGGTCTTTTTCCAAAAATTTCAGCGAGAAGAAAGGTGAAATTTTTGCGGCTGAGAACTGAGTGAATCGAGAATCCGTTTGGCTTTCTTCCTCTTTCCCTTTCACCTTCTCCTCACCACTGGTCACCCATTTCACTCCATCATCGTTCGCCTCGGATAGCGTTGGACTCTATCTCGGCTGCAACAAGGCATCTCTTAGAGCATCAGGATTCAAGAACCAGTACTGCATTGGCTCTACTAGCATTTGATACCCTCCAGCCGTCTTCGCCATCGTACTTGCACTCTTCCCTCTACACGCCCCAGCATCTAGACCCACACAGCATCCCGTCGAGTCCCGGCCTCATACTCAATCAAGATGGTTGTCGTCAAAGGAGGACCATCCAAAAACAACACAAAGTCCACTGGCATCAAGCGTGTCAAGGGTGAGAACTTCTACCGTGATGCCAAGAAGGCCAAGGTCGTCAAGCTTCTCTCCAAGGACGGCATCGCTTCCAAAGCCATCCGAGACAAGAGCGGAAAGATCATCCAAGCAGCCGAGTTCCAAAGCAGCGAAGCAAAGCCCGGTCGTGTTCAGCCCGACAAGCGATGGTTCGGAAACACACGTGTCATCTCGCAAGATGCGCTTGACCACTTCCGTACATCGCTCGGCTCGCGTGTGAATGACCCCTACTCGGTCTTGCTGCGCAGGAACAAGCTTCCCATGTCGCTCATCCAAGATCCTGGCAAGGGCAAGGCTCCTTCTCTCACCACTCTCGAACCCTACTCCGACACCTTCGGCCCAGGGGCACAACGAAAGCGTCCTCGTCTCGATGGCGGTATGAGCTCGTTCGAAGAGCTCGCCATGAGCAGTGAACAGGCTGGTCGCGCCGCCGATGACAAGCAAGCTGCTCTCGAGGCAAAAGCAGCCGGTGTTGGTCTCGTCCCTTCTGATTACGAGGTCGGCTCCAGTGCCCAGCGATCCGCCAACGGTTTCACTGCCGACGCAGACGAGCTCTACGAAATCCCCGTCACCCGCGGCCGCTCCGAACCCATCTACAGCAAGGGTCAGTCCAGACGTATCTGGGGTGAGCTCTACAAGGTCATCGACTCTTCCGACGTCATCATCCATGTCATCGATGCTCGCGATCCTATGGGAACCCGTTGCCGCAGCGTCGAGAAGCATATCCGCGACGAAAAGCCACACAAGCACCTCGTCTTCCTCCTCAACAAGGTCGATCTCGTTCCCACTTGGGTTACTGTAAGTTTTCCCACCATCTCCCCTCTCCCGCCTTTCGTTTCACACTTCTCCTCTTCCACCCATCAACTCTTCGCATCAAGAGACCACCCCACAATCATGTCAAGTACTGTGCCGTCGTCTCTCCTCGGGAAGGCGATGTCAGTGGCGCAAAAACTGTTACGAATGTGGAAGAAGAACGACGTCGATACGATCTCCCCCTCATAGCTATGTCTCCCCTGTCAGCTCTTGGGCCGACAGGCGCTTGGGACATGCCCACTCCCAGACCTTCTTCCGCCGATAAAGGCTGGGCAGACCGGGAGGGCCTGGAGCGTCGGCGTCGGGATTCCTATATGAGTTGAGCTTACGGCGCTCTTTCTTCTACGCCGTGCTCGTAGTCATGGAACCAACACTTTCGTCATTTTCGCTTTCAGCTATCTTGCAGAGGATCTTCCGAAAGAGAGCATTGTTCTGACCATTGATCTTCTTTCATTGCTTCGTATTGCTCTGACCGCTGCTAATAGGCTCGATGGGTCAAGCTCCTCTCGAAAGAATACCCTACGATCGCATTCCACGCCTCGATCAACAACTCGTTCGGTAAAGGTTCGCTCATTCAGCTTCTGCGCCAGTTCAGCGTGCTCCACTCGGACAAGAAGCAGATCAGCGTCGGTTTCGTCGGATACCCCAACACAGGAAAGAGTTCCATCATCAACACGCTCAAGAAGAAGAAGGTCTGCAACGTCGCTCCCATCCCAGGTGAGACCAAGGTGTGGCAGTACATCTCGCTCATGCGTCGTATCTACCTCATCGACTGTCCTGGTATTGTGCCTGTCTCGGCGCACGACTCCGAGACAGGTACCGTGCTCAAAGGTGTGGTGCGTGTCGAGAACCTCGAGACACCCGCCGAGCACATCCCCGCGCTGCTGTCGCGTGTCAAGCCCGAATACATTCGTCGCACCTACAATCTTGAGAAGTGGTCCAACTCGGAAGACTTCTTGGGTCAGATCGCCAAGCGCATGGGCAAGCTGCTTAAAGGTGGCGAACCGGATCTGGAGACGATTGCCAAGATGGTGCTCAACGACTGGATCCGCGGCAAGATCCCCTTCTTTGTGGCTCCCGCTTTGCCAGAGGATGCCAAGTCGAGCAAGGGCAAGGCAAAGGCCAGTGCTGAGGAGGTCGAGAGCGCCGACGCTAGCGAGATCGCGGCTGCGGCGGACGCCGAAGTCGACGCTGCTACCGACAAATTGCTCAAGAGGAAGAAGGTCAAGGGTGTCGAGCAGCCGCTCAAGCAGATTGCTGTGGCTACCAAGTTCACTCGGGAGGATATCGAGGCCGGTCGACCCGAAGACTACGTCATGGAGCGCGACGAGGATGAGCCGGTACCCGAGCTGGCCGTCGACGAAGACGCTACATTCGACAGCGACGACGAGGCTGCCGAAGACGACGAGGACGACGACGATGACGAAGACGGCGATGCGCTGCAAGATCTCAACTGGGACGACGTCTTCCAAGGTGGATCCGACGCAGAGCAAGAAGCGGAGGCCGACGACGACGACGATGCTGCCGACACCACCACCAAGTCATCGCCCGGCAAACGCACCGTTGCCGCTGCCGACGATGACGAGCAAGACGAGCACGACCCGCGTCGCAAGCAAAAGAAGACCGCCCGAATGACCACCAGCAAACGCAAAGCCGAGAACTACTACACCAACGCCAACGTCAAGAACAAGAGCCGTCGCGGCAAACCTGACGCTGCAGAACCCAAGAGCAAGGAGAGAGGCCCCAAGGTCGGCGCCAACGGCAAAGGCGCTGCGCAGCCTCGTCGTCGCAAGTGATCGTGGTTCGTGGTCAGTTTGGTCCGGTGTTCCCGCTTCATCTGTTTTCGCTTTGTCATTGTCGTTGTCGCATCTTTCTTTGTACTTGTAGTCGAGCAGTCAATGTTGTTATGCATCATCGGAAGGTTGTCCACTGAATGACAATGATCGTGAGAAGAGGGTTGCGAAAGAAGTTGAGCCACATCGTTGACCGCAGAATTCGGCGTGATGTCGCCTTTGAGCGAGCGACTCATCGTCGAGCACCTCGACTTGACAGGGCGATCTCAGAAGTAATGGGTTCACACGCCATTGGAGATAGTTGGTAGCTTGATAATACGATAGATTGCATGTCAAAAGATGAGCGAGACAAGCAGACGCAGCGTGAGACTGATCCCCGACCGCTGCACCTGCTCGACCAGACGTCCTGACTACCGAGTCGGATTCTCTCTTTTCCCCAGAACAAAGCCTTTCACTGCGACTTGCAGAATCACCGTCGACCAAGGAGAAAAGGTATGCAGATCTTCGAGAAATGTACCGATTCTTCTTTCCCAGGGCGACCAGTGCTTTGCGTTCGTTGTTGTGCAGTAAGGCTTGCCGAGAAAAAGCAGAGATCCGACTTCGAAAGCAGGAAAGCGGACCTGGATTTGTACGGTGAAACAAGGAAGAAAAATTGAAAGATACAACTCCCATATGTGCCCTTCCTGGATTATGGTTCAAAATGGTAAAAGGCAATTTTGAAGTACCTTGAAACAGGAAGGAGGGAGTGAGATGGGGATCGGAAAGGAAGACGTGAGTTGGGTTTGGCATTATATACTAGGCTGGGGAGGTCGCGTGCTGCAACTGCATTTTTTGCGGCAGGCTATGTCGACGCGTGAGAAGGATGAGAAGTATTGGGAAAGAGTGGAAAGCGCAGCACATTTCGAGTTTGAAGGGTTGCTGGGAAAGAATTGATTGTGACACGGACTTGCAATCTCGACAGGAAGTATTGGTCTTCGAAGGCTCGTGTCAACCGACACTTGAACAGCGGCTCTCAACGGCGTATTCCCCTCTTCTCCTCGTCCAGTCGCATCGAACGGGCTTCAGGATGCAGATCGATGCTTCGAACGGCTCGAAAGTCGAAGCTTCCGCAGCGGAAGCGAGTAGTGCAGGCAATGGAAGCGTAGCATCGACGTCAAAGTCGACCCTTGCTCAGGCTACCGCTTCTGCACCCTCCACGACCGCATCTCCGCCACCCGGCGAGCCATCGTACCAATCCATGGACTCCGAGGAGCTCTCTGCTCTCGAGGAAACTGCCGAAGCCGAATCGGAATCCGACACCGAGATCGATCGACTTCTCGATGCGGCCGCTGCCACCTTCCCACCCGAAACCGTCTCGCTCCTCGTCAAGGACTTAAAACAACGGGGCATCGTGTACTTCCTCCGCACTCACGTCGTCTCCGATCCATCTTCTTTACGAATCAAACACTTGCTTCTCGCACTCGGAGTCTTTCTGCCTCGCTCCATCCGCGATTCCGATGTATCGATCGAGGTCCTCCTCCCCATCCTCAAAACCGCACTCGCGCGCATCCTTCGACGACGCGAAAAACTCCCGCAGTACAACACCATCACCGATGCGCTCTCGCTCATCTCCACCCGCAGCAAGATCATGATCCTCTCCGGTGCCGGCATCTCGGTCTCCTGTGGCATCCCCGACTTTCGCTCGCACGACGGCATCTACGCCTCGCTCCAATCCGAAGGAACCTACCAACTCGACGACCCGCAGGACATGTTTGACAAATCCTACTTCCTCACAAACCCGTCCATGTTCTACTCATTCGCACACAGGATCTTTCCCAGCAACTTCACGCCAAGCTCGACGCATCGTTTCATCAAACTCGTCGAGGAACAGGGGAAATTGCTGCGGAATTACAGTCAGAACATCGATACGTTGGAGCAGCTGGCAGGGATCGAGATGGTGTTGCAGTGTCATGGAAGTTTCGCTAGTGCGAGCTGTACGGATCCGAGTTGTGGTTATAGGTGTAAGGGGAGTGAGATTGCGGATGCGATATTTGGGAAGAGAGTTCCGAGGTGTCCGAGGTGTGAGGAGAGGAAGGGGAAGGAGGAGAAGCCGAGTAAGAAGAGGAGGAAGGTGGGGAATGGGAGAAGTTGGAGGCCAACAGATGACAGTGATGAGGAGGAGGAGGATGACGAGACGTCGCTGCCGGGGTTCGGTATTTTGAAACCGGACATCACGTTCTTCGGCGAGAAGCTCTCCTCCGACTTCGACCACGCCCTGCTTGCCGACAGAGAAGAAGTCGATCTTCTCATCGTCATGGGGACCTCGCTCAAAGTCGCACCTGTATCCGAGATCCTCGGCCACATCCCGCACTCGACTCCAGTGATCCTCATCAACAAGACTCCCATCCTGCACCTCGCCACCGACATCATGCTTCTCGGAGACTGCGACCGTATCGTCGAGTATCTCTGCCGCAAACTAGGCTGGCATCTTCCACCGGTGCAACCGAGCAAAGATGTGGTGGGAAGTCGCGCGGCGGAACAGGTCAAGCACAAGGTGGAGGTGCAGGACGAAAGGGCAGAGGTTGCAGTCGAGAGAGAGGAGAAGAGGCTGCCCGATGGACAAGGTGAGGGGGATGGGGAGGAGGAACCGGAGAGGTTGATGAACAGTCACGCTTGGTTGTTCCAAGGTGCAGAGCCTGGACGGTTGCCTGCGTTGCTCGCTGAGATGGATGACGAGGAGGAGGAGGATGAAGAAGCAAACAGAGCAGGCGATACCCTCGTCCCCAGCGATCCGACTTCAGCATGACCCGACAGAACAGCATCTTTCACTCATGAACAATACCCCGAAGGGACAATCAGTCAAGCAATGCATCACTACGCACAGCCCTCCGGAGCTTCTGACGGACTCTGACAGACATCGATGTAAATTGGTCGCCAAGAGCCACATAGCTTACAGATCACCTCTCTCCCTCAGCTCCAGGATCTGCTCCGTCTTCGCCTCCACCTGCTCCCAAACCTCATCTGCACTCTCCCAGTCCGCGCTGATCTCGTAGATGTTCCCCTGGTCTCTGTACTGCTTCACCAACGGCTGCAGCTTTTCTGTGTACCTCTTGAACTCTTCCACCTTTTCCTTGCTATCCTTCTTGTCGGGCAGACGTTTTTCAAAATCCTTCAGTGGAAGATCGTAGAAGGAGAAGCAGAAGATGGGTACGATCTCCTTTTCGATCCTCTGGGCGTCTTCTAGCGTTGTGGGGAAGTTGTCGACGACGAGCGATGTACGTTTGCCCGGCTTGGCACGTTCGGAGATGATGTGGAGGAGTTCGTCGAAAGACTTGGGCTGGACGATGTCGTCGAGTTCCTTGAAGCGGTTCACGAGTCGTTTGGCTTGGGTGGTTTTGCCGGAGAGAGAAGGTCCGACGAGACAGAGCAGGCTCACTTGATCCTTGGAATACTTGGGCCCGCCTTCCTTCTTCCCTGCACCACGTTGTTCCTCGGCATGCGTCTCTCCACCGATCATCAGGTACGCTGTGCCAGCAACAGCCAGTAGCGCAAACACGATCCTACTCGTCGTAGCAGCGAGACTCTTAGCCCCACCCTTCATTCCCTCGCTCAGCGTATCCTTTGCAAACTTTGCCCCTTGCTCTGCAAAGTCCTCTCCAGTCTTGCTGGCGGAAAGCTTCTGTGCTTGCTCCATAACCTGATCCGTGTTGATCCTAGAATCGAGCTTCGACTTGGCATACTTCTTGCCTTGCTCTACGATCTTTTCCGCTGCATCCTGCTTCAAGTCTCGAGCTGGAGAGGTGCTGGAGAATCCCCGTGATTGGGAGCACGTGGAAAGGTGACGATTTCGCAGAAGACCCGTGCGCGAGGCGGCGGTTGATCCGGCAAGCAGACCGAAGGACTCCGAGATGCTGCGTCGAGATGTGGACGTCTCAGCCGACGCAAAGCTGGACGAAGACAGTTGGTGGTTCGATGCGGAGGGAAGCAAAGAGGCGGTGGCTCGTGCGACTTTCGATGCCAGTCGAGGAACTCTAGAGGCGACGCGCTGTTCTCCCAGCCTGCAAGCTCTGGTAGCCGTGGTCGAATACGAACGCTGCATCATCGTCAATGGAATACGTCTGTGTGATGCTGCCGAAGCTACTTGTGTTTCGATATGACAAGCTAGAGGTGAGTGACGGTAGATGCTTCCGTTTCAGGGCTTAGTCGTACATGTATCGAGGTTTCTTTGTCTTGGGTCAGCAGGCGCCCTGATGACTGACACTTGTGGAGGCGGGGAAGCCCGAAATTTTCTTCTGACAGGAAATTCAGTTTAGTGATGTCACTTTCTGCCGTCCTCTTGTTCTGTCGTGACCTGCAGCGCGCTCCTAGCAATTTCAACGCTGCGTGAGGAGCCACTCTGGGTCGCTGAAGCAAGCAATGATGCTGATCTGAAGAACTAAGAACACGAGCGAAGGCGGTCTTTCAGTGCGTACAGTGTAGAGCAGCACAACCTGTCGCAAATGCTGATTCTATATCGGGATCTGGTATGAGGCTGCTGGCGTGCGAATCAGAGGGGTAAAGTACAAAGCAGCTGACACTTGGAAACCTAGCGATAGCGAGCTGGAGAGCAACCTTGATGCTGGCAGATAAGGCTCGAACGTCTATAGAAGCGCATGCGACGGCGAATCTATCGGCGCTTTGACACTCTAGGAGAGTGCTACATTACAGTTTGAAAGGCGGCTAGAGCTGATCAGAGACCAGCAGCCTTAATACCGCGTTCGAGATCCTGGATCAGATCGGCGGTCTCTTCGATACCCACACTCACACGAATGAGGTTGTGACCGATGCCGATCTTGATCCTGTCCTCGAGCGCTACCGAGCCGTGGGTCATCTTGGAGGGCAGCTCGATCAAGCTCTCGACACCGCCAAGCGACTCGGCGAGGGTGAAGACGTTGAGGTTCGAGAGCAGCTTGTCGGCGGGGCCGTCATCAGCCGGATCCGACTTGATGCGGAACGAGATCATGCCACCGTAAGCGAACGCACCGTTGGAGGCAGTCGGCCCTGCGGCAGCAGCGCGTTTCGAGATTTGTCGTCGTGCCACCTCGTGACCGGCGTGCGATGGAAGACCGGGGTAGATGACGGTCTCAACGGATGGATGCGCCTCGAGGAAATGCGCAATGGCGAGGGCAGACTCGCCGTGCGCCTTCATGCGTAGTGCGAGCGTCTTGAGGCCGCGCAGTGCCAGCCAGCAGTCGAACGGCGAAGGAATGGCGCCGATGCTGTTCTGCAAAAACGCGATACGGTCTGCCCATGCCTCGTCGTTGGTCACAGCCGCACCCATGACCACATCGCTGTGACCGTTGAGATACTTGGTGACACTGTGCATCACCAGATCTGCGCCGTGAGCCAAAGGGTTCTGGAACCATGGGCTCATGAAGGTGTTGTCGACGACAATCTTGATATCCTTGCTGGCATTGGGGTGGTTTCGGACGAGCTTAACAATGAGTGGGATATCAACGACGCGGAGTGTGGGGTTGGTGGGGGTCTCGATCCAGACGAGCGACGTCTCCTTGCGGATGGCAGCGTTGACACGCTCGCTCACCTCGGCCTCGGCACCGTCCATCTCGACAAAGCTGGTCTGGATGCCCTGTGAGACGGTGGCCACCTTGGTAAAGTAGCGGTACGTGCCTCCGTACACGTCGTTGACGCTGACAATGTGCGAGCCAGCCGGCATCGAGTTGAGCACCGTCGCTGTGACCGCAGAGCCGGATGAGAAGGCAAGACCGCGGCTGCCACCTTCGAGAGCAGCGAGCGCGCGCTCAAACGAGTCGCGGTTCGGGTTGCCGGATCGAGAGTATTCGTAGCCCTTGTGGTTGCCAATACCATCCTGGGCGAACGTGGAGCTCAAGCTGATGGGTGGGATGACAGCGCCCGTGGCTGCATTTGGCTCGGAACCGACGTGGATTGCCTTGGTCGAGAAGCCCGTAGAGGTGTGAGCCTCGGCGTGGCCGTTGCCATTCGAGGCGCCGTTTGTGCTTGCTACGGTCATTCTGGCTGGAAATGCAGCTGTGAGGGGCGATGAGGTGTGTTGGTCGTGGTGGGGAGGAAAGGCTTTGTCAGAGCAGCGATGAGTGGTTATTGTCTTGCTCTGATGAGGTCGACGTCGGTATCGCCGAAGGTCAACCCACTGCTGCAACTTACCCACCGCCACGTTCTCTGACAGCTCGAAATCACGCAAGAGCGATCTTCTTGAACGTCAGAGCGAGAATTTTGCCTCGGAACCCGAATCGGAGCAGCAGGACCAGCAACAGGCAGTGCAGCTCTTCTCGTCGATCGGGTTGCAATCAGGGTTCTACATTCCACGAAATTTTCTTATACCCGGTCGATGGGAGAACAGGCAGGCAACAGGGTCGCTGGGCTCAGCGATCCGGATTGCAGGGCCACGCGCTGGCCAAGAAAATGGAAAAGGGAAAGAAAAAAGGCTGCGAGCAGTCGGAGCGTACCCGAAAAAATGTGACCGCTTGGACCTCACCTCGGCCAATGCCGTTCAAGTAGCCGCAGTCAGCAGCATCGGGTGCTTCCCTTGAGGGTCGCTGCGACACGGGAGGTGGGCTCCACTTCTCAGGCAGGCTTACATTCAGAATTCCCTGCTAGACGCGCAGTCGTCACAGGAACAAAGTATATGAGGTGTGGGTCGTCTCATTAGGTGTGCGGTTGTCGGTGCCCTGGTTGCGAGCTGAGTTGCATCGACCATCGATCCTACTTTGACTCTGTTACGGTGTGCCCTGAGAGCTACGCTCTATTTGACCGCCGTTCCACAGAAACGAGCTCACTCGACTCTGACTTCCTCTGCGGTGCACCGTGCAATCCAAAAACACCACTATTAATAAAGCGAGGCCGGAAAATAGGGTCCAGAAAAGCAGACGAAAATCATGACACCGATGTAACAGACAAACGGCGGGGCTCGCTCAAGTTCAAGATCACTGCTGCTGTCCTCGACTCATCGCCGACTCAGGCGAGCTCCTGCGACTCGGTATGTGGCGAGGAGGTGGGCTTCTCGATGCATAGGAGCCATCCGCATATGCTTTGCTATTGCTTACAAAAGCGCGAGCTCAGGTCTCTGCCTGCATCGACGACACCAGCTCACCGCTCCCTGCGACGATTCGAGGGTGAGAGGTCTTTCTGTCCTGAAGCGAGAGAAGCCAGTGACGCACCGACCGCTTCGCAAGCAACTTCGCTGGCATTGTGATCGCCGATGGTTTCTGCCTCGCATTGCATGGTCATGTGCTGGTACAGCACAGATCAACATCGACGACGCCACAGAGGATAACAAAAGCTCGGCAAAAGAAGTCACTGTGATGGTGACGAAATGCGGGCATCGTGTCAGTTGGTCATACAAAGGGGAAAGCAGACACTCGAGCTTACAGCTCTGGCAATGGTGGGGCTCGGAAGTCGTTTCGGTGCGTTCTTCTGTCGATCTTCTTAGCGAGATGATCAACGGCCATTTTGAACCGTCAAGTTCATGTCCCTGAAGATGCCCTGCTGAAATCACAGCGATCTAAAAAGTGGGGCGACAGGTGACTTCATAAAAGTGAGGTTGTGATCATCCGATGTGCATGCATCTTGCAGGCGAGCTTCGATCTGCGCTGCGAGACAGCGAAAGCGCACGTCTCGGCCTCGCACGCTTCGTGCTGCGGCCAAGCCGGACGTCGACTGCAGAAGGCAAATGTACAAACAAGGTCAGGAGGCAAGCATGCATGACCATGATCAAGGTGAACTCGAGATGAGGTGGGCTTCGGGCTCGGACTGCAAGTTTCTTTCGTACCATTTCGCTAGAAGAGCCTCGCCGAGAAGGGTCCAATTCTCGCGCAGACAGGGCGCCACCTGCTGGTGTACTGCACGACTGTGCATCTGCGAACAGTAGTGTTGTTCATACTGTACACCCCATTTTTGACTGTCAGCTCGCGTGCAGGCTGCTCTCCTCCCTGCTGCCAAGTGAATTGTGAAAAATGTGCGTCTGCAGAACGCTCCGGAGCCTTGAGAATTTGTCCCACCAAGCAAAGCATGCACGCCGCAAGTCGAAAGGGGGGGGAAAAAGGGCCTCGGGCAACCATCGCCGCATGACCGCGCCACGCCTCACGTTTTCCCGTCGAAATTGGCACTTTGCTCCCGCTGTCAGCCTCGTTTGGCTCGCCTCCCGCCTTCTGGCCGCCGTCACCGTCGCGGCTGCTCGCATCTCAGTGCGCCTGGTCGAACTTGCCTGCTGCAGACCCTGCGCGCCGGAATAGCGCCGCTCTGAACTGCACTGCGCTCCAGTGCCCTTCCCCGTCTGTGGGTCAACGTAGGTGATCTGCAATGCATCTTTGGAAGTCCGCCGGCCGTGTTGTTTTGCGTCGAATATGTTGTTGTTGTCCGTACACTCGCGCGCCGCCCAGCCTCTTCGATGTGTCCCGCCCTTTCTGCGCAGCGTACCTACAACGACCCCTCGCTTGGAGATCGACGTCGACACCCACCGTCGCTATAGGCTCTTTGACGAGCTTGTGGATGCACAGGCTGGAAGCCCATGTCTATGTGCGCTTCGGAATCCCTTCTCCCCCTGTCACATGAGAGGCTTACTGCGGGTCTCAGATGCCTTCCCGCCCCTCTGTCGAAGCAAGTGAGCTGTGCTGCGCTTCGTGTCGAAAACACTCCGTTCCAGCTGCTTGTCCCACTCTGTTCCTACAAAGCCATCGCAACCTTTCTCCTCGGCCTCTTACCACCACCACTCCCTTCTTCAACACTCCATCTCCACTACTCAAGACCCTCTTCCCCCTTTCCCACCTTGTCCAACAGTCTCGCCTCCCAGCTTCACCTGCTCGGATCCCCATACAAAGCTCGAGACTAGATACGTTCCTTTCAGCTCCCAGCTCCCCCAACTTCCCGCTCTTGAGTAAGATCACACCTTGGTTCGCGATATCAGCCATGTTCACCAAATCCGTCTTTGTCGCCCTCGTCGCCGGCGTCCTCGGCGTCACCGCCGCCTACGACCCTGCCCACATGCCCGCCAAGACCGATGCCAACGGCGGTCAGACCGGCTACAACGACTGTCAGCAGCGTTACGGTGCCACCAACCCCAAGGCCAAGTGCCAGAACATCTTCATCAACTCGGTCAAGGACTTCTGTCTCTGGGGACCCCCCAAGACCTCCGGTTCCGACACGGTCGGCGACCTCGAGGCGGTCATGGTCTCGTACTGCATGAAGTCTGGATACGGTACCCGCCTCATCCCCGACGGTACCATCCACGGCGCCCACTTCCTCAAGACTCCCTCCTTCGTCCAGATCACCGGTACTGGTGACTTCACCAAGATCCACATCCAGGCTGGTGACGAGGGTGGCGAGCTCGACCCTCACGGCGCTACCGGCTCTGGCAACCCTGTCGGCGGTCAGGTCTTCACTCGTGCCTACACGGGCAACTGGGAGCAGCTGCCCGAGTGGCAGAACTTCATGTCGGCCACCGAGTACTGCTTCCGTGCGTGCCGTGATGGTCCCTGGGACCGTCAGTGGTGCCCTCACATCTACGATGTCATGGGCTGCATGTGGAACGAGCCCGCCAACTACGACCGCGGCGTCTTTGAGCAGTGCGACGGTACCGAGGGTGCCTGGCCTGGTGTCTACTCTGGTTCCACATGGTACCAGGGTGTCAAGCCCACTCCCGCCGCCCAGCCCGCGGGCAAGAGCTCCAACTGCCGATACTACCCCTCCATCTCGAACGGTCCTGCCGTCAAGACCCCCTCGAAGCGATCCGTCATGGCTACCCAGGTCAAGCGCACGCCCGAGTGGGAGGAGGAGCCTTAAGTGGACATGTTTATCTGCTGTATGCCACCTTGGCCCCGTGGCCCGATCTAGTCGCTCCTTTCAGAGTCGAGCGCGCATCTTCACCCTATGTCAATAACAACCTCTCCTCCGTGATTCAGCAAAAACACTGTTTGGTCTCCCTGGATGTCCCGTGATGGCTATCTCTAGGATGCTGACTTCACGACATCGCTGTCCGTGCCTCGTTTTGTTGCTACCTCACATCCCAGTCGTCGCGCTTGGTAATTCTGATGCGATGCTGATTCGTCGTCTCCTGTGTCTGTTTCAGTTGTGTCTCTTGTTGCATTTGTTCTTGCAATATCTTGGTTTCATGCCATCCCCTTGAATTGCTTGCATGTGTCTATCTGAGGGCCTCATCTGAACGTTGCTGCATCAATGCTCGACTTGATGCGATGCCGAAACGGCAGGCTGATTGGCAAATCCTACGATAAAGGTCTCGAGCGGATTGTGACAAAAATCCGAAATCGGGTCTGGATCGGATGCCAAATTTTCAGCGCTCTGTTTGGCCCAGTCCGTCTGGTGCACGTCTCATCTCCACTTTGGCGAGTCCAAGCGCGCCGTTTCAAATCGCTGAGTTCGCTAGCATCATCGCGAACTACCATCATCTCATCGCAGACCATCTACAACACAACGATTGTCTGCTCACCATGCCGCCCCGGCCAAAGGAAAATGTCTGGAATTATCCAAGGCCTCCTGCTCTCCAGCCCACGTCAGCTAGGCTGAGGGTCATCTGGGTCACACCTTCCAAGCAGGAGCTCGTCATCGCCGAGACCACGCAAGGCTACCGTGTCCTCGAAACCTCGCACCCTCCTACGTATTACTTCCCACCCAGCAGCGTCAAGATGGACCTCATCAAGCCTTCCAAGGCGAGGCGCACCATGTGCGAATGGAAAGGCATGGCAGCCTACCACGACCTCCAATTCAGCAAGGATCAAGGACCCCTTGTCACGGGCCGCATCTGGTCGTATCCCCAACCCACGCCTGGATTCTCCTCGATCAAAGACTACCTCTGCTTCTACGCCTCCAGTCAGACCGATTCCGAGCGTCTCGGACATTGGAAATGCATGGTGGACGACGACGAAGTCAAGGCTCAAGAAGGCGACTTTTGTAGGTGCACCCAAGCTAAATAACCAACTGACTGGTCCACGGTAGCTAATGTACTCTCCATTGCATGCAACAGATGGCTCTTGGATCACCCCCGAGATCACCGGTGGCGACCGAGGCTTCAAAGGAGGTAAGTCATGCGTTCTCCTTGCCAGCACGGCCGGCGAGATGTCCCCTTTCCGAGCCTCTCTTCCCGTCCTACTTCCCACTCGACATGAAAGCGTAGTCACTTCGGCATGACGGCAAACAACGCAGCTGCAGCGTTCAGCCTCAAGCACAGAGGCAGCTGTCAGGCTGAATCGACCGGGACAGCAACAGGGTAAGCACAGCTCAGTGCTTTGAACTTTTCCTCCTCCTGCCTTCTTCGTTTCACTGCGGCGCATTCACAAACTGCAACTTTGCCATTGTGACGCCTCACTCCCTTTGAAGACATGCTTCTTTCGCTTGACGCATCTAGTCCCGAAACGCCACATCAGCTGCTGATACCAACCCCTTCACCTTCTTGTCGCCGCCCGCAGCTCCAGCAGAAGCTAGCACGAGCGCATTGGAGCGCGATCCTCTCTCCGCTTACAAGGGACTCACCTTTGCAGAGACGTTGGAAGATCTCAGCAGTCGGTTCATTGTCAATCTCCCGTCCGACGAGCTCTCGTCCATCGAGCGCATCTGCTTCCAAGTCGAGCAAGCCCACTGGTTCTACGAAGACTTTCTTCGACCGCTCAACCCGACGCTTCCGTCTCTCGGGCTGCGCCGCTTTTCTTCTCATCTGCTGCACACCGCCTCAATGATTGTGCCTCTCATCCAACGCTACATCACTGGCGGCAGCGGACAGCAAGACCTCGAGGCTGCCTTTGACGAGTTTCTCAAGTACAAGACGCGTGTGCCCGTGTGCGGCGCCATTCTGCTCGCCGAGGACTGGAACAAGTGCCTCCTGGTCAAAGGCTGGAAGTCGTCGGCCGCTTGGGGGTTTCCCAAGGGCAAGATCAACCAGAACGAACCGGAACGCGACTGCGCCATCCGCGAGGTGCTGGAAGAGACTGGATACGACTGCAGCTCGCTGCTGCCAGAAGACAGCAAAGACTTTATGGACCTCACGATGCGCGAACAGCGTCTCCGCCTCTACATCGTGCCTGGCGTCAAAGAGAGCACCAGATTCGAGACGTTGACGCGCAAGGAGATCTCCAAGATCGCTTGGTTCAAGCTGAGCGATCTGCCAACGTGGAAAAAGTCCAAGGATCCACCTGCCGGTATGGGCGGCAAGTTCTACCTCATCTCTCCCTTCATCGGACGCCTTAAGCAGTGGATTCACGCAAACAAGGCGACGCATCCGAATCGGCCAGCAGCAAAATCAGGCCCAGTCATCGACCACGCCCTCTCGTCGCCAGTGCCTGCGTCTGCCAAGGCAGCGAGCGCGGCAGCAATGCCATCGTTTGTCGATACCAGCTCGCTCTTCCCGTCGTTTTCTGGCCAGGACAAGACATCGCAGAGCAAAGTCGAGCCACTACCCGCGCCTCCGAGCAGCGACAAGCTCAAAGCGCTGCTGGGACTGTCATCTCCGACGCCAGAGCCTGCTCGTTCAGCAGCGCAGAGCGGCTTCGACAACCAGGCAGCAACAGCCAATGCTCTTGATCAGATGTTCCCCGGTGTAGGTGCAAAGATGATCCAGGCCAGTGGTGACGAGCGTGGTCAACAGCTACTGTCGCTGTTGGCGAAATCGCAGGCAGCTCCGCAAGGCCAAGCAGCTGGCTCTCCTAACGCGCCAGGGTCGCAGGATCGCGCCGCACTTCTGCTGGCAGCTCTCAACCAACCTGCGCCCACTGGCGATGGCAACCGTGCTTCTCCCGCTCCCAATACACATGCGCTTCTGAGCATGCTGAACGACCCATCTCGAAGCCAATCGCCGCTACCAGCTCCCATACCGCAAAAGTCTGGCCAGGCTCAAAAGCTCTTGCAGATGCTGAGCCACGATCGAAGCTTATCGCAGGGCAGCTTTGCCTCGTTCGATGGAAGCAGCCCCGTGCCTCAACATGGTGGCGCACATCAAGATGCGCCTGCTATTAACGCTCCTCAGGCTGACGCGCTCCTGCGCATGCTGCAGCCCTCTTCGCCCCCGAGCGTGCCCGGCTCGCAGTCGCCTTCCGCACAGTCGGCTCCCAAGAATGACTTGCTGTCCATCCTCACCGGCGGACTGCCACACGCGGGTCGAGCTGGGCCCAACGACGGACCGCAGCCTCGTCCGAGTCAAGGATTCGATGGACCGATGGGTGGCTTCCATCCGAACGCACCATTCGCTTTCCCACCGCCTCCACCGCATATGCTGCCAGGTGGGATGATGCCTCCTGGAGGTCCTGGCCCGCTTCCTTTCCACATGGGTCCGATGCCGCCCGCACCGGGCTCCGGCCATCCTCAAGGTCCGCCAAACGGCTGGTTCATGCCTCCGCGACCTAACTATGCGCCCTACTCGACTGGTCCTCCCTCCTAAGACTCTCACGTGCTGAAGAAAGAGCGATTACTGACCCAATTTTGCAATGATGTGATGTCGTCGATTCATGAAGGAGCTGGAACTTGGGGCTGGTAGTCTACGCACGCCGTGCAAATCTTTTTGCACAAGCAACGCTCGTTCTATGTTGTCGAAGTTGTGCTTTTCTCTCAATGATCACAGCAGATGGCTAAATTTCCGGGCTGAGTGCAACGTGAGAGGAGTGGCCAGCGAGGAGCGTCTCGGCCCAGCAACTCGGTAAATGAAGAGACTCTGAGCCGTATTTTTTAAGCTTTCGAGAACGTCACCGAGGCTGCTTCCCTCCACTTCGGTTGAGGCACCATGTCAGTGAAAGACAGACCAAATGCGGACGGGGAGCACGCACGCATGCACGCCAAGTCGCGCCCAGAATTGCAGCTCCGAAACCACTTGATATCAACGAGACTCGTCGTCGTTGGTTCTCTTTCTCCCATCATACTGTGAAGCTGTCGACGAGATGCTGTCCATTCGCCGTTTGGGTGCGACGACCTTGTTCCTTGGCCTAGTGGCCGCGCTGGCTCACGGTCGAGCTGTGCCTCAAATCAACGAGGCAGTGTTCGCTATCCAAGATTCGATCGAACAGTCGTCCTACTTCATCGACAACACGTCGGAACACGGCCCCTCTTCGACCGCGTACAATGCGACCCTGTCCACCTTCTCAAATGGCGAGATCCGGCCACTCGACTACTGGACTCAGGAAGAAGGCGTCGGACACTTTTCTGAATGGTCCAAAGCGACCAAACTCGCCTTTCTTTCTGACTGGGTTCACGGCAAAGCACACGAGTGGACGCTCGTCCAGGGAAATGAAGGTGGTGATCTCGACTCGATGACAGCAGCACTCGCGTGGGCATACCATCTCTCCCACTCGACGCTGCATCACCCTCAGCCACGTAAAGCGATCGCTCTACTTCAGACGCCCCTCGACGCTCTGGAACTGCGTCCCGAGAATAAAGTCGCCCTCAGCAACTCCAAGATGAGTTCGGGCCATCGTGATCTGCTTACCATAGACGAGCTTCCAGCCCATCCTAAAGAGGTCGCGAAGCAGATCAAGGGGATCGTTCTGGTCGATCATCCACTGCCATTGAGCGTGTGGCAAGGAGCAAAAGTGCTTGGTATCATAGATCACCATCACGACCGTGGAGTGGCACCGGATGCCAAACCGAGGATCTTTGAACAGGTTGCAAGCTGTACGACGCTTGTCGCGAGACAGATGCTGGACGAGCTGGAAGCGATTTCCCCACCCCCTCAAGGTCCAGGAGAGTATCATATGCCGCACGAACTGCTCGAGTTGATGCTTGACGCGATCGCGATCGATTCTGATGGTCTCAACCCCAAGAAATCCACCGATGTCGATGCTCAAGTCTCAGCTCGAGTACTGGCCAGAAGCAACTGGCGCAACGAGAGCCTCAGCGAGGTAATGGATCGACTAGACAAAGAGCTCGGGAGAGCAAAACGTGATCTCTCCCACCTCACCGTTCGAGACCTCCTCCGTCGCGATTGGAAAGGAGACGTAGTCCAAACCTTGGACCCCGATACGCCTGACATCCACCTCGGCTTCGCATCCACTCCCGTCTCGTTGGACCAGCAAATCCTCCGAACCCGCAAACAGACGATCGTCGATTGGTTCAAAACCGAACGTCGTTGGACAGCCGAGATCCGTGCCGATGTCAGCCTCTGTCTGAACAAGTACAAGAACAAGAAGGGGAAGAAGGTCAGGGAGATCACTCTGACCGTAAGGCACGACCATAGGATCAACAGGAAACAGGCCGATAGTCTGTTCAAGGAAATAGAAGCGGCGTTGAAGGGCAGGTTCGACATGAAGAAGCACGAAAAGGTCAAGCACCTCAAAGGCAAAAGACAGATGGTTTGGGTTCATGGGGACAAGTCGGCCGGAAGGAAGGTTGTTAGACCGATCGTGGAGGAGGCTGTGAAGAAATGGGTCAGCCCGTGAGTGAAGAGTGGATTGGAATGGACCGCAGCTTCGGGTGCCAGGTCTCGTTCAGGACATGGTGTGTCAGACTAGAAGATCAGAACAATCAATCGAAGGAAATGGAATGCATGCGAAAATGATGTCGATTGTGCAGGTGAGAGAGTGATTTGCGTAGGGTGCGAGAGCGCGGGATGGTATATGTCTATGCTGATGAGTTAAGTAGGTCTGTCGATGATATTGTAGATGCATGCTCCTACATCCAAGCATTCCTGATGCTATTGTTCCGTGTCACGCCCGCCTCCGCAACCATATCGTTCAACTCGACCGTCTGTGTTGGCAACCTCTTGCCCGCACCCTGCTCACCCAACCACAATGTCGAGCTTCTCCTCGAACCGGGTCTATCCGACTCCTCATCATCCACCTCATCCTCCGCGTGGTCCCTCTCATCCAACCTCTCGTACCCGTCCATCTGAGCCTGCTGCTGTTGCTGCCTCCTCTTCAAATATCTACCCAGCACCATGGGCAGCAAACTCGCCACGCTCAACAATACGAGTTTGACCATCATCTCCCTGTTCCAGATCCGATCGACGATGGCACGCATTCCACCACCGGCACTGCTCGCCGCTTTGTCCTTCAATCCACCAACGGTCATTGCGTCGTTGACGGGTAGTGCTTCGACGATCTCCTGCAGCAAATCACCGACTTGGCAGGTGACAAAGTTCCAAGGGATCGAGCCCACGGCTAGGGTGGCGGCGTAGGGAGCGAGGGGAACGCCGAGTACGCCGCAGGCGATGTTCATCAGACCGTACGGTACGATCGGTAGAACACGAAGCACGAGCAGGTACGTCCAGACGTTTCCATCCGCTCCACCGTTCGAGTTGGAGATCATGACACTTCGTCCCGAAGCCCTAGCCCTACCGGGAGACAAGGCTCTGCGCATCGCATCCAACGGCTTGGCCAATCCGGGCAACGACGTTATCACCGGCGCCAACGGCGCTGACAACAAGTAACAAAACACCCCTCCCACCGATGTCAACACCGACGTATACAGCGTACCCGAATACGTCCCGTACATCGCTCCGAACACGACGTTCATGATCAAACTTCCCGGAACGGTGAACGACTGCTTCCACGTGAAGAACGTACCCAACACCACGAGCGTGTGCACGAATGCCCTGCTGCTGCTCTGCGAGTAGAGCTTGAGACTCATCGCGAGCTCCTTGATCTCCGCCAGCGTCAGGCTGGTGATGTGCTTGGGAAGCGTCAGCGGTAGCGTTGAGAGCATGAAGACGATGCAACAGGTGGAAGCGACAAAGATGGCGAGCAGGAACGCAAGTCGCGGTAGATACGGTCGGATGTTGGGCATGGACAGCCGCCACGAGCTAAGGTTGATCTGGATGCGTGGTACGAGGGAGAGAAGCATCTTGCTTGCACTCTCAATGCGGTACGAGTCGACGTCGAACATGTTGTACGCGCGTGTGGATCGGTCGGAAGCGGAAGTGGTGGTGGAAGAAGTAGGTGTGGTCGAGCGGCTTCCGGTTGCAGCACCGGAGACGAGGTGCGAGGGAAGGATGCCCGGGTACAGGCCGGAGGACGTGAGGGTCGAGTCCGGGCGGGTGGGGGGCGAGAAGGCTCTCGAGCTCGCTACCGGCGAAGCGGCATCCGAGATGGTCAGGGGCGGTGTGAAGGGCCACTGCGATGTGCCTGGTGGGGTCAGACGACTCCTGTCGTCCACACCGATCTGAGCGGCGTCGGCGGCGGCCTGTGCTGCGCTCCACTGATGCTTTGGCGGTCCGTGGCTGCGAATCGCTTGTTTAGGCACAATTTGCTGACGGAATGCATTGACATACTGCTGGTACTCGCTTTGTTCGTCCGGATCGCTGATGGGTGTGAGAGGGGGACTGTCGTCGTTGAGACCCATCAAGCCGGGCGCAGCTGGTCTAGCAGACGGCATGACAAGCGGCTGGGGTCGCATAGGGAGGTGACGATATGCGGCGTCGCTCGAGTCCATGTTCTCGCTTTGAGGGGTGTTCCCCGTGTCGCCCGCTGGGTTGTTTGCCGAGAACGAAGAGAAGAAGGATCGCAACGTCGACAGCCTTGGTCTGCTGAATGCGGTGGTGGGTGCAGCCTTCTTCTTGTGCGCATCGGAGGAATCAGAGGAACCACTGGCGTCGCTATCTGATCGTGCTCGAGATGCTGCTGCGGGAACCGACGAGGGACCTGCTGATCTCTCTGCTTCCGAGATGAGCTGCAAACCCTGGCCAAGACTGGACATGGTGCGATCCCGTTCGAGGTCTGCTCTGCGCCAGGCGGGCGTGTTGGCGGACAGCGTAAAGTCGGGGGTGCCGGGACCGCGATCGAGGGCTTCCTGTGCCATCGTTGTGTGGAGATGCGACAGTGTCGATCTCGCCAATTGTGACACGGGGACGGCATTGGAAGAGACGGAGCGAGTTCGAGCGCGGTTAGCCTGTCCTTTTCGTGCAGAGGACGAGCTGGCAGCCGCAGCTGCAGCTGGTCTTTCGAATTCGGCAGCGGTATGCGTCGAGGAAGTTTCCGCGAGAGCGATTCTTTCTGATGATGGTGAAGAGGGATGATCCGTTCTAGCTCTCACCAGCCGAGGAGGTGAGGCCGGCGTCGCACGGGAGCTTGGTGTCTGCTCCATTGTGATACGATCGACCAGGCGGCCTTGAACCGTAAAAATAGCAAGGTGATGTCGATCTCGTTTTTGCTAGTTAGCGCTGCATGATGGGATCTGACGGGATCGTTGCTGTTCTGTGAGAGAACGGTGGATGAGGTGATGGTGAGAAGCGACAGATACTCAAGATGATGACAGATCCGCTGCCAAGAACCAGCAATGCCTCAATACGCTTCTCCGACTATCGAGTCGCGAGCGTGACATGCGTGACAACATTTTTTGTTCTGCCGGGCTAGTGTACGGAAACTGATCTCCGAGGAGCGTTTTGCCAAAATGATTTCGTTTATTTATTCGGAAAAAAACACGCCAAAAAATGCCGCGGAACAAGGACTCTCTATTCGCACTGTCACGTAAGGAGGAATCCGCTCGGCTTTCCGTTCGGAGAGAAAAATACATGTCCGCGTGCATTCACCAATGCCACTTTCCTCCGCGGATTCGAGTCTCTTCGAACACCTGCTCGCATTCCAAAAGATCACATGATGGGGTTCGATCGACCAGTCCAACGGATATGCTCGCAGAAAGCGCAATGATAGTAATGTCCGCAAAGATCCATCTAGAATCGAAGTTGCATCTCATTCACTGCATTTGCTGGCCAGGCTCTAGACCCGACGACAGTCATCAACGATGATTTTGGAAACCAGTCGAGCCGCGCTGTGACGTGGGTAACAAGAGCGGAATGCGAAAAATTCCCTTGGAAAGCGATCTCGAAAATTTCACGAAAGGTCCGACGCAAAGCTGCGCATCGGGAGATGTAACAAAAAGCTCCTGATACTGTTGGAAGCTCAGGTCTTACATAATAAAATGGGTTTCAGCGGACCTTGAGGGACCCAGCATGTAGACTGATCCGACACCTCCTTCTTGGCCCGCTAGAGCTGACGATCAGTGCACAGTCGAGTCGCAGCGCGACGCCGATAAGATTCACTATGGACATGTTCAACGCATGCCGATTCGTGTAACATGGCTATCCGGTGACAGACCTTCGCAGAAGTCCCTAAAAGCGCTGCTATGCGGACGCAAAGATAAAATCTGTATCGGCCCTTTGCTATCCGTATCTTCCGGCAAACAGATCTTAGATGGCACATGATCAACGCATTGCCGTTTATAGGAAATTCAGCTGCCTCTTATGGAAGGTCTCGATCCGCTAATTGATGTCCCGTCCCCGTTGACCCGATGGCTTTGACGGGCGGTACCGCGTACAGTACCCGCAGACTTCGCGTACCAGATTGCATATAAGTGAGTCTCCTACCTATCCTTGATATCCTCGCGCTCCCCGCAATCCCTCGCTCGCCAGTTCATCTGCACTCAAAACCAGCAGCTCCCAAGAGTCATACTGTGAGTGTCATCGTCTCGATCAACGGTCATTTTAAGTAGGGGCGTATTCATAAGGGTGCCGTCTCACACGCCGCCGGCCAACAAGAGGGGATCTTCTGGCCACAAGGACAGGTGATTGATGCCTGGCGCTCTGTCAGCAGTTGGCACGTTCTAGCGCTGCAGGCTCCAGGCCTCCTGATGCTGAAGAGAATTCCAGATTCTGGTCTCACGCTTTCAGGGTCTCGTCGGCTGTCTCGAATAAGCCTGCGTTCGGATTCACCGTTCTTGCGCTCTAATTCGTTGGCCAAAGTCGCGTATGCGACTTGGCACTTCAGCGGAACAAAACAAATTTCTTCGCTCCCACTCCCAATCTTCCAACCAAAAAAAAGGGCGCAGGACAGCGCTCCCTCTCAGCCATCTGACTCGAATATTTTCTCTTCAACTCTGCTCTGCTCAAGCTGGTCCCACAGCGCACCAACCAGACGTGTCCATTCTTCCACTCGATCAGCATTCCCGTCAATCTTCGTTGCCACCACCACCTCTCTCAATCTTCCATGGCTGCCCGTCGACCTTGCGCAAGACTTGCTCAAAACATCCTCAGGAACTCTTCTCTCCCTGTCGTCCGAGCTCGTGCTTCATCCTCCATCATCCCCCGCACCTTTGCCACTTCTGCCACCAAGATGTCCGTCGCCGTCCCCACCGACTACAACAAGGTCCTCTACCAGCCTCTCGCTGAGGCTGACCCCGAGGTTCAGCAGATTATCGAGAATGAGACATACCGTCAGTTCTCTGGTCTCGAGCTCATCGCTTCCGAGAACTTGACCTCGCTCGCCACCATGGAGGCCAACGGTTCCATCCTCACCAACAAGTACTCCGAGGGTCTTCCCGGCGCTCGATACTACGGTGGTAACGAGTACATCGACCAGCTCGAGGTGCTCTGCCAGCAGCGTGCCCTCAAGGCCTTCAACCTTGACCCTAAGGTCTGGGGCGTCAACGTCCAGCCTTACTCTGGCTCCACCGCCAACTTTGCCACCTTTACCGCCCTCCTCCAGCCCCAGGACCGTATCATGGGTCTTGGCTTGCCCTCGGGTGGTCACCTTACCCACGGGTACTACACCGCCAAGAAGAAGATCTCGGCCTCCTCGATCTACTTCCAGTCGTTCCCCTACAACGTCGACCCCGCCACCGGCTACATCAACTACGACGAGCTCAAGAAGAACGCTGACCTCTTCAAGCCCCGCATGGTCATCTGCGGTGGCTCCGCCTACCCGCGTGACTGGGACTACGCCAAGCTCGCCGAGGTCGCCAAGACTCAGTCTGCTTACCTCATGGCCGACATTGCCCACATCTCTGGTCTCGTCGCTGCTCAGGTGCAGAACAACCCCTTCGAGTACTGCGACATTGTCACCACCACCACCCACAAGACCCTCCGTGGTCCCCGTGCCGGTATGATCTTCTTCCGCAAGGACCGCGACGCCGAGATCGAGGGCCGCGTCAACGCCGCCGTCTTCCCCGCCTGCCAGGGTGGCCCCCACAACAACACCATCGCCGGTATCGCCGTTGCGCTCAAGCAGGTCGCCGACCCCGCCTTCAAGGAGTACGCCACCGCCGTCATCAAGAACTCGCAGGCCATCGCCAAGGTTCTCTCCGGCAAGGGCTACAAGCTCCAGACCGATGGCTCCGAGAACCACCTCATCCTCTGGGACCTGCGCCCTCTCGGCCTCACCGGCTCCAAGGTCGAGAACATTTGCGATCTCGCCCACATCACCCTCAACAAGAACGCCGTGAGCGGTGACACCTCGGCCCTCGTGCCCGGTGGTGTTCGAATCGGCACCGGTGCCCTCACCTCGCGATCCATGGGCGAGAAGGACATGGAGAAGGTCGCCGAGTTCCTCGACCGCGTTGTACAGATCTCGCTCGACATCCAGAAGACTTCGGGCAAGAAGCTCGTCGACTTCATGAACGCTGCTCGCCAGTCGGACGCCGTCAAGCAGCTCAACAAGGACGTTGAGGCCTTCGCCACCAGCTTCCCTCTGCCCGGTGTTCCCGACACTTCGGTCATCAAGAAGCCCGCTGGTCACTAAAGTGACTGGCTTCTTCACGTCACCTTGTCTGCATTTCGTTTCAATTACGAGCACACTTCAACCTGTGCATGATTCCCGCTCTGGCTTTGGGCTGATTCCATGCAGCTAGCCAGAGCACCCCTATGTTCCTTGTCCTTGTTTAGTCACAATCATCAATATCTCTGTCTTCCATTTGTACAATCAGTCCTCGCAATCTCATTCAACCGAAGCGGGGCCAGGTGTCCCCACGCTCCCAATACGAAGAAACGTGTGCGCTGCTCACCCTTTTGCGGAAATGGTCATCTGACACCCGATGCACGAGATCTGGCAGTGGTGGCAACCACCAAGGGCTGGGGTGTTGCCACTCACTCGGCCGAATGTAGTGGTCTCGCCGGTCCTTGAGTGAAATTCGAAATTCCGTCCGCAGGTGTCCACCGTGACGTTCGAACGATCCTCCGACTGTTAGGTTCCATGTCGGCACTTAATCTTCGGAGGTTTCGGAGATTCCGGGTCCTTCTGTCCTGACCCTACGAATTATGTTGAAAGCCTTGATGATACCAACGATACGAGAGTTCCGATATGGATCATTCTGTTCAGAGCCTATTGCTGGATCTGCCACCACTGTAAGAGTCGACGTCGTTGTCACAATCGCAACAACATGCTACGTGGAATGGCTCCAAGTGCAGGCTTTTTCGCGTGACAAGTAGTCGGTGGTCGAGGCAAATACAGTAATGACAGGCTGGGATAGGCCGGAAAAACGTCGACCAAATTTGCCACGTTGCCGAAAGGCATCCCCAACAAATTCTTGGGTGGCGACGCAGCGAAATCGCAATTTGCAGTTTGAGGAAACTGTGAAAGGGCACCTCGCCTGTCTTCCATGACGATTTCTGTTCTCGGCTAAATAGACTGTTTCTCCGCCTACCGTCAGGCCAGCGGGCGGGCTCTGGTCGCGAGCGACACCAAAATCTCCTGAAAGGACCGCGTTGTTTGACACCGCGAGCAATACCAAGCTGTCAGTGTTGGGCTCGAAGCAGTGGCGGTTTCTTCCCCACCGGAGCAAACCCAATCTCGGAACTCAATCCTGCGCTTGGTCTGTTCGGAGAGCCCGAAGATCCCTCGGCCAGTGAGACTGAGCAGGGGCCACGGTTGCCACGCGCCCGCTGTGCTGCTCTGCAAGCCCGAAATTTTTTGCCTCCGTGACAGACCCCAGCCTCCGAGGGTGAGAAAAGCTTTTCATATAAGTACCGCTCACCCAGCTTATCGGTAAACCTATCACCCACACCACACACATCTTCACAGGTTCGTCGCAATCATGGTCGCCGAACTGAAGCAAAGGTCAACGACCGCTACCCGGGATGCGCAGGCTGCTCCTAAGGAGGAGTTTGCCGATGCCAACATCCCTGACGACTACGTCTCTCGTGTGCTCGCCACCGAGAAGCCTCTTCCCCCTGTTCAGCTCAAGAACATTCTCAACGAGATCCAGTGGGTTTCGTTCCTCGCTCTTACGATCACTCCTATTCTCGCCACCTACGGTCTCTTCACCACCAGCTGGAACAAGTACACCGCCATCTGGACCTTCGTCTACTACTTCATGACTGGTCTCGGTATCACGGCTGGTTACCACCGACTTTGGGCTCACCGCGCCTACAACGCTTCCCTTCCGCTCCAGTACTACCTCGCATGCATGGGCTCCGGTGCCGTTCAAGGCTCCATCCACTGGTGGTCGCGTGGCCACCGCGCTCACCACCGCTACACCGACACCGACCTTGACCCCTATGGAGCCCACTTTGGTCTCTTCTGGTCACACCTTGGTTGGATGCTTGTCAAGCCTCGCCGCAAGCCCGGTGTCGCTGACATCTCGGACTTGCGCAAGAACCAGGTGATCAAGTTCCAGCACAAGTTCTACATCCCCATGCTCCTCTTCTTTGGCTTCGGCTTCCCTACTCTGGTTGCCGGCCTTGGATGGAACGACTGGCGCGGTGGTTTCTTCTTCGCAGGCATGCTCCGCCTCGTCTTTGTTCACCACTCGACTTTCTGCGTCAACTCGCTCGCCCATTACCTCGGCGAGGCCACTTTCGACAACAAGATGACCCCCCGTGACCACTTCTTCACCGCTCTGGTCACCGTCGGTGAGGGCTACCACAACTTCCACCACCAGTTCCCCATGGACTACCGCAACGCCGTCCACTGGTACCAGTTCGACCCCACCAAGTGGTTCATCACTGCCATGTACAAGATCGGCCTCGCCTCGCACCTCAAGTCCTTCCCCGACAACGAGGTCAAGAAGGGTCGTCTTGCGATGCAGCTCCAGAAGGCTCACGAATTCGGTCAGCAGCTCGAGTGGCCCAAGTCCTCGTCGCACCTTCCCGTCATCTCGTGGGACGACTTTGTCGAGGAATCCAAGACCCGCCCTCTCATCGTCGTTCACGGCTTCATCCACGATGTCTCTTCTTTCCTCGACGAGCACCCTGGTGGCCGCCACCTCTTGACCGGCAAGATCGGCAAGGACGCCACCACTGCTTTCCTCGGCGGTGTTTACGACCACTCGAACGCAGCACACAACCTCCTTTCGATGATGCGTGTCGGTGTCCTCGACGGTGGCTACCAGCTCGCCAAGGACGAGCTTGCCAAGGTTGAGCGCGAGAACCGCGCCACCGGAGTTTCGGCCAACCGACCCGCTGGCTCGCCACCTTCGCCCGTTACCTCGGACGACGAGGACTTCAACGGTCCCGCCACCCCTACCGACGAGACTCCCATGGCCACTGTCAATGCTGTTGCTGCCGCATCCGAGCAGCTCAAGGCTCAGCAGTCGGCTGACGGCACCAAGTCGATCAACCTCAAGGCTGCCACCTACGTGACACCTGGCGAGGCATACTCCATCGTCAAGCGTGGTGAGCTCAAGGCAAATGCCAGGGTCGACGGTACCAAGTTTGGTCGTTTCCTCTAAGTCAAATCACCCCTACTATCATCGCAGCATCATCTTCCCCACACTTTTTCCATTCTGCTAAGGTCTAATACGTCAAATCATGTTTCACATTGCAAATTCTAGTTCGTACATGTCAGGGTCTGAATAGACCCACGTTGCGAAACTGTACATATACCTCGAGTGCCTTTGTTGCCTCTCTCAAAATTTCAATCTTGTCGCAAACATCCCTTCAGCCTGCCTTCTGTCCCAATGTGTGTTTCTTGCTGTTCATTGTAAGCTGAGACGTGAAAGTGTCATTTTGCCCGTTGTTTCGTAGGTTGGCAATTGCGTCACTCCTGGCAGCCAACAACTTACGCCGGGGGGGAAAGACAAGTTGGTCCGCGAGTTTCAGACCTATCTTTGGCTCCGGTCCATCCCTCAACTTTGCCCGCACGCTTGTCCGCTGCTAGATTGATACTCGCTCCGACGAGTAGCGGACTGAGCGACACCACCGACGCTGCTACTTGAAATTGTCGCTCCCTCCTCCTGACTCTGACTCGCTTTTCTGTGTCAACCCCAAGCAAGATTACGATTAAGCCGAGAAAAAGATCAGCCCTTCCGTCTTCGCTCACCCTCCATCACTTTCACTTGTTGAGTCAGGGACTTCATCTATCTCTCGAGTGCTGTGCGATGAGCTCGTAGAGTTCCAGAGTTCCGCTCTCCCTGAAACCCACTCTCTCCCTTCTCATCACAAATTTTGACGTTGTTCACCTTATCATGCAGCGAAGTTGTCACATTGTGAGGCTCCGAGCATGACGCCCCATTCGCTTCCTTCGCAACACTTGTCACTCTTCATGCGCAAGTTGTCGCTCGTCTGACCGTCAATAAACATGACTCTGCGAGTAGCTCACTTCCGTCACACGTCGATTCGTTGCCCCGCCGTTCCATCACTCTACCATCAACCTCGTAAAGCATCGTGCCACACACCTGCGTCGTGTACGCATCGCGTCACCTTGAAACTCGTTGACCCGTATTCCCATTGCGACACTGTGTCACCGTGCCATTGTGAACCTCTGCCGAATGTTCTTCGACTCCCACCCTTTGCCTCTTTCCCCCAGGGCGTATCACATCTGTCGCGACCCAAGACACACAAATCTCACAACTTCATGCGTTAGAACAAGATTATAACAGTGCAACAAGGGGAAAACGACAGTGAGAACTAAAGCAAAAAGAGTGTGCGGTCAGACCTCGCAAGCACAGCTCGCGAACGTCGACAAAGTAAACCATTGGCAAGCACTACAACCTGTGACCAGGCACAAACACAAACAGCACCGTGAGTGCTGCCGTGATCAGCGCGATCAACAACAACACGCTGAGCGAGCGTTGCAACAAAAGCCTGTACACGTACGGTTCGCGGATGCGAATTAACCTGAACGGCGTCGTCTCGCTCTGACCGAGCAGCACCAAGATCGGATCCAACTCGTACTGATGCGACATGAGCAGCAGCACTGCGATCGAAAAGGGCAAGATGACCCAGCATCGTTTGACACGGTCGACGTCCAAGAAGATGAAGCTGAACGCGGTCGCGAGCGCTGCCCACAACGCCAGCAGACCCAGCGACAGACGTACGAGCACCGAGATGGGCGTGAGATTGCCAAACGCCTTGGCTCGCAGGAATCGCGGAAAGACGTCGGCTTCCATGGTGCGGAAGACGTACTCCTTCTGGGTGTGAAACATGTCTGGGATGCGAGCCAACGCTCGCTGTTGCTCGGCATCCTGTGGATGCGGCAGCGCCGAGGACGAGATGGGGAACGAGTTGATGCGCAGCGGTGCTGGAAGGTAGATCTCCTTCTCGGACCCAGGCAGCAGGTATCGCGCGTAGATGCGCTCGGCGGATGCGATGAGGTCGGTGCGTGTGATGGCGGCAGAGCGCGAGATGACGGTCGGAGCTACGGAGCCTCGCTTGGCGAGGATACTCTTTCTCTCGGCGCGTGTCTGCTGAGCGAGGTAGTCCGGGTCGCCGGGGAAGCGAGGTGCTGTGAGAGGTGCTGACGATCCACTGACGTTGCGCGAGCCACCGACAGAGGGAGGAAGAGGGCTGGCGCCATGCGAGAGGGACGAGTAGTTGCCATCGGGACTGTCTACGCGGCTGTGATGATCCCAGCTGGTCTCGGCACCCTTCCTTGCGGTGCTCATCTGGTCGTTGATGCCGTTGATCTTGTTATAAATGCTGCCTCGTTCGAGTGCCTCGGCATAGTATTGAGGCCAATCATCCTTTACAGACTTGCCGGACTTGCGCAGATCCTTGAAGTAGGCTCTGCACAGGTTTTCGTGCTGCTGAACATCCAGCCAAAAGTCGAGCGCGTCCTCAGCCGCCTCGCGCTGCAAGAAGAGATAGAAGCAGTAGAGATCGACAGGAGGGAGCGTGCGACGGGCGAGAACCTCTGCCAGCGTTGGCAGTCGTTGCCTGGTACGAGAGGATTGCAAAGAGAGAGGGCGACGCTTTTCCGACATGGTGGCAATATCGAAGAGCTATAAAACCAATGTTGGAAGCCTGCTTCGATCAGCCCTCAATGCAGCAACCAATGCGCCGTGTTTTCGCTACGTTTCGGTACCGTCAATGTTGTTTCAGGAGTATGGCTGTGATGATGATCGAAGACACTGCTTTGGCGCAGGGTCGAGAACGAGAACGGATGCGACACTTTGTAGTGCGGCGGGTATATGACGTGAACGATGAGACGAGGGAAAGAAGGTGATGGTGAGAAAGCAGGTGATGGAGAAGAGCGCCAAGGTGGTCGGCGCAGTGACCTGTTCCGTGTTGCTTTCCAGAGACTGAGCTGCACAGCTGAACCTCTGTCTTTTTTGACTCCTGATTTTTGGCTGAGACAAACACACACGCGTGTTGGACTTTCTTTTCGAAAATTCTCTCTTCTCAACTGCCACCATAGAACCGCTCACTCCATCGACTAGGTTGGCGGCTCTAGAAACACTCGTGAATTTGATTTGAGCATGGCTCGTCGCACAACGCAACGGTCACATTCAACGCGTAACACAGCCTCTGAGCGGGGGACTGAGTGAAAGCGGTTGCAAGAGAAAAAGTATATACTGTACATGCAGGAATTTCATTGAAGAAGCTTATCCCTCTTGCTCTTCAACGAGGTCTGGCTGTGGGCGCGGCCGCCGGTCAGATCCGCCATCTCGTCATTGAGAAGGCGGGAATGGAACGGTATCATGCTGTAAGGGCTGCTGACGCTGCTGCCGACGTGGTGGGCGCAGAGATGCTTCCCCTAGTCTCGTTCGTGCTCGTGCACGATGGAACCAGCGGCGCCTTTAGCCTCTGCCATCCGCGACGGCCGGTCCAGCCTGCAAATCCGGCAAGGAATCGGTGTTGGCAGATCTGCTCGGCAGAGGGTCGCGAGTCGGGATCGAGCTCCAGGCAGCGCGAGATGAGATCGACAAAGTCGTCCACCCGTCCACCGCCATCGGGCTCGGTCCCTTCTTTGTCCTTGCGAGGAGACCACGCCGGATCCAGCGGTGTTACGTCCAAGTCCTCGTCCATGAGCTTCTCTTCCGCGTCCGAAGGTCCTCCACGTGCAATCAGACATCGCTCCTTCAACGTCTGGGCCGCCCTCGTGCCTTCTTCCAATCCCTGCACCGCCTCTTCGCCGTTCCAGAAGGGGCATTCACCACACAGGAGCACGAAGCCCACCACGCCGAGCGCCCACACATCCTGCGCTTGCCCCGCGTACTTTTCTCCTTGTAGGATCTCAGCTGCCGCATAGTCGAGCGTGCCGCTGAATGTGTCGAAGAGCTTGCCCGGTCGGACGTGCGCTGCGCTACCGAAGTCGATCAATTGCGCGTTGCCTTGGCCGTCCAAGACGACGTTTTCGTCCTTGATGTCTCGGTGCACAATGTTGTTGGCGTGAAGGAACCAGAGCGCGTCCGCTGCCTGACCAAAGATGCTCCGACATTGTGATGCTGCGAGGCCGTCCGGTGCGCTCTCGACATAATCAAAAAGGTCTTGTCCGCGACCGAAGCACGGCATCACAAGGTAGTAGAACTCGTGATCTTCGAAAAAGTCGAGCATTCTGCAGATGTTGGGATGCGAGGTCGGTCCGGGCGCTGCTGAGGGTGGCCCCGTCGAAGCTCCTGTCCTATCTTGCTCCATCTCTTGCCGCTTGCGCGCACGGTAGTCTTCCAACGTCTTCGCCCGATTCGGTGCCCACGGACGTGGCCTTGAAGGTGCGACGTAGGCAATTCGCCTTAGCTGATCCATGACGTGGATCTCGACCGGGATCGGTCCTAACACCCTATGACGGCGCCAGCAATCTGCAAGGATGCGACTCTTGATGATGTACTTGATGACAACTTCGTCTCCTTGCCCACGACCATCGGCACCGATCTTGCGCGCCTTCTTGACTAGTCCGTACGCACCCCGTCCGATGTCAGAAACAATTTCGAAGTCCGAAATGCTGAGGTCTTTCTTGTGCTCGATCGAGTGTAGCTGCGATGTGGCGTGAACCTCGCCGGAGGACGTGGGTCGCTTGCTGCGTGGGAGGCGTAGGGTGAGAGCTCGATCGAATGCGGCTTGGGGGGTGCTGGGGCTGCTGCGGAGCGCGGCAAGCGGACTGTCTTGAATCGCTGGCAGCTGGTTGTGATTCGAGGCCATCGGAGTGAGGGGCGTCAGATCAGTCTGAGAGAGCACCTTGTTCACCTGTGGCGAAACTGGGGAAAGATCATCCTCATCCTCCTCGTCAAGACTGGCGAGCTCGTCACCAAACACCGAACCCGCTCTGCTGGCGGCGCGACTGATACCGAGCTGCTTGAGCTTCTCGAGCACTTCAACACCCAGATCGTGGTCGTCTGAATCGTCACTGTCCATGTCACTGTCGTCGTCGCGGTCATCCGCACCAGCATCCGTTTCGGCCCTCGCAGACGTGGACAAGCTCGATAGCGCCAAACGGCTGCCTCGTTGCGCGGAGGAGGCCGTGCTCAGATTGGTGCCTGTTCGGCTCCTGCGGCCGGCCATGCCAACACCTTGGCTCTCCAAAAATCGAGACCACTCTTCCGTCGTCGGCGTCCTGAGAAGGCTGTTGACTCCAGTGATGGCAGTGATGGAGGGCGACCTCGTAGGCTGAGGGCGAGAGCCGGGGGATGTTGAAGAAGTCGCAGCATCGGCTGACACAGGAAGCGAGGAGCCCGATCCTTCGGTGCCATAGACACCGAGGACAGTGTCGATGCGAGCTAGTGCCGTACGGGACAAGGAGTAGTCTGACTTCTGGCGTGATGGCAATCGTGGGCGTGGAGAAGATGTGCCGGCATCGATGCTCTGGGCCAAAGGCGACATGATGGGGGAGGACTGCATCGACGACTGTGCGCGAGGCGACATGTTGGGTGATCTGATCGATGCCTGCTCCGTGACGGTGGCAGCGGGTTGCAGCAGCGTAACAGGAGCAGAAGAATCCCACGATACCGCTGCGGCTGATGTGCCAGGAGATGCAGGCTGGGAAGCGGCGAAGGCGCGTGCATGTCGTTGAGCTTCCAGGACGCTGAAAGGCGCGTTTTCCCACCCCGTCTGGTTACGAGCTCGCTCGCGCGCTGCGGCTCGACCTCCTTCTGCGTTGGCAAATGTCATAGCGAGACCTGCATGCAGAGCCAGCTGCGATCGAGAGCGTATCATGATCATGCCGGAATGGCGTCGAGGAACCAGGGGCGAGAAGGCCTTTGATGTCGGAGTTGAGTACAGCTCTTCAGCGCTGGGGGTGAGAGTTGGATCCGCAACGGGCGAAGTCACTAGCTTACTACTGGAAGCCGATGGTGCATTTGATCGGTTCACGGCATTTGCTGTCGTGTCCGCGCTCGTGGCCAATGCCTCCGGTATCGGTGATGCTGCTGCCTTAGCACTGCCTATTTGCGCTGACTTCTGACCCCGACTCTGCTGATGATGATCGAAGGAGCGAGCATCAGCGACCGGCGAGGAAGAGTCGGATGGCTGGTCTCTTGTTGTATGTGATGCTCGATGCCCTTCAATCGTCTCGTCCTCGACGTTTGAAACGGTCTCGTCCAGGAGCACCGGACTAGAGGGAGCAGTCGCCGAAGCTAAGGACGATGATTCCGACAGCGTCGAGTCGGAAGCTGATTTGGCTGTCAGGGTCGGATCGAGGACATCGGATGGGTTGGGTGGAGATGCAGGAGTAAGTCGATCCGTGTCGCCGCGTGAACCGATCGAGGAGGCCGAACTGGATACGCTGCCTGTGGAAGTTCTGTTCGATAGCGAACGCAGGGAGAAAGCGGCGGCGGACGAGGCAGTAGATGTGCGAGAGGATGCCGGCGCGCCGACTGATCTGTACTGGGTGGTTGAAGTCGAGAGCGGTAGGGCGAAACCTGACGGTGCCGAGGGCGTCTTGTGGTCGCCGTCAGAGCTGCGCCGATCGGGCCCGCCGACAGTCGCAAGGCTGGACGGGACATCTGAAGCGGCGAATCTGTCCTCTTCCTCCTCGCCGTCCTCTTGATACATGACGAGCGAAGACCGATGTGGCTTGAAGGGCGGAGACCGCTTCTCATTGCCGGCACGTCGAGCAGAGAGTGAGGACTCTGGCATCGAGTTGCGACTCCAGCTTCCCGAGCGTGTAACGCCACCTACCCCGCCGAGCTTGGCGAGACTCATCGACTCGCTGTGGCGCGAAGGGGTCGAGAGCCTCTTGTGACGATCGACGTAGACACCTTCGCCATCATCATGCACGTGCTCTCTGTCGGAGTCGCTCCCATCATCGTCGCGAGGATAAGGTGAGTTGCCGGTCGAGGAGGAAGAGGCGCAGTCAAAGTAGCTCTGACGTCGCAGCGACTCGGACGAATTGAGCGCTGCGACGGGGCGGATCTGTTCCAGAGGCATCAAGCTCTAGTCGATGCGAGTGTCGGATCGCGGGGTATAGGAGTGCATCTGCGTGATCGGAGGGTGCTGCAGCAGGCGAGCCACTGGACAAAGACTCGGACTGGACCTCGCGAGGTCAGCGTCTGTCGTGCGATGATACGACGAGACTTTGGGCGACTTCTTCTGGCTGTGACGATCGTTTTACTGCAGCATCATGAACGTGAACGCGACGGACGTTCGTGGAGACTAGTAGTACCGAGCTGTGGTATAGAGGCGAGACTCGTCCTAGGGGGCCGCCTCGATGTCGCTAGCTGTCGGAGTCCTTGTCGCCGGGACAGTCAGAGGGGGTGGTGGTGACGATGACGGCGACGGGATGTCAATGGTCGTAGCTAGCGACGGCGGCGGACACAGAATTGTCGGCCAGCTCGAGTTGCTTGATCCGCTAAAATGTTATGAAATGCTCAGCTGATGAACTCGACCGACTACTTTGATGCGACAGACAATCAAAGAAAAGGGAGGTGAGGTCGCCCCGTGCCTTGACCGTCCATCATTCCACGCCCCCCGTCACGTATTTTTCTTTTTCTTTTTCTTTGCCTCATGAGCAGCAAGTCAGGAACAGCTTGGGTCGGCACAGGGCGATAAAGTCTAGCTACAAAGCAAGTTGACCCTCGAATAAGTGCGGAATGTCTCACAGGACGACGCTTGCCGCACTGTTGCGGGGGGACCACTAGCGTTGAGTGCCACTTGCCGCAACACATCGCAGCTAACCACCACAGTGGTGACTGACCAACCTCTTGCTACGATTAATATCGGCAGTTACACCTGAACATTCATTCCTGCCGTCTTCATGTGTATCTACAACAGAAATGTCCTCGGACTGTGATGTGAAGAGTTTCACCGCCGCTGCTGTGGCCGTTTTGTGACAGGCATTCACAACGCGATAGATGCAACGCTGATCAACGCAAGGGAGACCTGGTGCTCAGATCTGCGGCACCACTTCTTGGCTCGCTGGACACGAGGTGCGTCGCTGCTGACAATGGTCCACAAGCCACTGTCGCCTATCAAGAACCCTGAACGAGAGAGTCTTTGCATCCCCTTGTAGTTCGGCTTTGGCCTTGCAACCTCATCCGACCGTCGTCCGCTGGCCTTCGCTTGCCGACGATTCGAGCTGATCGGTCGTCACTTCTGAAATCGCCTTTCTGCGAGCCATCAGCGCATGGCGGCCGTAAGATGTCATCCTGGGCGCTGTCTCGCCGCTGTGCCCCAAAAGATGTTGCTTTCAACATGGCGGGCGCCTGCTGCGCTCCCTCATTCCAACTCCGACCGACGCGTTTGCCGTGGGTCTGGTCAGCCCCACAGAAAACCACGACTTCATACCAAAGAAGGGGCGATCACTCTCTACGCAGCTTCATACAAGACTGTTGGCTTCTGTATGGTAGTAAGGTCCCGCTTAGAATGGATGCATCGCGAAATCTACTGCGGGATAGCCAATGGCACCACACCATTGCTTGGAGCTCGAGATCGCATAGATCACGTAAATGTAATATTATAATAAAATAAATCTTCGGAACACAGTCTCCTCCACACAATCCGAGTCCAACTTGCTCAGCCGGACCAAAGGCTCTCCATCCTCTTGTCCACATCCAACATCCGGTCCTTTTCTTCTGCACCACTTCGTGAAAGACCACGAAAAGACTGCTAGTGTCAGCGCGGTTCCAAGATGGGAAAAGCCGAGGCCGGATCGCTCAAGGCGATCTCCAATGCCATCAAGGCAAAGGGTTTGACCAAGCTGCGCTTCTATTGCCAGCTTTGCCAGAAAGCATGCCGCGACGAGAATGGGTACCGCAGCCATCTGGAGTCCGAGGCACACTTTCGCCAGATGGACGCATTGGCTGCCTCTGGTGGTGCACAGAGGGTCATTGATGATTTCAGCGCCACTTTCCAGAAGGAGTTCGTCCAGCTGCTCAGTCGTCGATTCGGGACTCGACGCATCCGCGCCAACCAGGTCTACCAGGAGTACATCGCAGATCGACACCACACCCATATGAACGCTACGCAGTGGACAAGTCTATCTGACTTTGTCAAGCACCTCGGACGCGAAGGCATTGTGCAGGCTGAAGAATCCGATCAGGGATGGTACATCACCTGGATCGACAACTCCCCAGCAGCCTTGGCAAGGCAAGACGCGTTGCAGAAGATGGAACGGGCAAAGATGGACGATGAGCAGAGGCAGCGACGCTTGCTGCAAGAGCAGATCGATCGAGCATCGCAGTCTTCTGTCGCAGGGGGCGCGGCTGCTGCGTCATCTGGCACCGGCAATCGCGACCAGGATCCCTTAGACAAGACAAATCAAGGTCTTCAAAGAAACGGGGCTGGCCCCATCCGCATCGGTCTGTCCCTCGGCAATGCTGCGAACAAGCCTGACCAATCCACTCAGTCTGATATCGCATCGTCAAAAGATCGAGCTGTGCAGGGTTCTTCGCAATCCTCGACGGTCGCTTCCTCGGCGACAGCGACGTCGTCGACCGCTTCCTCGCCAGCGCCCTTCAAGATGGGGTTCAACGTCCTCAAGTCGACGTCAAAGCCGGTCAACCCTCTGAAGCAGCCCGGCGCATCAGTGCGACATGGGTCTCGTGGCGGTGCCACGTCCGCCAGCAACCCTTCGACCAAACCAAAACCACCGTCCAGCATGACGATGGCGGAAAAGATCATGCAGGAGGAGCTCGAGCGCAAAAAGAGAAAAGCCGAGCCCTCTTCGGGACGATCCGCTGGTCCACAGATGCAGTCAGGGATTAAGCGGAGCCGTTTCTAGCAAGTGCCTCGCACGCACCGCCAATCGTCGCCTTGCAATTTTCGCCATCCAGATCACCATCAGTTGCATCGTCCGAACCAATGCTCACATCTTATACCCTCTCATTCCATACTCTGTACTTGTACTACTGCAATAGCATCATGCGATCATACATCTGTCTCGATTGAACGATGGAAGCGACGGCGTGGGCTGTAGTACACTGCGCGGATGTTGGCCTTCTATGGGAGAGCAACGATTTGTGCTTGTACGCAAATAGGCCTATTCGCAAGCATGCTATCTCGAAAGGTCGGCGCCCGATGCCACAATCTGCCGCTCGGCAGATGCAACCCCTTGGCGATTACTCTAAGATGCGATGTAGTGCCGCAAAGAGGTTGCATCTTTGTGCGTTGGTCTCCCGTTCGCCAAGGGGGGAAAGCAAAACCGTGACCGTCTTTGCCAAGCTTTTCGCGATAAATTCAAAACTGTCACTTTCAAAATGTGATTTGTTTTTGGCTTGAATCTAAAATCTGAGCCAAGCCTCCAAGCTGCAGACCATTGCATGGTGCATGGACACACTCGTGGATCAGCCTCCATTGTTTTTGAAGACACCCACAGAACATGACATGATGGCGATGGCGGTGGTGTTGGTTGGTCGGTCGGTAGGTCGGTCGTGGGGCTCTTCAAAGCTCGTAGCCAGCCGCCTCCTCTCAGCTTTGCCGCTCCGCATTGTCTGTACTAATTTGGGTCCCTTTCTGCTGTTCACTGTCTTTGCTTAAGATAGGCCACCCCGGAAAGGTCCCTCCTTCATCTCTTGTGCATTCTCCATCACCGTCCGCATCACTCCAACGGGAGCGCCCTATGGAACCCCTTCAACAGGACGGGTCCCCCCTTTCGCTGACCAACGGCCCACCTGCACTTCTGGCGAACGCCTCGTTTGTACGCCGACGCAGCATCAGAAAGGCCATCATTCCCGGACCTATTATCATTCGACTACGGCTCGCGAGGTGCTAGCCGAAATTACGCTATTTGCAACCGACTTTGTTGAGCTGTTCGATCAAACCCACCTACCTCTGGTCGACGGAGTGGATTCGGAGCATCGCATTCGGTCTTCAAGTCGCCGAGCACATTGCATGTCATCGGTACGACCTATTTATCAGCAAAACTGCGGCCTTCGCCAGCTAACGAGCCACACAGCGGGGCATCCACAACGACCTGCGGTACCTTGGTCAACACGACATGGACCACGACGTTGTCCAGCTCTGACCATTTCTCTTCGGCAAACTCTCGCAACATCACCACCGTCATTCAGCACCTCGGTTCTTTCAACAACGGCCGGGGAGGTGACAGGCTTACACCGCTCGTTCGGCTGCAACTCGTCGATCCGTGCATCGCCGGCAACTCTTAACCTACGTGCATCAAGATGGCTCCCAATCCGGTGGCTTTCGGGTTGGGCGTACATGCCGCTTCTCTCTCGACGTCAGCCGCTGCATTGGACGTCATGAAACGCGCCGTTCCACGGCTGTCGCCTTCGTCATCTACTCCTTCCGAGTACCTCACTCTTCGCGTCTCGTCCAAGATGAATGAACGCGGCGATTTCAATGGCACATGTACAAAGGAGCAGGCTATGACCATCACACCAGAGACACCAGACGGAAGCTGCACATCATAGTAAGTGCTGCATGTTTGCTCGCGAAATACGTCGTAGGTGCTGTGCCCTGCCGACATGCTAACTCTGAACTGCCTCTCGCCTTTACTATCTCAGCTTCGACGATGTGACCGACTACTGTTGTGCCGCGGTTGGAGGCGTATACAATGCGACCTTTCAAGCAGTCAATGTCTCGGAACCGCAGGCTATGGCGCTGGACCACCCAATTTGCGCGACTTCGAACTATGCAGACAGTGAGTAGTTAAAAGCAAGCGGACCTGACTTACGCCTCACCATTCAGAGTCGGACAGCATGCTGATCCGAGCACATCTCGACCTTTTGCCCTTTCGCTGGCTTCCTTTTCTACTACGCAGTGTTCTCGTGTTACCAGTACGTGACAGAGACACACTGTTCTGCGACGACACCAATTCCTTACGGCGTCTGCAACAAGAATGGACCTGATACCAGTCGAGCTGTTAAGAAGGCAACGTCAGCTGCCACTCGCGGCCAAACTGGCCCCGCTTGGTGGTGGACAGTGGCTGTCGGTGGCCTTGTTGCTTGCTTCGCGTTACAGCTCTTGGACAACTAGCGCTCTCGACACTGATTGCCTTGCGGATCTGTGCGCTTTCCATGCGGCATGCAGCGACAACGGGGTGCGACAGCCAACACAATGTGGCCTCATCAGCTGCTCCTACTGCACGCCATTCCTTCTCGCGATTTTGCTCACGGACGTTCTCTTACTATACCCACGATGTACATTGCATCCGTCATTTACATTTCTAAATACATACCGCCTTGGCGACTGCTTTGAGGCTCGTGCGAAGCTTGTTCTTCCTTGCCAAGGACGTTCCTCCTGGTCAGACAAGTGAACGATGACAAAGGTTGCGCTGGGAGGGTTGTAAAACCCAGCATTTGTTAAGATGGGTCAGCGACACAATTTCTGAAAAAAAAGGCGCCGTGCGCTTGTCTCTGAGAGAGAGAGAAAAGTGTTGATTAAAGCGAGCATTGTCGCGACGCGACCGAGCTCCGGGAAAAAGTGACACTCATCGCCGTCATCTCGTCATCGTCTGAACAACCATCCGTCCGACCGGCCAGTCCCTCATTGGAACGCAGAGGCTCTGCATAGGCTTGCGCGTTGCGTGCGCTTCACATCCAGCACATATACTGTCTGCCTTCGCACGTCACGCTGTACCCAGCAGTCATAACACTAGCTTTCGCCTCCCGCCGCACGTCGCGCTCGCATCTTCACCAACCTCTACGGCCTGACTGGATCTCCTGATCGAATTGCGGCGGATCCCAATTGAAGCTGCCAAAAATGGCTTCATCCTCGTCGAGGCCAGTCGCTGTGGCCGGTTCGTCTGCCCAGATCGACGATGCGGACATCGTGCAAGAAATGTACAGGCTCCTGGGTAATCTGACTCGCAGCTTCGTACCGGCCACACGCAAGAAGCGAGACGAGACGAAAGACGAGAGAAGGACACGCAAGGAGCTCAAGGATGCACTCGATGACATGGGGTACGACATCATCGAGCTCAAAGCGGAATCGGCCTCTTCAACGCAGAGGCCAGACCAGAGCTATGTGGTCGACTCGATCCGACGCAAGATCAATCGGCTATCCGTAGATGGAGGCTACGAGTCCGCGACTCGATTCGCAAACGTCCTCTCCAGGCTCGAAGGCTCGAGCGATCTGCGTCACCTGCCTGGCATGCTCGAGCTGCTGGATGCACTCGCGTTCACCGCCAGCAATCCTGGCGCATTTGCAACTCCTGCCTCGCGAGCGGTATCGTCTAGCACCAACAGACGCGAGCCGGACACGAGGGCGACTCCGTACACGATCGCAGATACGCCCGCCACCAACGCGCCTTCGACTGCACCGACCAGAGCCCACGTCAACTCTCAACCGTCTGGTAGTCGGGCACCATCGTCACGTCCTCGCACAGCAGCCGCCGACACGATACCTACGAAAGCATCTCAAAACATCCCCGATCCGCGCTCGCTGGGGAAATCTGCAGAGACTCGCAAGCAGCTTATCTCGGCTTCTGACCTGCGCAACAACGGCCAGGTAGTTTCGAAGGCCCAATTGCTCCGAGACCTGAGGCAAGAATTGGGCAAGAAGCAGATCCCCGAAGATGAGCTGCTTCAAGACGTCATCTTCCTTATGCAAGGTATCAACGGCCGTCATGTGCGATTCCAAGAGGAGTTCCAGTATGACGTTGCAGTGGCAGCACCATTAGCTGAGGGCGAGACAGCCGGTCCGGCCAAAGTGGTCAGAGTCGTGTTCAACGAAGGCGAAGCAGGCTACATCCATGCACCCACCAAGCGGATCCTACATCGGCTTGCTGAGCTTGGCCAGCTTTATAAGAGGGTCTCGGAGTTTTCACAGCAACGAAGCGCGATGCCGGCTTCGGGACTCATCATGCAGAGTCTCTGCCATTTCATTTCGAACGAGCTGACCGGCTTTTACCGGCTCGTGGCCAGCTTAGAGGCGCAGATGAACATCCGAACCAGGGACGGTCCAGGAGCGCCGCATGACGTCGAAGTGCGAGAAGGAAACGCGAGCAAGGCAACTTCCACCGCCTATGTCACCCTCAAACGACTCTCCTTGTGGACGGAAGAAATGACGCTGCGCTTCCGACTCATGAGCACCATCATCGAGAGCTGTCAAGATGCGCACGGCGGATCGCTCGTGTCTCTGATCCATTCCTACACCTTCAACGGCGATCCTTTTATCCGCAGATTCACTTCTGGTCTGCTCGACGAGGTGTCGAAGCCCTTCTTCCATTCGTTGTCCTTGTGGATCTACGAGGGCGAGCTGCAGGATCCTTTCCACGAGTTCTTTGTCGAACTCAACGATGACCCGCGCAGAGCCAGTCAGAGCCGTTCGGGCTCAAATCCCCCTGACGGGGATTTGCCAAGCTTCACCGATCTGGACGGCGACGCCGCATCTCTGTGGCAGAACAAATTTGTCTTTCGCAAGGACATGCTGCCGAGCTTCCTGCAGGAGTCGTTCGGACGCAAGATCTTTTCGACAGGCAAAAGTCTGAACTTCATCCGACAAAGCTGCGGCGACGGCGATTGGGTTGCCACGCGGCACACACTCGCTGGGCCTAGTTCCGAGCTGCGGTACACGGATCTGACTGGACTTGAGAGCACCATAGAGAGGGCGTTTACAAGTGCAAGCAAACGCCTGCTCGACATTTTCCTCGACGAGTTCAGACTGCTCGAGCATCTACGAGCGCTCAAAGACTATCTTATGCTGGCACGGGGCGACTTTGTGGACCTGCTCATGGCCTCGTTGGGTCCGAGCCTTAGTCGTCCAGCCAATTCGTTGTTCCGACACAACCTCACCGCATCGCTCGAGACCGCGATTCGTGGCTCGAATGCGCAACACGACGACGCCGAGATCCTTCGCAGGCTTGACGCACGCATCCTCGAGTTTAGCACGGGCGACACTGGTTGGGACACGTTCACGCTCGAGTACAAGCTGGATTCGCCGGTCAACACGGTGCTTGACAATCAGGCTATGGTCGGGTACCAGACCATCTTTACGCATCTGTGGAAGATCAAGCGGGTGGAGCTTGCGCTCAATTCGAGCTGGCTTCGACTGCACGAGACTGGCACTTCGTTGTGCAGGATCAAGCGAGGCGGCGGCAACGCAGTGTTGGTGGACTTGCGACGCGAGTCGCAACGGTCGATGCTGATGCTTTCCGAGATGATCCACTTTATCCGACAGATGCAGGGCTTCGCACAGCTCGAGGTGATCGAATACTCGTGGAACGATCTGTTGACCTTCTTCTCGAGGCGACAAGGCGATCTGGACGAGCTCATTGAAAGTCACCGCGCCTACCTGAACGCATTGATTGGCAAGGTGCTGCTGCGCGGCGGCAAGAAGGGATCACAGGACTACTTGGCGGGCGAACTTCGGGCGCAGTTTGATTCGATCCTAGCCTTTACGGTTGCTGCGGACGACCTGACCCACCTGAGCACGCGGGAATTGGCGCGATTCGACATGGAACGCGGACACGTTTCGGTGCCAACCGAGCGTGGAGCCCGGTCGCGAACCGTGTCGACGACGGCGGCAGCGGCAGCAGCGGCAGCGTCGGCTGCAAGCGCTCTGTCGCTTGCCCCGAGCGATCCAGCCGAGCTTGCGCGTATCAGCAAGCGCTTACACGAGACGTCGGGAGCGTTCCAAGAGAGGATGGTGTTGATCGTCGGGGCGCTGGAGAAGCACGCGAACTTGACTGTGCGCGATCTAGCGGTGAGGCTCAACTTCAACGGCCGATATGAAGTGGGAACGCATCGAGCGGGCGGCGCGGCCAACGCCTCAACGATTGCGGGTGGCACTGTGCAAGGACGCAAGAAGGAGGTTGCCACCGCTCCGTTGGCAGCTGCTGCATCGTGATCGTGTTGTAGGTGCAATGATGTTACAATAAATGCCGACATATACCCAAACCAGCTGGTTCGCCCTGAAGTTCTCAGATGACCGATAGCACTGACAGACATGCATGTGAGAGTGCAAAGGATGAAGCGATTGAGAACCATGGTGGAGTGGAAACGGCGGTGTGACCTAACAACGACAGAAACGATGACGAATTACCCGCGACACCAGATGTCTCAGCCCACCGACATGACAAGTTCGTGTCTTGGAGTAAAACCCCTCGATACAACATCAATCACACGACCAACAAACAGTCTGAGTTGGCTGTCAGTCGGATATGATTGCAGGCTTGGGTGCCGACAGCCTTCCGGCAGAGCCAATAACACCGCTAGCCTCGGCGAATGCTTTTCAGCCCCGGTTGAACACAAGGCAAAGAGGAGCGCTCCATCTTGACCGGAGCGAAACTGCCAGATTAGCGCCTGCTTTTGCACTCAATCTCATATTTTTCAGATTCGGGCTGCAGCCAGACGCGCAAGTCAGTCTAGACTAGCGCAGAGACTGAGAGACGCAGAGAGTGCGGACACGCGCCCCAACACGGGAAACAAGGCTAACGCGGTTCTTTTTGACCGGCAAGGGCGTCGGTCTGACGCGCTTTGAAAGCCAAGCTCACAGTCTGAAACGCACAGGCGCAGGCAGGCACGCATTCTCAAACAGTCACGCCGTCACGCAGCCGCGCCATGTCTCTCGTCGAAATTCAGCGGTGCAGTTCTCGACCCTTTTTGGCGGACTCGCCCCGTTGGCTCGTGTTGCTGTTGCAAGTCGAGTAAAGTTAGTGTGTCAAGGCTCAGCTTTGAGCCTAAAGCTGGAACTTCCACTGGTCACCCGCCTCTGTCCCACCGAGCAAGGGATCGACGGTACAGAGTGTGGTGCAGCTGCGTCCTTGTGCCACCCTTCCCGCATCTGCTTTTGCATCTCGGGTCTTGTATCTTCCTTTGTTTGCTAACACCTTGTCACTGACACATATCGTCCTCGGTGCACTTTCCACCTTGCCACATCGCCACCATCTTTTCGCTCCCCAGTGCCGCTTTCTCTCTACTACAACACGACATCGGTCTATCTCATCGGCCCGCATTCGTTTCGCAAGGCCAGGCGCTTCGCTATCGCTTCAAGATCCCAAACGAGTATATCGCTCTCGAGGAGCGACCTGTTCGAGTGCTACGACCACCTTCGCAAGCCAGCAAAGCATTCATTGCCACCTTCTCTGACGCTGCGCCTCCGTATACCGCCACAAGCCCTGTCGGCAAGCATCCCGCCTTTCCAAAAGAGTCGCTCGAGCTTCTTGCCGCGCGCATAGCTCACCATGACGACCATGGAGCAGTCTAGCAGCATGACGAGCGAGGGCAGTGGAAGCCGCGATCGTGGCCACATGGTAGGCAAGAGGCTTACTGCTGCCAGCATCGGCAACCGCAATACCAACCGCTACTCTGTCACTGCCCTCTACTCGATGGCGGCAGAGCAGGATGTCGAAGTAGAGGATGACCTCGCACGTGCTCAAAAGCGTCTCCGCGAACTTAAAGGCCGCATCTCGGCGCAGTCCAAGAAGAACTTCGTGCTCGAACGAGACGTCCGCTATCTCGACAGCCGCATCGCCCTTCTCATTGCAAACCGCATGGCTCTCGACGAGCAGAGCGAAGTCGCCTCCACGCTCGAAGAGACCGACTCAACGGCTGTCGGCACTTCGCTGGACGACCGCAAGATGCAGCAGTACGGCAACCTCTTCTTCCTCCTGCAGTCCGAGCCAAGACACATTGCCGCACTCTGCCGCCTTGTCAGCTTGGCAGAGATCGACACGCTCTTGCAGACCGTCATGTTTACCCTCTACGGTAACCAGTACGAGAGCCGCGAAGAGCATCTGCTCCTCACCATGTTCCAGTCCGTCCTCTCCGCTCAATTCGAGACCGCCACCGAGTTCGGATCCCTTCTGCGTGCCAACACGCCCGTATCACGCATGATGACCACCTACACTCGCCGTGGGCCCGGTCAGTCGTATCTCAAGAGCGTCCTCGCCGAACGTATCAACAGCCTCATCGAGCACAAGGATCTCAACCTCGAGGTCAACCCTCTCAAAGTCTACGAGCAGATGATCAACCAGATCGAAGAGGACACTGGCAGCCTTCCCCCCAACCTCCCACGCGGTGTGCCAGCCGAAGTTGCAACCGAAAATGCCGATGTTCAGGCCATCATCGCTCCAAGACTCACCATGCTCATGGAGATCGCCAACAGCTTCCTGCAAACCATCATCAACTCGATCGACGAAGTGCCCTACGGCATCCGATGGATCTGCAAGCAGATTCGCAGTCTCACAAAACGCAAATACCCTGACGCCACCGAGCTCGCCATCTGCTCCCTCATCGGGGGCTTCTTCTTCCTTCGTTTCATCAATCCGGCCATCGTGACACCCCAGGCTTACATGCTCGTCGATGGGCCTCCTGCCAAGCATCCTCGTCGTACCTTGACGCTCATCGCCAAGATGCTTCAGAACCTCGCCAACAAGCCATCCTATGCAAAGGAGCAGTACATGATGTCGCTCAACCCTTTCGTCGAGAACAACAAGGCTCGCATGAACGCTTTCCTCAACGCTCTCTGCGACGTTGGCGACTTTCACGAGACACTTGAGATGGATCAATACATGGCGCTGTCCAAAAAGGATCTTCAGATTCAGATCACGCTCAACGAGCTCTACAACACGCATTCGCTCGTAGCTCAGCATCTCGACATTCTTGCCCCGAACGATAAGCATCATCTTCGCATCCTCATCGACGAGCTCGCAGGCTCGCCAGGTCAAGTGCCGCGCAAAGAGAACCGGACATTGGATCTGCCCCTCTTCTCGCGGTGGGAGACACCCATCCAGGACTTGACGACGGCCTTCATGTCTGAGAACAATGTGACGCAGAACGACATCCTCTACATGGAAACCAAGTCCATCTTTGTCCAGCTTCTGCGTTCCATACCGTCGCTCGCCGAGAAGCGACCCATCAATCTGCCCGTTATCGCAGAGCGCGCCGCCACCACTAAGGATGCAACGCTTGTTCGCAAGGGCATCAAGGTCAAGGAGATGCTGCGCGAGCTTGAAGAGCTCAAGGTGGTAGATCGAAGGGACGGCTACAGCTTGATGACGGATGAAGTCGCTACCGAGCTGACCCACCTCGGCAACATGCGGGAAAAGGTGATGCAGGAGATGCGCAGCCTCGAAGCCGTTTACAAGACCATCTGCGAACACAACAACTACATGCGCAGTCAGCTCGACACGTACAAGAGCTATCTGCAAAACGTACGAATGACCAGCGGCAGCGCCAAAGACAAGAGCGCCGGTGGTGTCGGCGTCATTTCCGTCGGTGGCAAGGAGAAGAAGGCGCCCAAGACGCAGGCGTTGGGTCCCTATCGCTTCACCCATGCGCAGATGGAGAAGGACGGCATCATTGTCGAGAGCAACGTGCCCGAGAACCGTCGTGCCAACATCTATTTCAACATCACCTCGCCCTCGCCCGGTACCTTCATCATTGCTCTGCACTACAAGGGTAGGGAGAAGGCCATCCTCGAGATGGATTTGAAGCTGGATGATCTGCTGGAAAAGCAGAAGGACGACGTTCAGCTGCTCGACCTGGAATACGTGCAGCTGAATGTCTCCAAGATTCTTCAATTGCTCAACAAGACGTTCACAAAGCGACGATGATGGGTCGGCTTTTCGAGGAAATTGCTTCTTTTCACCTTTCGATCAACTTCTTGGATATACCCCTAATGTGGTTTCTTTCGCTCGATATTCTTGCACGAGACGTCGTCGTGGTCTGTAGGGCAGCGTTGGCGTCTCTCTCCTATCTATGTTGTACGCTCTTTTACCGGTGACTCTGTCAATGAAACTCAGTTGTATTCTCCAAACGCGTGATGTTGACACGACAACAGTGCGTACGAGTGAGGTGACGGTGTCAGCAGGTCAGGATGGTGTAAGCAGTCCAGCATCGCGAAGGCATTTTGAGATTGCGGTTCGGAGAAAAGACACATCAACTTTACTCGGTCTTGACGGCCACCTCGTCACCTTGGCCCGCAGCGGTAGCAGCGAGACTACCGTTTGACGGATCCGCCGTGGTGACCGTATCAGTCTCGGCCTCTGCACCGCTCGGCGTAGCTTTCCCCGCCCCCTGCTGCACCGCCTGCGCAATCCTCTGCTTAGCAATCCTCAATTCGGCATTCACCCTTTCCAGCTGCTTCCTCAACTCCAACCCCGTCGTCACCGCTCCAATCAGATTCTCCCACTTCTCCACATTCTTGGCCGTAGGGAAGATCAATCTCGGTGCCACTGGCGGATCGGATTCCGCGAGAAGCTGGGTTGTTTTCAGCACCAAATTCGGTCGAGGCGCGAGCATTCGAGATGAGCGCAGGTAGACGCCGTGACCGGAAGTAGGGTTGGCGGGGTTGGTGGTGATGGCGGGAAGGGTGGATGCGGTTCCGACGAGATGGGCGTAGGGAGGTCGTGTGGATTGAGCGGCTGCAACGGTGGGTGGGGCGGGGATGCCCGCGGCGGAGAGAGCCTCGGTGGTAGCTAAGTTGGGGGTGAATCTGACGATGCATTGCATCTCGTCGAACTGCGCCTGACGCAATTCTGCGCGTTGCTTGCTCGTCAAATTCGCTGACGGTCTCTGCACGACGGGGGCAGCGGTAGCAGCATCTTCCGCTCCCGGCGTGCCGATGTCTTCGATCTGCTGAAGCTTGCGCTTCTTGTTGGCACCACCGGCACGACCTTTGGAGCTCGGGTCCTCTTCACCTCCCAACAAGCTTGCGATACCCGACCCTGCAGCTGCGACAGCATGCGGACTGGAGCTCGGCAGGCTCTCCCATCCTCCCAACAAACGCAAAAGCTCTTCGCGTTCGGATGCGTATTTGGCTTCGTTTTGTTCGATGCGTCGAATCTCCACATACAACGCCTCTTCCTCTGCTAGCTGTTCCGGTGTGCGCGTGTAGAGCCGCGCGACTGCTTTTTTGCGTTCCACCTCGCGCTGCTTGTCGAAGGCGTAGGTGCTCAGCAGCATCTGTCGGGTTTCCACGTCGTCGGTCGAGATCCGAGACCGGATGAGTCGTCGACAGATGGCGTAGTAGCGTGCTTTGAGATCCTCCATCGACCTCTCTTTGGCCGGTTGTGCGATGGCCGAGGCGGATCCGGCGAGGAACGAAGGTTGGGCGGCTGCCCAGTCGTATCGATCGTGGATGACTACGAAGCGTAGGTCGTAGGCGGTGCAGAGCTCCATGAGATAGTCGGTCTCTTCTTTGGTCCAGTCATCGTCTCGTAGGTGCTGGATGTATTCGTCGTTCGAGTAGCTGTAGACGCCGGAGTTGGTGTTGAACTCGGCGTACTGATACTTTGTCTCCGGATCAGCGTCTTCGAGCAGCTGTCCGTCTCCTGCCGCCGCCGCCGCCGCTGCCGCTGCTGTCGACTGACTAGCAGGTGCCCAATGATGCAGCACGAGCCCGTTGTTGATCTCTGGCGTTTCGTCATCGATCTGCGTATCGTCACGAGCCGAGTTGAGGAAAGGAGTCCATCGCCACTGTCTCACTTTCTCCTTGCGACGCTTGAATTTGGGCTTGAACAACGCTCCCATTCCCATACCTGGTTTTCCCTCGGCGTCGAGCCCATGTGTCATTGCGAGCGTGGGGGCGTTGTCGCCGAGAAGGGCGAAGAGTTCTCGTGTCATGCCGTCGTACTTGGGCTTGGAACGAGAGGCGGATGCTGCAGTGGATGGATGTGGGTTGTTCGAGCTGGATGACTTGCGCGGTTTGGATGATGAGGAGAATGCGTGTGCTGAGGAGGAGGGGCGAGAGCCCGATCGCTCCGGTAGGGAGAGAATGTCGCGCACATCGTTGGATGTCATGTTGGCGCAACTGGACGAGCCCGACGCCGGTGCGAAAGCAGATGGTATGAGGCGTTGCTCTGACACGATACGATCGCCTAGCGTGTGTCTAGGGCGAGGCAGGCGGCGAGGCAGGCTGCTGGGCGAAGAACTTGGGAGAAGTGATGGTAAGGAAGTGAGAAGCTGTAGGTCTTGGCGACGACCCTTGCTTGACTGTTCAGGACCTTTGGCAACAGAAGGAGATCGGGGCCCGATTTTGTGTCCCCGCGAAAATCTCACAGCCGACTAAGTTATGTGTACGGTGCACGACCCTCATCAAGGGTCCATCTTTCTCCTGCATCAAGACGATGTAAGTTGCCTTGCGACCGCCGAACAACTCCTGATCATCTTGAATATCCTCGAAGCGTCCTTCGCCCCTGACGTCCATCGCGCTCGAGGGGATGCGCGGATTCAGACGTATGCATCGGCATCGACGATAATCATGTCGCTTCTCGTCGATCCGGACCATCTCATCCACTCCTTGCGGCTGGCGTACTTGAAGCGTATAGACGACCACTATGGTCCCAGGATCATCACCTTCCCTTCCGTCTCTGCTGGCAAGCAGGACGCTTCAACGTTATCGGCGAATCCGCCAAATGTTTCGCAGTCACTATCAACCTCGTCTTCATCCACTTCCTTCTTCGCATCGTCCTCCACCGCTGCGCGCAGAGATGATGCTCCAAGCCGCGCCTCGGCATCGCTGTCCTATCACAACCCCTTCGGCCCAGACTCACACGTCGTAGTCGCCGGGCTCACAGATCCTTCGCGCCATCCGGAGCTTGCTACCGTCTATTCTCCAGTGCCAACAGCCGCAGGTCCTGGCTTGTTTGGAGGATCCAGTGACAAGATCGACAGAGGTCGAGAAAGGAATGCGGACGCGCTGGATGGCGGAGCCGATGCCACCGATGGTGGCCACAGACCTGGCGGCTTGTCGTACACGCAGACCATCTATGGACCTGGTCGGAGCGGCGCTTTGGGCATGAGGGTCAATGGCCGCAGAGCGAGCAAGCGGGTCAGTATCAGCACGAATCGGTCTCCCGCACCGCCAGCTGTCGAGAAGAACGACAAATCGGAGGGGCTGCAGGAACCAACAACAGCCGAACAGACCACTGCGTCGCCGGACAAGGTATCGGCAGGCAAGACAGTCATTCAAACAGCTGGGAATAGTCTGTCGCGTCCACCAGGCGAGGCGAAGCACGAGACAGAGTTGGAACTGCGCGCTGATTTCGCCAACGTAGAGACCGGAACGGTCATGGGAAAACGTGTCAACTTTGCCCTGCCAGACAATCCTTCCGGTGCGGGTCGTGCGTCTCTCGACGCAGAACCAACTTCTGAAGATCAATCGCTCTCGCCTCGTCCTCAAGGCGCAGCTGCAGGGCGTCACGGCTCGCTGTATGCGGACAGCTCGACTGAGTCCAACACCGCATTGTCCAGTCTCGGCTCGGCCGGTTCCTTACCGGACGGCAGCTTGGGTTTGACCACGATCAATTCCGCCATCACAGGAGGCCTTCATTCACCACGCTCCTCAGCAAGTCAAGGCAGAGACGATATTCTCACCGCTCGCTCCTCTCCCGTCACGTCTCGCCCGGTTGTACCACCGCGCAACGACATTCCTTCGCTTTCCGCACCACCAAAGATGGTCGTATCGGCAACCGATGACAGCGATGAGAACAGCGACATCAACAAGGCGACACACGCTCGCAGCAGTCGGACAAAGCGACGGAACAGTCGGCGGATGAGTCATCCTCACGATGCACGCTTCGTGGGGCAGTCCGACTACTTCTCGTCGATCCGCGTAAGCCGAAGTCAGCTGGAGGCACGGCATGCCAATCGACCCAAAGGTTCCATACTCAGCTCGATGCTCCAGAAGCAAAATTCTGGACCCGAGAACCCTTTCGCTGCCTTCTATGCTGGCATTGCTGGCCGTGCAGCAACCGTGCCCAGCATGACGGTGGAGATCTACTTTCCCTGGGCCGAGAGTAGGCAGCCATCGCCATCATCACCACCGACGAGCGGAGCCATTTCGGTGCATCCAAAGACAAAGAGCATGAAGCTCAACATTCGTAAAGACGCTACCATGGAGGAGGTCATCGGCTACGGTCTCTACTGCTACGTCGAGGAAAAGTGGAAGCCCGAGTTGGATCCTATGGAATCCACGAGCTCCGATAGCGAGTGCGAGGCCAAGACGACGACGATCGGATGGACTTTGATGATCGTCGAGGATGGCGAAGTGGACGACGATTTCCCTGCCATCGATCAGAGCCTCTTGCTTGGCAAGTTTGGAGGCGACGAGTTCGCAATCTGCGAAGCTACGCCGAATCAGATTCGACAGCATCGCGATACGTACACCAGCATTGCAAGGAGGACGGTGCGCGCACCGACTACATCCAAGACGGTCGGCAACAAGACTGGCGGCGGTGCCGGCGAGTCAATTGCCGCTGGGCCTGGCACGGTCGACGCAACGCAGAGCACGTTGGTCGGCGGAGCAAAGAGCGGAGCGGCGGCTATCTCGGGCAATCCTGCTCTGGCGAGTCGCCTAGGCGTACCTGGGGCGGGTGCGCAAGTGACACCAGGCTCTCTGGTCAACATTCAGGGCACCCCGATCTTTGCCTCGGGCGCCCTGTCACGCAGCGCTCTGGGATCGTCTTCGCAGTCGATTTTCCTTCGCGTGCTGGTGACGCCGAACACAGAGGTGCGCTACAAGACGACGCTACAGGTGCCTTCCGACATGTACCTGGCAGATGTGCTCGAGATGATATGTCGCAAGCGACACTTGTCGAATGTGGACGACTGGGCGCTCATCGTGCCGGACAAGAGCATTGTCGTACCGCTCGACCGGACAGTCGAGTCTCTGCAGGGAAATCACGATCTCGCCCTCGTCCGCCGGTCAAGCCTAGGGGCTTTGGGAGGCACCGGTGCTCTCAGCAGCTCATCCACTAACCCCAACGCATCGATCTTCAAACGCTACTCGGCCGACACCAACGCGGCCTCCGGTCAGCCCAAGTATACGAAAACACTCGACATTGCAGCAGCGTACAAGTCGTACACAGTGTATCGCAAATCGCCCATGTTTGGCGGACGACACAACGAGCGCAGCCTTACGCTCGATGGAGACTGGATCCACATCATGCCTACGGACATGAAGACGTTTGGCAAAGCGGCTTCGTTCCACGTATCGAGCGTGGTAGCGTGCAAGCTGTCGAGCAAGCTGGTCAACGGATTCAAGCTGGTCGTTTGGAGAGAGAGTCCGAGGGACACCAAGAGGTACGATTTCGAAGCCGATTCGGCTAGGATTGCAGCGGAGATTGTGAGGGAGATCAACTTGTTGAGGAGTCAGAATTCTTGAACCGAGATTTCGAGGCAGTGATTTTGTGCGCCGGGTAAATTTAAGTCATGTAGCCCCTATTTTTGGTCTCAGATTTGAAAAACCGGCAATGCACACTCTTGTTCTAGTGAGTTCCAAGCGCGGTCTGCGGACGTGCGAGAGCATGAGTGGTTCTCAGGATCTCGTCGGAGTCATGGTACGAGACGAAGGCCCAGGCTGAAGGGAGAGAAGTGTCTTACATAAAGCTCGGGTTAGGCAAGGTAAGGTTGATGCGGGCGTCTGCCTGCACTTTGGTGTTTGTAGGGCGCTACCCGTCTTGCAGGCGGGAAGCACAGCCCTGCAACTGCGGGAGGCTCCCATCCCATCATACTCTGCAGCGACGACAAAAGATAGCGAAGAAAAGCTGGTTGCGGGAAGTGCGAGTCTAGGAAGCTGTCGTTCTCCGGTGGAGCAGGTCAGGCTTGCTTTGGGCACCGACGAGGGCCGCACCCTAAAGTGTCTTACAAGTGCCGGGCCTGGGTGCGCTGCATTCCGTCGGCTCGTTTCGAAGCGTCGAGTTGGAAAGTGTCCGGCTCCAATGAAACGAGTTCGGATGAGGTGGTTCCATACTACAGTACCAGCTCGACCTTCGAATCCACCTCATTTGAGTCGGAACAAGCGCCGATGAAATGGGAAACATGATCGGCCCGGCCGAACTCCAGCCCACCGGACACTCCGCGGAATGCGAACACGGCGAGTGTGACCACGGCCATTCAGCTTGCTTCTTCGCTCCGTAGATGAGACCGGTAAGGACTCGATCCGATTCGATCGTCGGCCCGAGAAATCGTCGACGACAAGCCCACACCGGACGACCGATCGATCACCAGCTCTTGTATGAGACGGACTTCTGGTGAAGTGCATTTCTGGATACTCCAAGTCACAACAGGTACGATCTTGTATCACGCTCGTCGACACGTTTGGCTGCCAACGAGCGTGTGGGAGACGCTATGGGGGACTGAACGGCGAACGAGACAAAGCCGAACGGCGAGTTCACCGCTGATCGGTTGCACCGCTGTCTCATTCTTTACTGGCCCGCATGCCGGACAACATTGAGAGAGCGAGATCGTTGTCAAGCTCTGTTCTATTAATGCAACAATTGCACTTTTGACTACAAACCAGTGTTCGAAGTTGTTGGAAGGTTCTACGGCATCTACGCTGTTTGCGAGGAGCGAGTTTGCAGCTGCAGACGTGCAAATGTTTCGACAGTGCCGAGGCGAGCGCTGCCAACTTCATATACACGGTGGTCGCCATAGCCTCACGGACTGTTCTACCGTGTCGGCTGCGGCTGCCTCCTTATCGACAGTATGCTACGGGGACCATACAACTTGTGCCAATTGTGACACTAAAGAGAGCGAGAAAAAGAGAAAAAGAAAAGAAAAGTGACAGGCACATATGCATGCAGCCGAGCTTGCTCGAGACACTGGCATGGTGCCAGGGTCTAACGGATGGGCCGTTTTCGCGAGACAAGGGTCTCGATCCGAAGGCGCCTGTCGGCTAATCAACCCGTTCGATCCTCGTTTCCTCGAGCCAGCCTCGTCGCATCGTCCCAACTCTACACCAAAAGCCGCCCTGCTCTCCATCACGGCAGGTCACCTACCGCAGATTCCGGATTGAAAGAGGCTGTGCTGCTGATATCATATCTTGTGAGCCACTGTACTACGAAAAAAGGCGGGTATCGTCGCATGCAAAGGAATGCAGGCATTCATGCATTTGTGCGTCAACACGCGAGGTTCTGAGGAAAACGTCACCACGCTTTCGCATAGACTCCAAAGTCCGTAGTACGCCACGCCAACCATCGATCGCTCCGCTCACACCGTCTCGAGCGGTGGCGTCGGAGGCTTACGGTGCGGCGACCGCAGCAAGTGACGAGACAATCACCGATGGTCGGTACTTTTGTGAGAACTGGTGGTCGGGTGACGCTATCGTAGCGATTCGTGAGGTGTCGGTCGCAGCTCGCTTCTGCTTCTAGTCTCTTCGCTCTCTTCAGTGGCTGGTCTCGCGCTTCGCTTTGACCCATGTACCAGTACACGCTAACTTAAGGGGACACTGGACTCGATCGAACGCACCAGTGGGACTGAACGGTGTTCCACGACCCACGCCTCAAGCCCGTTCCTTGCGCAGCAGTCGCCGCCAATGCGAACTTGAAGTCAGTCAAGACCACTCTATCATTTCGGTTCTCGAAATCCATACGCTCGTCGTGGCCTGGACAATGGCGGCTACAACACTTTGCTGCCTTCGACGAAGCTCACACGCACAATACATGCACCGAGCCCTCGAGGCGGATCGCCATATTGAGTTGTCACAAATGATACATTGCTTGTTGGGCGGCGTTGAGCATTTCAATCGAGAGCACAATGCTGGGAAAGAGCATGAGCTTCATGTGGTGGGATCGGTTAGCGGTGAACCGAACCTAAAAGCGAAACGAAAAAAGAGAGCCAAGCTTGGCGGGTCGCGATTTTAGGCGGATGGCTCACTCGATCGAGGCAACGCTTGTCATGACGAATTTTGAAATTCTTGATTTCTTTTTTGGATGCCCGCTGCAGAGAACTGCGTGAATGCACTTGCAATTGCCTTTTTCTGCCAAAGGAAATTGGCGTTCCCGTGAATTTTTGGATGCGGCTGTGAACGGTCACCGCTCCGCAGCGATGTGCCGTGCTGGACCTGCCAAAAAGAGAATGGATCCACACGCTCCGCCCGCCCAGCCGAATTTCGATCCAGCTGAATCAGTCAGCCAGCCCGCCTGGGCTCGCTTGGCTCAGCGCTTTCCTGTCAGCCAAACGTCGGCTCTCCCGCACTTTGGCTTTCCCTCTCAGAGCCTTGGCCCTCGATTGCGAAACGCTCTTGATCGTCTCTACCACCATCTCGACCATCTTTCCATCGAGTCTGCCCGTCGCGAAAGCGCATATCAGCTGCGGCTTTCACCTCTAACTCGCCTTTACAGGCTAACGACCCATTGTAAGTGCCATTTCTCTCCATTTGGCGCTCGAAAATCTCGCTTGCTTGCGCACTCACCACCTCGGTAGCAGCTCGCCCGGACCTCCTCGATCCTGCTGCCAAGAGAAGGTGAACAATGGTCAGAATCTGTCGATGAAGCCGCGCCTCAATCTATGCAATGCACTCGACCTTGTCGATGCTTCTGGTGCGAGGTTGTGCACCATCCGCGCTTACCCTCGCGACCTAGATCGTAGATGCACGCATGCATGCACGGTGGCTCTTGCCAACTGCGATCTCATGAAAGCGTGTTGAACAGTGGCGTTGTGTCCCTTCAAGTCAAACTTGATCGTCTGACTGGCACACGGACCGTCGGCATGCACATGCGAATGCTCGTTTCATCAACGTGTTGTCGCATCCACCTGCCTCATCACCCTGTGTCGGTCCGTGAATTTGCTGGCTTCTTTTACAGAGGCGCAGAAAGCTGACCGGTGTTTCTCTTCTCTCTCCCGTCTCCTTCATTTCAACTTCACCCGGACGCCGCAGTTAACGACCATCTAACGACCCAGCAATCCATCCCGGCTTGAATCCCGGATCATTTTCACACTTGTCACATCCCACTTAACGCCACCCCTCCAAACAGCCACAGTCCACTGCTCTTTTCGACCCTTCCACCTGCATCGCCGGCACGGACATTTCGGTTCACCACGCGCTAACCGCCCGCGCTTGTCCTTGTCCTGTAACCACAACCCATCACTTGAAACAGCGTAGACGCTATTTCATCTGCATGCCAGTTTTGACGTGCACCGCTCCCCTTGTCACGAACCTTTAACGACCCCAGGCCTCTCCTCCAGCTTTTGAGGAGTGCCTGTAACGACTTTAACGACCCGTTCTATCCCACTCGATTCACGTCCCTCTTCTCCAGCATACTGTTCACGACGACCCCTCGCCATCTCTTGATTCCTCTTTCCCTCTGATCACGATTACGCCTTCCACCGTCCGTAGAACTCTTTTCACGACCGCACATCCTTTCTTCATTATCAAAATGGAGGAGCAACTCTTCAGTCCCAGCGCCGCTGCTCAGCTCTTTGATCTCCCCCTTTCCTCGGGCGGTCTCATCGGCTTCTCGCCATCCATCGATACCGAGAGCTCCTTGCCTCTCACCTTTGGCGACTCTCTCGAGACGTCCGCCTTCATGCTTGAGGTTCAGCGCAAGCGCGCCGACACCGTCACCACTCTCAAGCCCGACTTTGATTTCAAGGACGACTTTGGTTGTGACACCACCACCTTCTTCAACGACATTCCTCAACGTCCGCGTGCTGCTCAGCGCCTCTCCCTCACCCCTTCGATCGGCAGTTCCGCCGCTTCCACCGCCTCTGAGTACGACGACAGCGGATTTGACAGCGAAGCCGACCTCAGCTATGCTGCCTCCCCCGCTGCTGACGATGCTTGCGCCGCTCAATGGACCGACTCGTCCTTCAATCCTTTCGACGCCTCCGCTTCGATTCAATCCGCTTTCAACCGCATCAACTTCCACTCGCCAAGCGGCGAAGCCAAGGATGCCACCATCCGGGCCAGCACCTTCAACCACCACGCCGATTTCAGCTTCAACGAGTTCATCGAGGACGCCGAACACGGCGCACAGAAGCTTGCCGCTTCTGCCATTGTGGGTGCCATCCCAACCGGCGATGATGTCAGCTGTGTCATGAACTCGCAAGTGCCCATCTCGCCCTTGAACCTCGGCGAAGCCCAAAGCCAGTGCGGTCACGGTCATGTCCGGTACAGTGGAAGCGAATCCAGCCTCGGCATCTTTCAGGCTTCCGATGTCGGCGCCGTCCACATGCCGATGCAGCCTTACCATCTCAACTCGTACTACGGCAACGCTGGCCCTTGCCCCATGGTCTTTTCCCAAAGCGCTCCCGATGCGACATGCTTCCACCCCCATGGCTCGCCCTGCCCTTCTTCCCCCAGCAGCGCTCGCAGCTCGTCTCCCTTCCCTACTTTCGGCATGGCTGGCGCCATGCCCTCGGTGCTTGCGTCGCCTCCCTCCCGACAGGATCAGATCCAGGTCCAACACGTGCCTGCTCAGGCTCCCGGTCTTGCCATGCTGCCTAAGGGCATGAGCCTCTACAGCCACTTTGCCCACCTTGCCAACCCGTACGCCGGACTCATCACCAAGCGCTCTCGCGGTCGCCGCGTGCCCAACAAGCCCGAGGAGATGAACAACCTCGGCAAGAGCGGCAAGGTCTACACTTGCAAGGTGCCTGGCTGCGGCAAGTGCTTCAAGCGCAGCGAGCATCTCAAGCGCCACGTCCGCTCCATTCACACCGACGACAAGCCCTTCCTTTGCCCCTTCCCCTCGTGCAACAAGCGCTTCAGCCGACACGACAATCTCAACCAACACGCTCGCGTACACACCTCGATGGGCGGTGGTGTTGCGGGCTCCGCGGGCGAAGAGTACGATGCTTCATCTGTCCACCCCATGTCGCAAATCCACATGGCTCTCGCTCATCCCATGGTGCTCACTGCGGCACCTCAAGGTGGTATCTCGATCGCATCTGGCCCGACGCCCCAGATCAAGCAAGAGAACTAAGCTGCCGGCTCATTCTTTTCTTGAAGAAGCCCGCTTTCAAGCTACAGTCTCTTCTTGCTGTTCATTGGATCCTCGTCGTTCCTTTTGCGATACCCAGGTGGCCCTGTTGGCGATGATTTCTCTCGTCGCTCTGGACTGCCGCTTTGATGATACCACTTTGCTTTTGTTGTTTCGCTTTCGAGCTCTTATGTTGTGAGCGTTTTGTCGTCTCCTTCACCGCTGCCTGACCTCAGCCAACGACTTTTGTCGACGTACATAGTCTGTTGGCTTCTGACGGTCGGTAGCCGCTCTGGGGTGTTGGGTGACTCTCTGGCTCAACACCGATGCTGCCCCTGTGATTGCGACGTGCCTCGACCCGAGGTCGTCTTTTGCTCCGCCTTGTTCCACGTCTCTTTTCTATGATCGATGCGGTCGCCTCCTTCTCACGGACTTTCACTACTTTCCTCTTGACCTCCCTCGTCGCCGTCATCTTGATTGTTGATAACGATCAGATCCTGCACGGACACTCACTTCCCTTGGTTTAGTCTTTGTTTGTAGTTGCCCACCGTGTGCCGCTGCTCAACGACATCTTGCCCCACTCAGAGAGAGGGTTGGCGAGAACAGTTCGTCAAGCAGTGGCACTGGTCTTCCTATTCCTGTACGTAGTCGCTCTGGTCTCACTTTTATTTCTGAAATTCAAGCCGTTCCGCTGTCGATGCTCGGAGTTGAGTGATGTGCGGATGTGGGGGGAACTGAGCGACTGTGAGAAGGAGGCAGTGAGGAAGTGAAGATGGAGAGGGGGTCAAGATACTCTTCAGGCATGGAACTTTCGACCGGTGAAGAATTTGAAAGGACAGACTGATTGCAAGCGATTCGGCAGAGGGTTTGAATTTGGAAGAGAATGCGAGAGCTCTCTAAAGGATGTACAGTGAGGGATATGAGCAAAGAAGAGCCATACTACTTCAACTCTGGAATGCCAGCCAGCTCGTCGTAGCCGAGCGCTACGTTCAGGTTCTGCAAACACTGAGTAGCGGCGCCCTTGAGCAAGTTGTCGATCACGCCTACGACGACGACCCTCTTCCCATCGCTGTGAACCTGGAAACCACCGAGCTTCAACCCGTGTTGGAGTTGGATGTCCTTGATTTCGGGGACTTTGTCTTGGATGTGGACGAGGGGTTCGTTGGCGAAAAAGTCGAGGTAGAGTTGTTTGACCTCTTTGGAAGAGAGTTTCTGTTTGAGCGGGGCGGAGAGGGTGGAGATGATACCTTGGAACCAGGGGGCTACGTGGGGGATGAAGGCGACTTTGACGGGGGAACCAGCGAGACGGGAGAGTTGATGACCTGCCTCTCGTTCGTGAATGTGATCGGTAAGCGAGTAGGCTCGAATACCCCCAGCCAGATCATCCGGCGTGATCTTGGGTACCGTCTTACGCTCCCCCGATGGCGTCTCTGACGCCTTCGTCCCCGCTCCAGAGTATCCCGATACTCCAAACACAGTAGGTCCCGCAGCCAGATCCAGCACAGGAAGCAAAGGTGCAATCAGCGCCTGGTTGTTCGTCGCATAACATCCCGGATTGGAAATCAGCTTGGACGATCGAACTTGCTTGCGCCCATAGATCTCTGTTCAACAGCAACAAGAAAACGTCAGTACTAGCTTCAACCAAACCCCGAACCCACCGCAACTCCCGCTCAACAAGAGGACTGACAACAAGAGCGGCAGCAACACGCACAGACACCGGTAGAAAAGACGATCATCACTTTATCACGTGTGGTGTTTGCATTCATTTCTTCCGGTGTTCTGTACACGTTGCAGTTCCCCTCTCTGTCTCATCGCGTTGCGTCGTTGCCAAGCGTGCAATTCAATCATCTACTGACCTGGCAAACCATAAGTCCACTCGTCCTGGAAACGATAATCAGCCGAAAGGTCAACAATGACGCCGTGACCGTTGGGCTTGTTCTTACCACCTTCCTGAACAGCCTCGACAAACGGCTTGCACACGCCGTTCGGCAGAGCCATGACGTACGCATCAGGTGGCGCACCTGGACCCTCACCGCGCTCGAGCTTCTTGAGGTCCTCGACGCCGATGTTGGTGTAGTTGACCTGCGATCGGGTGTACTCCTTGAGCGGCAGACCCGCCAACTCTCGCGAAGAGACGTGCGAAAGTTCAATGTGAGGGTGATTGTTGAGCAGCGCGATCAGCGATTGACCGGTGTAGCCACGAGCGCCGATCAAAGCGACGCGCTTCTTGTCGGTGGTCGAGGCTGGGATGGGCCCGCTGCGCTCGACAGCGGTGGCGTAGCCGCGGCGGGAGCCGGCCATGACGCGCGAAGAGGTGAGACCGGGACGAGCCATGGTCGAGTAAGCGCGGGTGCCGCCGGGCGAAGAGGGCTTGGCGGGCTTGAGCGGCAGATAGGCACGTTCGATGCGGCTCTTCTCTTCAAGGTTGCGGACGATGGTCTCGACCTCGGCAACATCGTGGATGCCGTAATAGAAGAGCGAGCGGCCATTGCGGGTGAAGGAGCCATCTGCGCGCTCGTAGTGCCACGCTCGCTGGTCGTCGTCGGCACGCGAGGTCCACACGAGGCGCTTGTGGTCCTTTCGGATCTGCTTCCAGATGTTGTCGTTGACGCCGTTCAGCACACCGTTGCGGCTGGTGACGAGCTTCTGAAGGATAGGAACCTCGCCTTCAGGCTGCGAGACAAAGGCAACGCAGTCAAACGGCTCGTCGCCGTAGACGGTGTAAGGGTGCTGGGAGATCTCGGAGAAGAACTCGGCGACCGACTTGCGACCTTCCTTGATCTCCTCATCGTTCTCCTTGAGCACCTGACGAATGCGCTCGGCACCCACCTCCTCGATGCTGTTCTTGCGGTAGAGCTTGTAGCCACGTCGGATGAGGGTACCGGCACCGCTGTCCGTGAAAAGCTCCTTCTGCAGCTGGTCGACTGAGATGATGGCGACAGAGGACGAGCGGGGAAGGTGGTCAAGCAGCTCCTTCATCTCGCGAAGCTTGAGCTTGGTGCCGTACTTGACCCACTCCTCCTTCATCAAGTCGTCGTACTCCTCGTCGAGGTTGATGACCTCCATAAGCTCCTTGGTCTTGCCGTGGTAGAGACCGCCCTTCTCGTTGAGGTAGACGATCTTGAGCGGCTCGAGCGTCTTGGAGAGCTCGGAAGCGGCGACGTCGGCATTGACGTTGAGGATCTGTCCGTCGTTGGTGACGGCGAGCGAGGTGAGGATGGGCAAGCAACCGGCTCGGATGGCGCTCTCGATTGGCTCCTTATCCACCTTGTTGATCTTTCCGACAAGACCGTACTTGTCCTTGTCGAGGTAGTCGGCAGTGAAGGTGCCGATGGGGATGGGTCGAGCACGGCTTCCGAGCGATTCGAGCTTCTCGACGAGACGCATGTTCTCCTCGAGGAAGATGCGACGAGCGACCTTGAGCGTCTTTGCATCGGTGATTCGGATGCCATCGATGTAGTCTGGCTCGACGCCCTCCTTCTCCAAGAGCTCGTTGAGCTGAGGGCCGGCACCGTGGAGGACGATGGGGTAGAGGCCGATGCGGTGAAGGAAGGAGAGACTCAGAGCGAGCTCCTCGAGCTGGTGGGTGAGAATGGCGCCTCCGACCTTGATGACGGCGAACTTGTCAGCGGCAGAGAAGATGCGAAGGTACCTCTCTACCTCCTTGCGCGAGGCGAGCGAGTACAAAAGCCTGGTGATGGTCTCCCTGTCGTAGGCGTTTTCGCGAGCGGCAGCGCTGGAGTAAGATCGAACAGGCGGCACGGCAGCAGCAGCGCGAGTCTTGGTGGACTCGGCCTGCGAAGAAGAGGCGGAAGAGGCGGTGGCAACGCGAGCGGTCGAAGCGGTGCTCAACCATCGCTGCGAAGCGACAGCAGCACGGGCGAGACCGCGCGAGGACGATCGCTGGGCTGCGAGCACACCCATCGTGATGAAAGCGACCTACGCGAACGTACGAGGAGACAGAGCTGGATCGTGCCGTGTGTGAAAGGTGAGGACGGCTGTTGCGTGGAACTGACGAGAGCTAGCTGCTTGCTTCGACGTCCGAAGATGTAGGGGGTGAGACCAAAAGGAGAGCTCGAGATGTAGAAATGTGAAGGTCTCGGGAACCAGACCGAGAATGAGACTGACTCGCTCCGACCGACAAGCGACTCTGCTTGTTGGCCCAAGCCAAACCAAATCAAGTCATTTTAGCGCCAGTTTCCATTATTCGCTGCAAACCCTGTTTCCTTCGCCCTCGCGACCAAACTGACAGCCAATCGAATCCGTGCGTTGCAGCTGGCTGGCTAGTTTCTTATCTCGAACGCCCTTGGTCTATCGGCACATCTAATCAATTTGACAAGGGTTTTACCGGCCAAATACAGGCTCGCCTCGAATTTGTATTCAATCCTGCCTCCACGCAGCAGAAATTTGAAATGGTGACAAGCTGGTTTCGGTGTCTGACTCGACCCTTCGGCTTCGTGGTTCGTTCATATGAACGACTAAGCGGCAGGTCCGGTCATACGAGTCTATCAACATTTCATCGGAGAACCGTTTGGATGAGCTCGACAGTGTGTCTCATCGGAGGAGGGCATGTGCAACACAGCTGATCGCGACATGCACCGATGGGATCCGTTGATTGAAAAAGAAATGACAAGAACCAAGCAAGGGGGACAACGAACGATACTGCTGACAGAATACATTACACAATGAGAAAGGAAGACCAGGAAAGGACAGAAGAATAATCGGATGCAGCTCTGAGTCGAACAAGCAATCGTTGGAGTAGAAAGAAACGAGAGTGGCAAAGCAAATGCCGAGCAGTCTTACCTGAGACCGGGCACTTTGACAAGCCGGACGGCCATCGCTAGCAATAGCCTGTCCAGGCTCGCTGATTCGAGAAGAAAGGAAGGTGAGGAGTCTCTGACTGCATCGCGACCTGCTAGACTGAGACGCAATGCGTCGTCGACTCCAAACATCGAAACGCAGATTATGGACGCAAAGATGCCGAGGCGATGTTCGCATTGAAAGAGAGAAACCATCGGAGAGAATGCGCTCACACTGCAGTCATGAAGCTAGCGGACTGCAGCGGCGCCGGATCAAAAAAAGCCGATGGGTTGAAAGCGGCAGAGTTGGCAAACTGCTGCTGCTGCTGTTGATGCTGCTGCAGTTGAAGCTGGAAGTGGAGCTGCTGCTGCTGCTGCTGAAGCTGGTGCGCGCTGCGCATTTGCATCAAGTTGTTCGTGTTCAACGAAAATTGACCGAGAGGAGCGGGCATACCAGAGGTAGTGGCATCAGCAGAGATGCCTTGCATGCCGAACTGTGCGCTGGACGCAAATGGATGCGTGCCGTTGATCTCGGTACGGGAAGAAGCCATCAGTCCCTGATGAACGGGTGTCGAGTACGTGAGACCAGCGTACGTCAACGGCTGGGCCTGAGCGGAACTCGCGCCTTGTCCATCAAATCCAGCGGGCTGGACCCAATTTCCGGCGGCATCCTCGACATTTCCGATGCGATCGGCTGTAACGACGTCACCAGAAGCAGACGAAGCTCCGGGCGAGGTGCTGCTGGTGGCGGCTCGATTAGCAGGGGCCATCAGGAACGAGAAAGCTTGTCCTTGGACGCCAGTCTGCGTAATCGGAGTGAAACCGGCGACACCGGCGGGAAGCGAGCTAGAGAGCGAGCCGCGCACGCTCGAGCCGACCGAACACGACGAGGTGGGGCTGTTCTTGCCGCCTTCGTCGCTTCCAGCACCGAACGTGCCATCGTCGTCGTCGAGATCGTACATCTCGCCAAGATGACCAGAGGAGCCTGTGCTGGCTTGACGCTTCTTGTTCCTCATCTCTGCCATAGGGATGGGCAGATCGTCGATGGGAGGCTGCGGCAGCGTCTCCAGGCCAGCCTGCGCAAGGAACTCGTTTAGCTGCTGGCGAAGCGACATGTTTTCCTGTCGCATGTTTTCGATCTTGAGGCGGTACATGGCCTCACGATTCATGGCGTCGGCGACAAAATCGAGCGACTTGTTGACGATGAGCGACTTGGACGGACGTCGCACATCGGAAATGACGGGCAGGGAGGCGGCAAGCTGAAGGAAGCGGCCGTTCAGAGACTCTCGACGGGCTCGCTCGATGGCATTGTGCGTGGCCCTACGCTCTGCGCTGGTGCCCTTCTTATTGCCTCCGCCGCTTCCAGCGGGGCGCTGAAAGACGGGTGCGGAAGCAGCCTGGCCTTCAAGCTTGACTGCGTTGGTCGATTGCATGCTGTGCGATGCGGAAGGGGAACGGGAAAGATGTTGCGGTGGGGCGGAAAATCAGATAGGAGGCGCAATGGCAGCCAGTCGCTATCCGGAAGTGGTGATGGGAAGGTTCACGAAAGAGGCACGATGTCTTGTGCAGCGACCAAACGGCGCGCGTGGAATCTCGTAGCCTCTTGGGTGGGGTAAGGGTGGTGTTGCGTGCAAGAGCCTCTGACGAGAAGACTCAAGTGGGGTGGAGGTGGAGAGATTTCGGCGGAGTCGAGGAGAAAGTTGAAGTGATTGGCAGGATGAAAGGCGGTGATATGAGAAAGATGATGAGGGGGCGAGCTGGCTGTTTCGCGAGTAAAACTCAAGCGGACTAGGCTGTTTAGCAGGCAAGAGAATGGACATGGTGAATGAGCAAGTGCAGACAAAGAGGAAGAAGGTCAGTCAATCCGCTTCCAAAGGGCATTGCGGCTAACAGTATTAGCTCGCCAACGACGATGCTTTGCCTGCCCAGGTCGACTAGCATAATGGCTAGCGCAGCAGAAGATGTGCGCACGCTGAATGTCGGATTACAAGCCAATCGTGATCATTGCCAGCCACGCAGTATTCGAAAATGATATACATACCACAGACTCTGAGGGATGGCGGTGAGGAGGGTTGGGTAGCGACAGCAGCTGACCGGATGACGAGGATGGTGGTGAGGAAGGTGAAGTGAAAGCCGAGCGGACAGGCCTTACAGCTGTACAGTGCTGGGCCGAGTAAATTCGAAAATTGGTCACCCGACGAGAATATCAGTGCCTGGTTGCAGCAGCCGAGGCGCCTGGAGACAGCACACTCGTCTCTTGCCTTGCTACAACTGCTTTTCTCACTGTGCACTCAAGACACCGGATGATCCTGCAACGACAATTTGACCGTCCAGGATCACGATCGTGGGAATCATGCTGTCACTGTCATGCGTCAATAGCGAGCGTGAAGCTGCGTTCTGTGCTGCCTCGCATCGGTGCGGCCTCAGGAACAGGACGAGGGAAGTGCCAATACATCTGGGAAACAACGAACAGGCAGACAAGGAGACGAGAGAGTTCAGGCACCGATGCGGCCAAGAGGCGGTGCAAAGTTCAACCGACTGTCACCGTCCCGCTCCCGATTCGACTGCACGCACATCTGTAACCGGTTCACAGAAATTGACCGGCCCTCCGTTCCTGGACCTTCCGGTCCTGTGATGACAAGCTGCCAACAACTTGCTCGCCTTTCGAACTCCGCGCATGAGCGGGAATTTGCCTCGGTCATTGGGCTGGATCGAACGTCTGCCAAAATCAGCCGGATTGTTGTCATTGCAAGGAGCAGGATCGCGCAGCCTCGGATCCTGCACATCGGCGTTGCGTCTCCGGATGTACCAAAGTCCGCGGACAATCCGAGGAGACTGAGACGAGATCACGTTGATCGGTCAGAGATCTCACAGATCGTTGAAACTGGCACTTGAGTCTTGGGGACTTTGACCACGATGGCGAAGAGTGAGCGACGTGCGGCTCATGGAGTCGACGAAGCATGCCTGCCGATCCAGATGGTTGCGTGACCTTTGCTGTGTATGTTGTGCCGAGGTATGTCTGTGAAATTAGCTTCCGCATGGCCGCTTTCGCAGTTCCGAGGCCTCCCTCTCGAATTCGCCGCAATGATTGGCCAACCATTTCTTATTGATGATCGTGACAGGCACTGTCCTGCCTTGAACGCCGGCGGCCACCGCATAGCGGACAGCGGCCAGCGGACAGCGGCAGTGGCGGCGACAAGCACGTGGAATCAAGGCCCTCCTGCAGCTTGGCGTCCGAGTGCTCATTGAAGAAGCACAGCCCAAAGGCCATGTGGAATCGTCTGCTGTCGATCAGATAACTCACAAGCCATGCCGCAGCATCAAGAGGTACAGTAGCTCGAAAGGTCACAGGGCAACCTCGTGGTCGTCCCCACCCCTGCAGGTCATTCGCGCGGCTCGAGGTTCCTACCGATCTAGAGTTCCGCGAAGTCATCGAGAGCGAGGACACGACGCACACTTCAGCTCAGCGTAAGAGATACGCTATTGTTCACCGAACCCAAGTTGTTCAAGGGGCAGCAGATGGAATCGGCAGGATATTACTGTCAACGCAAACAGGTAGTTCGAAGACCGCATCTACTTGACGTGAGCAAGCACAGCGTGTAGCATCCAGCGGATGAATGTAAGAGCCAGTTGCATGCCATGGCGGTTTCGATCCCTGCGCATCCTGCGAGTCAAAACCGACTTTGAAAAGTAAATTTTTCCATTTTGATACTGTTAGGCCATGAATCGGCCGACGTACACGTGATTCAAATTCGCATTGCTTTTTGGCGGGGGAGACGCCCCGAGCCTTACAGGCCGAGAACGACGAATGCACTGCACGTCGTCGGCGCTATCGAGCCGTCGTCACCATCTCTTCAACCTCGACAAGATCAACAACATATCGTCAAGGTAAGCGTCGCCATCTTGGAACATCGACGTCACTAGCACGTTCCGCACACCAACATCCAGCATCCGGCCACGACCGCTCACCAACTTCTTTCATCCGCCTCTTCACTCTGCATCGCGCTGTACCACAATCACTCTATTACTCTACACAGATGAAGGTCGAGATCTGCGCATTCTCTCAGAGGAAGATCTACCCGTAAGTTGACAAAACGCAGCTTTTGAAGCATCCGTGGGCTGCAGTCAGTCATATTTCGCCCAGACATAGCACATATCACGGCAATCGACATCGTATCAACAATTCCCGACCTTGCAAAATCATTGGGAAGCATTCTGTCTGGTCGTGGGAAAGCGGCATGCAGGGAATGTCGTATTAGGCAACACTGTTCAGGATGCAGAAGCGATCAGGCTGCGTGGGGGACGCAAGCTAAGACATTGGACGATGTTCAGGCAATGACCCTGTCGGCTTATTAACAACTTGCTCTACCGCGTAGCAATTGCGCGGTTGCATCAACACCGTCCACGACAAAACCATGATCAGACGGCCTCGGCCATTCAGCACGACTCCGTCCCACCATTCCATTGAAAGGTTGCAAACTTTCGATAAGGCCATATCGACAGCTTCCTTTGGATTAGACCAGCGGTACCATCATGACACATTAGCACCGCCTTGAACAACAGCGCCCATTCTCGCCTTTTTGACTGCTCTACAAGGACACCATAAAGGACAAATCTCGGTCTCGTGTCGAAGATGCTCTGACGGGATGGGGATAGGCAGGACAGACCGGGTTTTGGAGCCAATCTTCCAGGGGAAACAGATGCGGATGAAATCTCGCGTGGCTTCCAACATCGACATACTGCAGCCCACCGATGCTTGGCAGCTTCTACAACTGCTGAACTGACACTGACCAATCGACTATCGCCGATCGACATGATACATACACCTGCAACAGTGGTAAGGGTCGTCTCTACGTCCGTGGTGACAACAAGGTAAGTTTCCCATCAGCACCAGATCGGATCGCAGGAGGCGATGGAGTCATGGAGCAAGCAGAAGGGACCGGAACTGGTTCGGACCACTGGAAGCATCCAGATCTCGGTGCGCCGGTGATCAGAAGCAATTCGGCCCTCTCTGTCCAAACCACCATGCGACATCCCTTCCGCACCATTCCATCGCACATATGCCTCCTCGATTGCATTGGCAAGCATCAATCATAACATGGAGAACAGTCAAACTCACTCTCGTCTCGCCTACCTATCGAACTACTTTCCACACCCGTCATAGGTCTTCCGCTTTGTCAGCTCCAAGAACGAGTCGCTCTTCTTGCAGCGCAAGAACCCCCGTAAGATCGCCTGGACTGTCGCCTACCGCCGACTCCACAAGAAGGGTGTCACCGAGGAGGTCGCCAAGAAGCGCTCGCGCAAGACCGTCAAGCACCAGCGTGGTATCGTCGGTGCCTCGCTCGAGCAGATCAACGCTCGCCGAAACCAGAAGCCCGAGGTGCGTGCTGCCGCTCGCCAGGCCGCCGTTGCCAAGAGCAAGGAGGACAAGAAGGCCAAGGCCGAGGTTCGCAAGGCCAACAAGGTCAAGTCGCTCGGTGCCGGTGGTGCTGGTCCCCAGGTTTCGCGACAGCAGATGAAGGGTGGTGCCGGCAAGGTCCGTGTTTAAACGCACGATACCTGTTTTCCCTTCCGACGCTCTCCATCATTTCGCCATGTCTTGGTTCTCACTTGCCGCATTTGTTACATTAGCTACGTGGGACTGCACCTCACAGTGTCGCCCATGAACCTGCATCCTATGCACTTTGAACGACTACATAGCGTTCGCATAAGCCACACACCCAAAACAGCAATCACACACCCAACGTGATAACTCGAGCTCACCTGCTTGGATTCGCATTGCCGTCTGTGTGCACAGACCGCCCATCGTGCCCGGTGATTCATGCTGCGAACAGCACATTGCGCCTCGATGGTGAGTTTAGCCAGATGAGTCAGAACGGGCCCACCGCCGTCATCGGGTTGCCTTGCAGCCTCTTTTGAGACCGCACACTCTCATGTCGTGCAGCCGTCCGTTCGTGATGAGGAGGGCAGCGTTGCTGCGTCGACTTCGTCGAGGACGTTATGGCTAGTCTTGTCTCGATCCACAGAAACTATATATACCAACCAGTCCTTTCCGCACAACCTCCTTCCCGTCCTCCTTGGGCGAGTGCGGTGCAGCAGACAGGCCACTGCGTCTGCCAAAGACCGTCCGCCCCTCCCTCGAATCCTCTCCTTTCTCATTCCGACTCATATCTCCATCAGCATTACCTCCGAGGATCAACACCTCAGCGTCTTCGAATCACTTTTCTCCTAACTTTTTGGTCTCGACCAGCGTAAGTTTGTCTGCTTCTCGTCCGGGAATGTTTCCCTCAAAGCCCTGACGTAAGCGTAACAAAATTAACTCCGATCTGCGTTGTTTTTCATTTTCTTTTGTTTCTCTTTTTGACTTTGCAAACAGGCTCTGGTCGGCCACGCCCGTACACAGGGTAGGACGTTCGAGCCAGAGGCGTGGTCAACGTCAAAGTGTAGCGGTTTACAACGAACGCGACAGGCATTCAGCCAGAGCTGTCGGAATTTCCCTTCCGGTCAGGGTTGCGCTGAGGAGCCGAGAGATCGCCGCGGTGCTGTTGCTGTTGCTGTTGTTGCTGCTGTTGCTGCTGTTGCGGCTGCAGCTCGCCCTTGATGATTGCCAATTTCAGTTTCATTCGATTTTGTGTGTGTGCGTATGATGGTCGTTTAAGTCTAACCTACCACATCTTGCTCCTCAACCATCCTGTCCTCAAAGCGACTTGACCAAGCGCCCAACGCTTTTTGATCGACTCGCAGCTCAACACATCATCGGCGTCCGTACGTCGTCGTTACACGACCCCGAGATCGGTTGAGGTGTTCGCGCACCCGTGCAACCAGCCTCCGCATCCTAGCTCGAGCATCACATCGAGCTTGCTTGCTTAGCCGGTTCCGACTGACTCTGTCGCTGCGATCCCGTCGCTGTGTCTCGCGACGATCGGGGCTAACACAACCTTGACGACAAGCTCTCGTCGTCGATTCGCACCAGGCTGATCGCTTTCCACCGCCAAGCCCTTGGATCTGTTGTATCCTTCTGCGCCACCGTCGAAGTCACCCATTCGACCACGCACTACCGAGCTCACGTCGACTAGTCTACCCACATACCATGGTGCCTGTCCCAGCAATCAACGACGCTGTCCAAACCGATCAACTCGCTACACCGACCAGCTCCACCAAAAGGTCGTCCTCCGCTTCCAAGCCGTCACCCGCCGCAAATTCGCCTTCTCTCTCCTCTTTCCTTAAAAAGGGTACACCCATTGTTGCCATATCACCACCCGCACTCGCAAACGTCAACATGTCAGCTGCTGCAGTCGAGCATGCCGACCACCACCGCAATTGGTCCGGCTTCTCGAGCCCCGACAGCTCGCCTGATGTCGAGTCAGCTGCGCCGAGTCTCACCACCGGCTCCACTTCTGCATCCGTGGAGAGCCTCGAATCTGTCCAGGACGCACACCAACGCAGTCTCCATGCACGCTACCAGGCGGGCAAGGGCGATGCTTCCTTTGGTGCCATCAATGGTCTTGCATACGGCGCAGCCGGCGTACAGGCCCCCACCAGCTACGAAAGCAGCCAGGACGGAGCCACGCTCATCCACTCCGAGTTCGGCTACTGCGCCAACCCGGACTATCGCTACACCTCCGAACATCGTCGTGGCGATCCACTCCCCAACCCAGTAGAGGAGGAACCCAGCTACTTCACCGTGCTGACCACCTACATTAGCTACATCATCCTCATCCTCATCGGTCACATGCGCGATTTTACCGGAAAGCGTCTCTTCCCAAAGAGCTACCACCATCTCGTCGAGCGTGATGGCTATGCGGCGCTCAACTCCGATTTCGACAGCTTCTACACACGACGTCTCAAGGCCCGCATGGACGATTGCTTCAGCCGTCCCGTCACAGGCGTGTGCGGCAGAACCGTCGTTTGTCTGGATCGTGTTGCTCTCGACTACTACCAAACATTCCGTCTGAACGGCGAAAAGACGCGTGCCCTCAACATCAGCGCCTACAACTACCTCGGCTTCGCCCAGTCGCATGGTGGCTGCGCAGATGCCGTCGAGACGTGTCTGCGCAAGTACGGTGTCAGCAGTTACGGCAGCCGCCTCGGCGCTGGTCATCTTGACCTGCAGAAGCAGACCGAGAAGCTTGTCGCCAAGTTTGTCGGCAAGGAGGACGCCGTTGTCATCAGCATGGGTTTCGCCACCAACAGCACTACCATCCCAGCCATCGCCGGTCCCGGAACCCTGATCATTTCGGACGAATACAACCACAGCTCGATTCGCTTCGGCGCTCGCCTCAGTGGCGCTCACATCCGCCAGTACAAGCACAACGACATGAAAAAGCTCGAGTCGCTCCTGCGCGAATGCATCAGTCAAGGCATGCCACGCACGCACCGTCCGTGGAAGAAGATCCTTCTCATCGTCGAGGGTCTCTACTCGATGGAGGGCACCTTGGTCAACCTGCCCGAGGTGATGCGCCTTAAGGAGAAGTACAAATTCCACCTCTACGTCGATGAGGCCCACTCGGTCGGTGCCATTGGCCCCCACGGTCGAGGCGTTTGCGATTACTTTGGCGTGGATCCTGCCAAGGTCGAGATCCTCATGGGTACCTTCACAAAATCGTTCGGTGCTGCCGGCGGTTACATTGCCGCTGACAAGGACATCGTCGACCGTATCCGTCTGACGAACCACGCCAACGTTTACGGTGAGACGCTCTCCCCTCCCGTTCTTACGCAGATCGTCGCTTCCATGGCTTCCATCATGGGCGTCGGCAGGGATCCCGAGGAGCTTGCTCTTTTGCCGAGCTGGGTGCAGCTGCCACGCAACCTTCTCGATGGCAGCGAAGGTCGCGAGCGATTGCGTCGACTCGCCTTCAACGCGCGCTACCTCAGCAGCGGTCTTCGCAAGCTCGGTTTCATCGTCTACGGCCACCGCGACTCGCCGATCGTTCCTCTGCTCATCTTCCACCCTGCCAAGATGTCGCTCTTCTCGCGCATGATGCTGGACCGATCATCTGTGCTGCCTCCATCGCAGCGTTTCGCTGTTGAGGAGTCGGATATGACCCCCGAGGAGCGCAAGGCGATCGAGGATCCTGCTTCGCCAGCCAACATTGATCGACCCGCTCGGCCACCGATTGTGGTTGTGGTGGTTGCGTATCCTGCTACACCGCTGATTTCATCGCGTGTGCGATTCTGTGTTAGTGCGTCGCATACCAAGAAGGATATCGATGATGTGCTGCGCGCGTGCGACGAGGTGGGTACGCTGCTTCATCTCAAGTATGGATCAGGTGGTCCGGGGGGTAGGTGGCCGGTGGATAAGGTGATCGATCGTTGTTTGGATCTGGTCCATTGGAACGGCGAGGATCCGATCAACTAGATGCACATACTCATATTGACGTACGGCATGGTATGCGGATAGAAGGTGTTCTCGAGAAGATGTTCGATGTGCGCTGAGCTTTCGCATCGGTGTTGACCTTCCTTTTCCATGTGCTCTCTTTTTGCTTGCAATGTATCACTTGTTTTCTTGCGTTGAGAGGTGGTTCGATGCAGCTGTACACTGTCATCCATCTTGTTAGAGAGACGTGGTGCTTAGCTGGGTAGAGTCGAGTCGCCGATGAAGTTGTGACAAGCTCTACGACCCGCATGCAAAGAAAGGTCTCGGGCCATGTAATAAGAGATGAGGAACCCTCTTGTTCGTTCAGAGATCATCCGAACTATGTGGATGCTGTCACAAGACGAAATCAACAATCAGCCCCGTGGTACAGTCGCCAGACCAAAAAGTGCGCTGGACAAGACCGAACCAAGGTATGCGATTGAATCCACAAACATTCTTCCAGTACCAAGGGGACGACGAACACACAGAGCCCATTCGCACACTTTCCAGCCTTCCACTATGTATTCTTTCTTCAATTGAACATGAACAAATGGAGGAAGAGTGGGTGACGAAGCTGATGATAAGATGGGGAGTGCTCTTTACACGAGCTTGCTGAAGAGCTTAGGCGCGGTGCACTCTTGTGCGCAGTGAGCGAGGTGGACTGTTGTTCGATTCGAGCAGAACAGAATCGAGAGTCAGTATGGTCCGTGAATGCATCGGAAGATGGAGAATGAGGATCGATGAGAACTTACAGAACTCCTCGATGCAGTTTTCACCCTCGAAACCCTTGCCCTCCTCGACACGCTTGGTGCACTCGTCAAAGTGGTGCTTGAGTGGAGCGCAGGCCTTCGACTTTTCGCAGTCTGTCGGAGCGAGGTTGATTGACACGTATGAAGGAATCAAAACTGTAAGTTTGCGATTCAACAGACCGTAGGTGCGAGTTGCAGCACAGCTAAAAGGAGCTGCAGACTTACCTTCGTAGATGGCAGGCGCGGGCTGCGGATCGTCAATGGGTTCGACGCGGGCGGTGCGGTTGAAGAGAATAGTGATATGTGAGTCGATGGTCGTGTTGTGAACAGTGTTCCGCAAGTAGCTCTGTACTTACGTCCTCGGGCTCGTCCTCCTCCTCTTCCTCTTCCTCCTCCTCGGCGTCCTCTCCTTCGGACTCCTTGTCCTCGGACTCCTCCTCAGCATCGTCGGAAGACTCCTAATTAGAGGTTCGGATTCAAAAGACATGTAAATTTCGTTGTTAGCAACTGCTCGATGCTATATTGGAGAAAGATTTGAGCGTGCCGAGCTGAGCGAAGGGTGGGCTGTGTGTCGGAAGAGCCGCGTTGGACGGGAAGCTTGTCGATGCACGGTGAATCGACACAAAAAAAACGGACGTAGACACCTATCGGCTGGTCCGATCCGCAGCGGAGCATGGTGATGCATTGATGATTGAGCCAATGGATCGACTCTCGAAGACCTTGACCGTCGGAGCCATCGCTAGGTCGGTGTTGATGCCGTAACCCTAGGTCCTGCCGATTTCATGTGCAAGGGACTCGCCTCCAGGTACGGCAGACGCATCGTGGTATGCTTGCAAGAGTGCGGATCGATTTGCGCCGTGTCGAGACGTGCTCATTAGGTCGGCGTGGTGTGAAGCGAAAGGCCGGACAACTTACCTCTTCGGCGTGAGCGACTGGCAAGAGCGACGAGAAGAAGCTCGAGACCGAGCTGAAGACGGACTCCTCGCCCGATGCGGGGAGCGATACTGTGACGGATGAAGATGGCATGTCGAATGCGGTTATGTAGGGAAAGTGTCGATCAAGAGGGATGAAAGAGATGATCACGATGATGATGGGAGGTAGCTCAAAAAGACAACCCTGGCGTTGGTGACGAGCAACAAAATGTCGAATTAGGATTCACCGCCGACAGTGACCAGTCTGCAAGAAGAACTTGCAAATGGCCACACCGCACATCAGCTTCCGGCCAACACAGTCCGATCCGTCTCCTTCCTCGAGGCAGCAGCAGACAGCAGAGAACGCGCCTATTAACTGGATTTGTAATGGGAAATCACTGTGATGCACTCACTCGCTTCGCCCCGGAAAGCGACGGGAGAGCCGTCAATTATTCCAATTTCCATGGCACGTACGAGATTTTGTTGCAAAACAGTGCAGAATCGATCACGATCAGATCGGTCTAAAACTCCTATCAGATTCACCCGATGGAGGAATTGCATCAACGCTCCCGAGTCAGCCTTGGCCAGGGTCGCAAACATAGCTCCTCAGACCGTTCCGTGATGACTCTGATTTTGCTCGCCTAGCAAATCTTATTTTGTAGGCGCTACGCACTCGGGCGCCTAGGCCCAGTCGGGCGCACCACGTCACTGACCGAAAAAGGCCCTAGCCATGTGAGAGCGTGCATGCAAGCATGGAAGCATGCATGCTGTGGCCGTCACGTCCGCTTCATGCTATCTCTCCCGAGATTCGCAACCCATCCAGATGGCGCAACACCGTTCGTCATCGGCATCGCGCTCGAAGCAGTCCACCTGACAATACGCAATCTTGTGGGCCCATTCAGCGACGCCTGTCCGACGCAAGAACACGCCTTTGCGGCCCGTAGGCTTGATATGCCGGCTTCTTGACATCCAGACCCGAGAGTTGGCTCATGCGTGAACAAGATTGCGATCTGGCATACAGCGACCCACCATCTCTTGCAAACAAGCCGAGGGGACTCTCCCATCCAACCTTTGCGCTTTCCCACCACTATCGACAGATATCGCAATCGTTTCTCTCCTCTCGCATCATGTTCTAAAGCGTCAGCTACGCCGAATCTCACCCTCTGCTCAAAGCCCAACTGCTTGGCTCAGCATCACACCGACGTAACGTCTGGCTCGACGCCAAGGCAATCTCATCATGGATCCTAGTCGTATGCGCTCTCCTTCGTCGGCGTCGCAGCCAATCTCCACCGCCGTAGCGGCTTCGTCCTCTTCGACATCGGCGTCCACGTCCAAAGCGAGCAGCAGCTTCAACCATATCCTTCGAACCATCCGAGGCGGTGGGCGGTCAGCTTCTTCAGCATCACCCACTGCACCGGGCAACGGCATCTTGCCCAGCACTCCGTTGGCACCCATCACCACTTCTCTGCCAGCCTCTCGCAATCCATTCGAGCCTGGCACCTCCGCCTCTCTCGAGCCAATATCTCCCTACGACCTCACTACCATCGAGCCGCCCCAAGGCGGTGCCTACGATGCGCTCTTCGATGACCTGAGGAGACCGCTTCCGGCGACAGCAAAGGAGCGCGACGAAGCAGTTCGACAACGTATACCCAAAGTTCGTGCACTGGCAGCTGCCGTCGAACGGCAGAGCGGCCCGAAGCCCATTTTTGCCGACGACGTCCCCCTCGCCGAAGTGTTCCGCCTCTGCACTCTGCTGCTCACCGCCGAACAGCCCCAAAAGCTCCGCATCGAGACATGCAACCTTCTTACTTTGTCGGTCAAGCTCGCCGATAAGCGCGCAGCAAACGCCTCGCCTGCTCTGACCGAGCTTCGCAACGGCGCTCCCGGCTCCCTCTCATCCAAGATTCCCGACAGCGACCAGCCTCTTGCATCCATCGATCGCGCCCTCTTCTACCGCCTGGTTCTCAGTGTCTCTGCCAGCGAGATCGACGACGAAGTCGTCGGCGACAATTCGCGCATCATCCTCGCAGGACTTCCGGCACAACTTGGCGCTCTCGAGGTCCTCGCCAAAGACGGTCGCGATGTCGTGGGCTTCCCTGGCCTCATCGTGACTCTGACCCGCTGGCTTGATGTAGCTTGGATAGAGGTGCAACGTATCCGTGCCCAGTTGCAACCCTACGTCGACGAGACCGGTAGGCTCGGGCGAGAAGGGGCCAAGAACGACACCGATGAGATGGCAATTCAGCAGACCCGGGCCATTTCTCAGCTATCGGCCGTAGAGCGAGACGTTCAGGTGTGCCTCCGCCTCCTCACTGGCATACTCAAGTACAGCTTTGCCAGGATCCCGCTCCCGCACGCCGAAATGGTGATTTGTAGTGCTGCAGAGCTCATCATTGGCGAGTCGAGTGCCAACGCTGTCACCCTTCCTGGGTCAGCCATTGGCTCCCCTCCGCTCAAAAGCACACCTTTGCTCGGTCCGCAACGCAGCTCGGTTGCGGCTACACCGTCCTCTCGCCGTTCCCGCTCGCGCGACGCAAGACCGCTGGTGGACGGATACTCGTACTATGGTCTAGAGACCATCAGCTCCACCCCTGGAAGCAACGAGACCTCACCCTCCGCTACGCCACGATCGTCGTACAAGCCCGTATCCATCGATGCGGTCACTACTCAGCTGCACGCTTCCGCGACCGCTTCTTCGGCCAAGTCAACCGGCGCTGCTCCAATGATGCTGGCAACGCTGGGGCCTAGCCGCCAAACAGCTGTGACGACGAGCACGCCACGGAAAGACTCCGAGCTCTTCGCCTCCAGTTACTGGGTTGGTCCGGAGCTTCACCTCGACGAGGTCCGCAGCTGCCTCAAATTGCTGGATGCCTCGCTTCGCTATGGTCATCTACCTTCCGCCTGCATCGACGTGGTGGTCAAGATGCTCTGCCGACTTCTTGGCTATTCGCGCATCGATCCCCGCTCTCCCGGCTTCATCCCATCAAAGGATGTTCACGAAGCGGATTGGCACCAAGAGGTCCTGCCTATTCTTTCAAACATCCTGAGGAGCCACTGTGCCAATGCAGCCATTCGATCCGCCCGCATCATCCTCACGGGACCTTCCGCATCGACGAAGGTTACGCAGCCTGAGGATCCTGCCGTCTTGGTGGGTGCCGTCAGCTTCTTCCGTCTGGCTTTTACGCACGTGGCGGAGCAGGAACAGCAGAAGCAGCAAGGCACGGCGTCTGCGACGTCAAACAAACCTCAAAAGGAGGACGCTCTTGCTCCATCCTTGACACTGACACTCATCATGCCAGCCTTGCGAGCCGCGTTGAAGCGACAGTGCGACGCGCTCGACCTCGAAGTCCTCGATCTCGTCTCGGATCTTCTGCCCTCCGCACCGCCCGCGACCGAGTCTCAGCTGACCCCATCCAAGCGCGCCACGTCGGAGCGACAGGCTGCTGCCGATCGTTCCAATCCACGAACTAGTAAAAGTGTCCGGGAAGAGCTTTTTGCACGCTCCGATTGGGAAGCGCTTCTCGACCTTACCATCGAGGCGAAGAGGCATCTCGAAGGTCTCAAGCTAACAAACGCATCATTCGACCTTACTTCGACGAGGAGCGGCACTGCATCCGGCTCAACAGCTGCCATCACTCCGAGCGCTGTCACGCAAACGTCGCCGGTGCTCGCAATGTTGAAGCTGCTGGACAAACTCAACATCGCTCATCCGCCAAAGGCTTCGTCAGAGTCAATGGAGTCTGACCAGAGGCCTACAGTGGATGGCGAGGAGGCTGTTCCAGCGCATTCGCCGCCTTGGACCCCAAAGTTGGCCTCGTTCCTCCTGACACTCTCGCCAATCCTCCCCGATGCCACCATCTCAAAATTGGTCCGATACTATTGGACGCAGCATCTTTGCCTACCGAGCAATCCCGACTGGCTTTCCAACATCCGAGCTCTTTTGCAAGCTTTCTTCTACCGCACACCGTCACGGACCAGCACATCTGAGCAAGGAGCTCGCTACGATCTCGTCTCGCTCGTTTTCGATCACGTGTACAATGCTGTGCAAGATCTGACTGCAGAGCGCGACCTGTTCATGACCGACATTGTCTTGCCTTTGGCGAACTCGACCCTTTCCTCCGAGAACGACACCCGCACAGAGTCTCTCTTGCGGTCCGTGCTTGTTCACGCGGCTGTCTTGAGCGGCTCTCAGATTCCCGGTCCGATCGATCCCGACACCGAGGCCGTGCAGAGCGCTACCGCTAATCAGGCTGACACCGACTTGGAAGAGGTCTTTGTCGAGGTTCGAAAGTTGCTTTGCAGGCTCGCGCGCTCGGCTCCGGCACACAAGACGGTCGCTTTCGAGACGCCAGCAGACGAGACTGAAGACGATCGCACAGACTCCCGGCCTACCCGTGGCAATCATCTCTCCGAAACCAAGGCTCGCAATGCAGCTCTCGACTTGATTGCGATCTTCAACCGTATGGCGTTCAGCACACCTTGGATCGCCAACTCGGTCGATCGAGACATTGACCTGTCCATCCGTCAGCGGTGGGAGAGGAAGACACGTGCAGGCTGCATCGCCATCTTCCGCGATCTCCTCGATCTGCTCAAGGTCAGACCAGCCTCCGGCTCGTCGTCATCGTCATCCGCTGGCTCCGCATGTACCTCGACCAGACTGGCGATCCTCGAGTGGATGCTGCGTTTGCGCACTGATCGTCAGCATCGTGTCTACATCACTGGCGACCTCGATGACCTTGTTTGCGCAAGCGCAGCAATCCTGATGAAAGGACCGGCCGCGGCAGACGACGGCCTCGACATGGGACGACAGCAGAGCTCAGCGTCAAATGTCGATGGACGCTCTCGGGCAGCTTCGAAAGCCGCACCTGTAGCCGTGCGGAGCGAGCGTGAAGGACGCGATACTCAGCGCAGCGCAGATCCCACCACCAGGTCAGTGTCACGCCTCCGCGATCTATCTCGGGAAAGAGGCCGATCCGAGCGCAGCTCCGACTCCAACAAGCGTCATGCAGGTGAACGGGACCGCAGCACCAGCCAAAACAGGGCACAACGTCCTGCGTCCTACGAGCATTTGTGGCGGCTGCCGCAGACCGTGTCGTTCGAGATGCCTGCCATCTCGCTACGCAGCGACATCATCTACACGTACATTCACGAGCGTAATGACATGGAGTGCTGTGCGGGCAACACACACCTTCACAGCGACAAGGACAACAAGCCTGCGCCAGTACCCGTGTCCGAATTCCTCGCCATCGCCATCGACATATTGCGCTCGGAGCCGGATTGGGAGGTTGTATCGTACCTCTTGTGCCACCTGCCCCATCAGCTAAGCAACAAGCACCTCTTCTGCGGTCCAAAGGCGCAGCTGCAAGTCTTGCATTTACGCAAGGACATCTGTCAAGGCATTCTCGATGACGCGCTCTTGCCCAAAGTGGTCCTGCCAGACGCCTTGAAGAAGACGGATGTCACCGCCGTGGTCTACGAGACGCTTGTCACCCTCATTAGTTATCGCACGCTCTTCTCGCGAGCAGAGCAGGACGAGATGGTGGACGCCTTCATCCGCGGCCTTAAAAAGTCTCACACGACCGCACGATCTTGCATCAAAGCTTTGTCGATCGCCTGTTACGAGATGCAGAAGAGCTTCACGCGTTTCTTCTCGCACATGCTGCTCACGCTCACTGCTGTGCGCTCCCACATGACCATGAGCGTACACATTCTCGAGCTCATCGCGACCGTGGCTCAACATCCATCTTGCTACGCCAACTTTACCGAGACCGATTACAAGCGCGTCTTCAGCATTGTGCTCCAGTACATCGAGTATCACCAGAGCCCAGAGGCAGCGACACGTGATGATTACCGTGCAAGCCCGGCGACCTTCTCGCTGTCGCAGTACGTGATGCTGATGGCTTTCTACAACATCTCGCTGTGGTTCGTCATCCTTAAGATTGGCGATCGACCCAAGTACCTCCCGTACATCTCGCGCGGTCTGCTCAAGGCAAACGAGGCCATGGAGGCGCTCTCGGATCAGACACAGGTGTGTTTCGACTTCCTTGCCAGATTCACCCACTCGAATGCCGATTCGAAGCCAAGAAAATCCTTCGTCAACCAGCTCATCATGGGCGCACCCTCAGCGGGCCCGGGTCGAGGTACAGAGGCCGCTCGTCACTCCAAGACGTGGCTCATGGGCAACGGCCTGCTCACCGTCTCGACGGCCAAGAAAGCTGGCTGGGTCGAGATCGTCATTCGTCGCCCCTCTGGGACAGCAACGATGCTGTGCAAGCTGGAAAACGTTCCGATGGGCATCCTTCCGGACGAAAATGGAGAGAAGGACCAGCTTCCGGCCTTGCTTATGATGAACCGCGATCCAGAGGTGATGGACTCTCCGACGCTCGATGCACCCACCGACGAGCTCACTGAGCCCACTGCAATGACAGAGGGCGAGCACACCCAGGGTACCACTGATAAGCAGATCGGAAGCAATGTACGCCGTCGCGTCGAGGAACGACTCGAGGTCAGTGATCGTCTGCGTGCCCGTCGACCCCTAGGACCTGCTCACTTCGGTCTGGCCCCTCGACCACGGTCCTCTTCCGTTTCGGTCAAGAACACTCGATCGTCCATTGTGCACTCAGGCGCGCTCAGCGACGAACTCGCCGAGAGCTCCCTTGCGATGCGTCAAGTGATGCGAGATCTTCTCCGGACGGCAGACAAGTCGTCAGCAACGATCGATGGGCAAGGCACCAGCAACGCTCCTATTACAGCCGCCAAGGCCAAGATCACCACGAAGGAGCCCGAGGTCGACCCTAGTTTCTTCGCGCTGCAACTCTCTACGTATCCAGACATGCTCCACGACACTGCCCCCATCCCGCTGCCAGATGAACCGGCGACGGCAAGGCTGATCAAAGCCATCGACTTTACCCCGGTGGTCGACTTCCACAAGATCGGCGTGCTATACGTCGGACCGGGCCAAGAAGAGGAAGTGGACATCCTCAGCAATCGCCACGGTTCACGAGCGTACACTCGCTTCCTGCAAGGTCTCGGTCATTTGGTGACGCTCAAGGGGCAAGAGGATGTCTACACGGGCGGCTTGGATCGTAACAACGACGAGCACGGCAAGCACGCTTACGTGTGGACGGACGAGATTTGTCAAATCGTTTACCACACCGCGACGCTGATGCCAAACGACGAGCGCGACCCCATCAGACGCTCCAAGAAGGCTTTGATCGGAAACGACTTTGTTCACATTGTCTTCAACGAGTCGGGGCGAGATTACAAGTTCGGCACCATTGCGGGCCAATTCAACTATGTCAACGTGTGCATTTCGCCGATGACGCGGGGAGGTGTCAATCTGGGATCTGCCAATCCGGACGATGCTGTCTTCTATCAGGTCACTCTGCAGCGTCGTCCTGGAATGCCGGATTTCTCGCCGGTGGGAGATGGTCAGCTGCTGTCGGCAGAGGCTCTACCAACGTTTGTTCGCATCCTCGCCTTGCACAGCAACGTGGCCAGCCAGATCTACTTGGATACGGGCGAGGCCATGCAGCCGTACTCGAGTAATTGGGTGTCGAGGTTGGGTCACATCCGACGTGCGAGACAGCAGCATCTGGCTAAGAAGGCCAAGGCTGAGGGAGTAGATCCGGCGTCGGTGCAGGGGATGTCGGCCAATTCCGCCATGGCTGGTTTGTATGATTTTACAAAGACGTTTTGAGGGCGCCGGATTGACGTCGAACCAAGTCATTGACCGATCGTTGCGTCGTGTGCGGGTTTGTGTTCAGATAGCGAAATTGGATCGGAATGTTGCCGATCAGGCTGAGGAAGAAGTTGCGACGCTCGCGAGGCTCCAGGACGGAATCCAGGCTCTCGCCGTCGTGAGGAGCTTGGTGGCGGCGACCCGCAACGCCTCTGTAGACGCCTACGATTGAAGCGGTATCGCTATCGTCGGTTTCGGAGTCAATGGTTGAGCTGCGGAGAGACTCGGTGCTGTCGATGATGCCGACCGCCTGAGCTCTGCTGGGCATTGCGAGGGAGGGGAGACCAGGCTCAGCGATGAGGATTGGTACCGAAGTGCGGGTGGGCGATGCGGGACTCGGCGATGCGGGACGGACTGGCGTCGGAGGCGGAGGTGGGGGGGAAGGCGGATGAAAGAATGAAATCGGGTAGCTCGACTCATCGAGACGGGCGGAGACTCGCTGAGCGAACTCGGCGGGTTGAAGGGGTGCAGAATCGTTGTTGCTCGAAGACATGGCGGCGTCGGGGTGTGTGTTGCTGAATGGAAAGACCGGATGAGCATGGTGAACTGCGGGTATATGTAGTCCGCATAGGGCCAACTAGCATGCTCATTCGGTCTTGGATCGTGCCGTCGGTTGCACTTTCTGATACTCCGCCTCTCTGGCCTGATTGAGTTCCAGGTCGAGGAGGCGTTTCCGCCTTTTCTCCTCCTGACGTGCTTCATCGCGTTCAACACCGCGATACATCACTTCCCGCTCTCTCTCCTGCATGTAGTGGACTCCCCACACCGTGAGGCCCGAGACGAGAACCGAGGCGGCCAAGGTGAGCTTGGCGGGTCGGGACATGGCGCTATCGAGGGGCTGCAAGTGTGCATTTAGCGTATGGTGGCTGATGATGCAGTCGGGACAAAGATGGGTGTTGGTCTTCCAAAAAACTTGAAGTCGCTCGGAATTCGGCATTACGAAACACCAAAAATGGAGATTTTCGCGTAAAGTGGAGATGTGTCTCGTTTCGGAGCCGTGCGCTGCGTGGCCTTGGACTTGTAGAGCTTGAATTCAACCATTTGAAATCGTCGAGCCAGCTGCGCTCCGCATACATCCTCACAACCACCATATCGCTGATCGTGCAAACTTTCAAAGTGTACGCTCTTTCTCGGCTGGACTGGACCGATACGATCGATACGTTCATTGCCAAGAGCACTCGTAGGACAACGCCACTGGTCCGCTTTCATACCCATACCCAGGCGCGTGTCACACGCAGTCGATCGCCGACGCAGACTACATATAATCACCCCTGTACGAACACAAGCACAAGCTCGAGTTGGCCTGAACCGATCCCAGGCACTTTACCAGCAGCAGCGAACAAGCAATGTCGTCAACAGCGCAGCCACAGCAGCCTTCGCCCAAGGCAGGCAGCCCGAATGACTTTCTCAAAGGCGTCATTGGAAAGAATGTCAACGTCCGTCTAAACTCCGGAATCGATTACCGCGGTGTGCTCTCCTGCCTGGATGGCTACATGAACATTGCGCTCGAGCAGACCGTCGAGTACGTCGACGGCGTCAAGAAGAACGCTTACGGTGACGCTTTCATTCGAGGTAACAATGGTTAGTATTCAAATGCTTTCGGTTTACAAAGCGATAGCGAGCCCCTTTCTGATTACTAATCAACTTTGCTTGGCTTGCAACAGTAATGTATATCACCGCTTTGGAAAAGTAATACCAGCACTCAGATCTTGCAGCATCCGTCCGCCATTGGCCCTTGGCCCTTAAGTCCAAATCCTTGCATCCAGCCTTCGATTGCAGCAGCAGCCCAGCAGTCCGACAATCACAGGAAGAGAGGCAGGCGTCATCGATAGCAGGATAGAGCGGTAGCATTAGGAGGTTTCAACGTCGGAATCAGCACTTTTGATTGAAGCCGCTTGGCACCGCGGATGACGGCTTGTGCCACACCCAAGTTTTGCCTCTTCACTTCTCGCAGCACGCAGTCGCGCAGCCTCGGGCTCGCCTCAACCTCGCTGCTGCTTCCTGCTGTGGTCTTCCGCCTGCTCCTCTTCAACCCAGTCTCGCCGGTGCCCATTTATGCGACAGTCACGCGTTGCCAGTCGGCCTTTCGCTCATGTCGGCAGCTGCACGTCCCGTCGACCCTCGCCTCTCAACCTCGCCCCTGAGACACACACACTTGTCTCAGGTGCAAGTTCCCCTGGCCGCATTCTGCAGTCCTTGCATTCGACGCTCTCCTACGCCTCTTTCTCTCGCTTCAGAAGCTTGCATGCTGCACAACGATCAATTGCGGGCTGCTGCGAGCAAAGAACGTAGTTCTTTCTCTGATTAGTTGGTTGGTCTTGCCTCGGTGTTGATCGATCTCTCGGTGGTCACGGAGTTACGGGGTTTGATGGAGGTTCGAGGAAGCAGGCGCGTTGATCAGACGCTTGGACGCGCTTGGCGTGTTGTCGCGTCTTGGGTAGATGGTAGGACTCACACTGCATTCAGGCCCGGCATTTCTGTCGCTCGAGTAGCACCTGCGAGAGGGGCAAAACCCAGTTTGTGCCAGTTCGCACTTGTCTGCCTGTTCGAGTCTAGAGGCCGCGAAAGAGCAGGTGCGTTCAGTCTCTTTGGGGCTCGGGGTGAATGCACTCGGCGGCTCCGTAAGCAGTTGCGCAAGTGTTCCGTGTCTGCGTCTCGCGTTCGAAAGATTGAGTCTGTCGAATCCCCTCTTCACGCCCTCATTTGCTTCCACCGCAGAGCTCGCACTAAAACCACTCTCCTCGCTCACAACAACTCAGACGCCCGCCCAACTCTCGCACAACAATAGGATGATCAAACATGATCGAGATTAAAGGCAATGTGTACAAAATGTGATCTAGTAAGGCCTCGCGTGACCACGGGAAGACGGTCTGGCGTACACCATCGGGTCGAACTCTCTCCTGGACCACTCTGAAGGCAACAGATACCGTTCCGAGTTGTGGGCTGGATGGGCTGCCGAAAGCGGTGGTAGTGTGAGCCTTTCACGATGCGCAGGTGCGATTCCGAGCCCGTCAACGTATCGCGAAGAAGGCGGCACTTCATCTCGAGCGTACGGATCAGGATCGTGTCCACGTCGCAGAGGCAAGTCGGACGCTGTGAAGGGGCTAGTTGGACCAGACCGCCATTGTGACGGCGAATGACGCGGAGGATAGGGACTACGGCTGCTGTATTCCGAGTTGCTGACCGCCAGTAGCCGCGGTGAGGGCGGCGTAAGTCTGCGCATTGGGGGTCGGTCTCGTGAATCGTAGGCACTATAGCGGGGATCATCTCGGGGATCGTAGGTATTATAGCGGGGGTCGACTGTAGAAGGAGGAGGACTGTAATCGTCGTACAAGCGTGCGGGGTGAGCGCCATGGTCGTAGGAACGAGAAAGCGTTGGTGCAGGACGCAGAGGCATAGGCGCAGGGGCTGGCGGATAGTTTCGGTTGTGCGGCGCGCCGCTATTGGCGGCGGCCACGCTCGCTGGAGGTTCCGGGTATCCTCGACCGAGCATGGATGGATGTGGTGCTGCGGACGACGAAGCTGGCAAAGGTGGTGCCGATGAAAGCGATGTGGCTGATAGGCGGCGAGGTGGATCATGTATGGGTCGAGCCGCGTCGTCGTTGGTGTAAGCAAGCCTTCCGTGCTCGATGTAGTCCGATGCACCTCTTGCGGACATACCGGCGAGCGGAGGGGCCGCTGCGGATCGAGTGCGTGGGGCATAGTCGCCATCCGTGTAGCGACCATCAACAAAGTCGTGTAGAGGCAGACGACGCTCCTGCATCGCTTCTTCTCGATGAGCGTACCTCGGATCCCAGCCGCGCGCTTCACGCATCCGCATCGTCTCTTCCTCCTCCCACGTTGCATAACGGCCAAGATGCGCAGCCTTGACATCCTGGTACGCAGACGCAGCCAAGGGCTTGCGGTCGTAATCGGCACGCTCGAAACGTGCGTCCGTGGAGCGTGGCATCCTGGACGGTGCGAGCGGCTGCGGGATCGGAAGACCCGATGTCGGGCCGATGTCGGAGGCCCTGGCGCGCTTGGGGCTGGATTGTCGCGCCAGCGGTGTGTCGTCGGAACCGTCGCTGTCGTCCTTGGTCCTTTTGGAGCCTCTGCGTCGTGAGCGAGGATGCTTGCGGACACGCACTTTGAGACCCTGCTCTGCAAACGACTTGGAGAGACGAGTGGACTCTTCCATGCCCGGGAAGCGCTTGGCCGTGTAGACGTGAAAGGGATCGGAGTAGATGGATTTGCAGTGATGAACCGAGTGTCCAATAGTCTCAAAGAGGCACAGCTTGAGCCTGTAGCGCCCTTCGACGCGGATGCTCAGATCTGGAAAGACAAAGAAGCCTTGATGCGAGCCGTCGATGTCCTTGAGGTGATAGAGGCACGAGACGCACGAGCCGCTGGTGTACCGCGTCTTGCCATCGCTGAGCAGGTGGAGCTCCTCGTCGGTGTCGGCGTTGCAGAGCATTGCGTACATAAAGTAGTAAGGATTTTCGAGGTACCACGCCTTGTCTTCCCAGCCATCGCCAAGGGCGGTGGTTACAGGCAAGCCTCTGCGTACGCCTGGCGTCTTGGGCGTGGTCGCACCGTGGCCAGGTCTCCTGTCGACAGGCGGAGCGACGGCAGCACCTTCGAGCGGATCGCTCTGACTGATGGGTCGATCGTGGGTGATGACACGCAGCTGAACGATGGGAGCGGGATCGATGGGCCTTCGATCCGCTTTTTCACCGACACCGCACATCCTCGACTGTTTCGGCTGTTCTCGCACCGTGAGTTGGTATTCGATCTGATCGCGACACGTTGTCATCTGCTGCACCGAGACATACTGATACGCGACGCTGCTCTCGGCAGTAGCACTGGGGGTGTGGCTTGATCCGCTGTCGTCCGCCTTGGACATGGCCGAACTTCTTGTTGCCGACGGAACCGACGAGCTACCGGAGCGACTCTCGGGACGACTCGTCATGGATGTGTGAGAGGCGAAGTCGCTGACGAGGATACGCAAGGCAGGTGCACAAGGAAGGGAACAAGAAGGAGGTGTGGCGGGAACAAGAAGGAGGTGTGGCAATGAAGAGGCTGGAGAGGCGCCTCTTATGCTGTCATGCTCCGCCGAGCTGGATGTCGTGATCGGGACGGTTGAGGCGAAGAAGGTACTGAGTGTGAACAAGTGCTGACGTCCTAACGACGATGAGACCAATATGCCGCTGATTCAAGTTCGGCGACAGATATGAGCGTGCGATGAAACTGCTACGAATGCTCGAAGACGTGAGAGATGAGCTCTGGCAAGGCGACAGGTATGTCTCGAGCAATATGGACCGATCGAGGACGGGAGAACAGAAGATGTCGAGGCGTTGCTGGCAAAGAACGGCGTTGGCGGCGAAAGATGTGCGAAATGATGACGACAAACAAGGCCCAGTGATGTAAAGAATGACTGGTGATAGCGGGAGACGGCTGCAGAAGAGCGTGTATGTCGTGAGTGGCCGTCAAGATGAAGGAGGAAAGGGGAAACGAGGATGAATCTGCCGAAAAATCTGACGATTCACAGTGAATATAAGGTGCTCGGGATGATGTGGGACGGGGCACGAGATTGATTGTCGACGGCAAGAGATGAAGTAGATAAGAATGGAAGAAGCGTGCAGGATGATGAATGGATGAAACGCAGGGAGGGGGGTACGAGAGGCAGGGACAAAAGGATGCAGGAGAACAGGCAGTCGCGGAGACAGAGAGATGAAGAGGCAGAGTCGGGGTGGGGACAGACGAACAGATGGGCAGTTGCACGAGGCGGACCAGCAACCGTCACAGCAACGGGCCAAGAGCCGCTCGCTACGCCAGACCCGCCGAGCAGGCAGCGTTCCAGGGAAGAGGTTCGCGTAGCTCGCTTGGGATCCAGAACACCGGTCTGCAACCTCGCAAAAAACGCGTTATTGCCAGAAACCTTCCGGAAATTGGGTTTATCCCGCTCTCGCTGACACACACACTACTGTACTTACACCCCCACGTCCACTCTCTCTGCTTCCCGACGTGAACGCACCTGGCTCATGACCAGTGAAGCGACCTGCTTCGACGGGGACGGAATGGCGGGTTGAAGAAAGAGGCATGTGTAAAGGCGACATTCCAACGATTGGTTGCACCATCCAACGAATGCTCGAGCCGGGGGTTTAGTGCTGTTGTAGTAGCCCACGAGCTATCCGGTGTCTGGTGGAGATGGCAATTTTGCTGGTTTTGCGTCGGCGTCTGCGTCGGCGATTGGATCTGCTGACGGACACATATGGGTGATGGACGACTTGGGAGTTGAAGCAGACCAAGAGTCGAATGCGCAAGAGGCGTCCTCAAGGTCTTGAACCACTGATTTGGATGTGCAAATCATGCAGACGGGCAGACAATATTATAATAATAATAGGACCGCAAAGCGATCTGGCGGGCCCACGAGAATCGAGATGCTTGGGCGCCGCGAGACCCGGTTTTAGCTTTTTGCAGGTCGACTCCACAGCCGAAATAAGGGGCCGAGTTCCAGTGGGAAGGTGATTTTGGATTTTGCATGCCCGACACGGAAAAGTCAAAAGTCGGAGGCGAGTGCAGCTGGAAGCGGTCGCCCATGCGCAGTCCCTCGTCCGCCAACGCCCGCTCCGCTGCAGAGTTTTGCCAAGCCCTCAGAAAACGTGCTTCGTTTTGGCGCGATGCATCGTCATCTGCGTCCTCTTTCTGCATCGGTGGCCGAAAGAGGGCGGCAACTGTTGTGCCAACACTACCGCGTTTGTGTGAGCTCGAGTCGATGAGGAGCTGTCCACAATTCGCGGTCGAGCGGCGGTCCCAATTGAGCAAATACAAGCCACTGGGTTGGATCTGCATGTGAAGGACCATGGCCGTGCTCGTTTCAAACCTGGACCTCATCACACCAAGAGTGTTCGCCCTGTAGATCGTTGCCGAGCATTGGCATGCAGCCTCGAACACGAAGTCGAGCGGCTCAAGACGTGGCGTTGCCTTCTCGCCTGTGACGGTAAACGGCTCCGCCAGATGAGCGGGTCTGCGGCAGCCCTCGCCAAACCCCCGCAGGCATCCGACCCCGATCTCCGGAAAAAATCGCCGCGAGACTTACGGTTGTCTGCTCAACGTTCCTTCCTATCATCCTGATCTTGAAAAAGCGACAGAAGCGCGGCAATGGCGATAGGCACGCTTTACCAGCGAGGTTCCCAACTGAATGCCTCGCAAGCTTCGTCGACTCTGCTCCTTGCACCAAGCTCGATCGCATTTCGATCGAAACCAACGGCTATGAACTTTGATTTCGCATGAGGCTGAGCTTAAAATCGACTCGGTTCCGCGCCAGGCACGGCATGACAACCGGGCGAAGACAGCATGAGATGGCTCTCGGACTCCGTCTCGGAGGCAATTTCGCTTCAGGCGATCGATGCCACCGACTTCCGCGGCTTAGACTTTCTTCGTCTGCCTAAGCCCCTTTCGACAAGTTCCTGGGCGCACTTTCACCTGCCGCCCCGCTGCGTTACTACCTCCGCTGTGCTTCTGGTTCCATGCGGAACGCTCGCTCGTCGGTCTGGCAAGAAGTTGGTACGCCGAGATGGCTGACGCCATCCAAAATGCTTCGATTACCCGCGAATTCAACAGGGTCACGGTGCCACTTCCTTCGGAACAGAAAGGCGGGGCGTCGTCGTTGCGAAACCTCGCGGCCGAACAACAGCATCAGTGGTCAAGGGGCAAAAAAACAGCGCACGTACATTTCCGCATGGTCCTGCGGCAGGTCACTGGACACGGTTTGTGAGTTGTGGCCCGTCTTGCGTCCATTAGCCCCCGCCACCTTGGCGCTGAGATGTGGTTGTTTGATCAATTCAAGGCGATGCGAGTCAGGCAAGGTGCTCGCCGCGGAAATGCTCTTCACTGTCGCCCTTCTCCTGATTGGCGGCCATGACCATCACAAAACAGGTCAGTGGTGCAGATGGCATATCGAGAGCCCTCGTCTCCGTTCGCGAAACGGCTGCAGCATTACAAAGCACTTCCAGCGGGTCAAGCGCTGGATACTCTGCTGTAGGCGAGACGGCGAATGCGTCAAAACGACCACTTCTCTGATAGTCGAGCGCTGGCATGGAGCAGCCGCTGCAAAGAAGAATACCCCGGCCGTTTGCTCACAGACACGAGTCGAAACAGGCCCGAGAACGTGTATGCAGGGTAAAGTTTGTTTACACAGGAGCGTCGTCTGATTTGTTCAGCGGGATTTGAAAGTCAATCGTCACGCGGTTGTTCTTGAACATGATGTACGTACTGCAGGATCCAGCCCTCCCTGGACCCTCGTTGTCGTCTGATTTGTTCAGCGGGATTTGAAAGTCAATCGTCACGCGGTTGTTCTTGAACATGATGTACGTACTGCAGGATCCAGCCCTCCCTGGACCCTCGTTTCGAGGCACAAAAGTCGCCGAATCTCCGCCAGCGCAGTCGGCATTGCCAAGAGGCAGCTCACTAGACTGATCTGCGTCGGTGTTGCTTGCAGAATCGCCTATTGTGCAGTCCAACTGGTCGGAGCTGCAGCCACGCACAACGGACCCTCGATGCATCGACTCACCCTTCCGCTGACAAACACGCAAGAAGGCTTTTTCAGATCGTCCGATGCTGCATCTGTGTCGGCCAGAGTCCTTCGTGTGCATGTATCTATGGATACCATCTGCGATATGCGTCATTTGGACAACGTCGAAGCGTCGTTCGGAGTCGGCTCGGGTCGGGTCGGGAAAGCTCGGACTCCGCGTGCTTCACCCGTGTCCGCCGCCTTTTTTGACACCAGTGGCGTCTGGCTGGCAGCCACGTGAGCAGCCACTCTCAAAAACGGCCACCCATAAATGTTCGAGAAGGGCTACCCCTTGCTCACGAAGGTTCGAAAAGGGCTACCCCTTGCTTTCTGTAACATTAGGTAAGAGCAGCGGCGCAGATGAAAATCACAAGTCTGATTTTCTGAGCACGAGGAGGTTCTTGCCGATTGGGCCCCTTGCAGCCATGAGCGTGCACGATACGGTTCAAGGGGGCTTCGATCTAAAAAATTGTGCTTGTGACTTCGGCTCCACTCGCTCCTCCGAAAGGGGGGGTCGACAACCTTGTTTGCTGCCGACTTCTGGGATGCAGTCAGACAAGCAGAGCACGGCACGGCCTTTAGGCCAGGAACTCAATCATGCAAAAGTAGAGTCCTTTCGCCGACTCGAGCCAACTCCGTCTGCTTCGGCCTGAGCCGAATCTAATCGGTACGAACTGTGATAGCTGCCGCGGTTCTGTTGGCCAGCAAGGAGGCCAGATAGCTTTCTCCGAGGAATGCGCTGATTACTCAAGCGCAGTGATGGCGAGAGGAACCTCTTTGGCTGTAGCAATGATGCAGTGTGCACGCAGAGAGACGAGGACGTTGATCGAGAAGTAGGGAGAGAGGATTTTCAAGAACCTCCATCGGATCCCAGGTACAGTATCTCCAATATTTACGGCATGAGTTCAAAGTGCATACCCGGAGCCCGTGATGATGTGATTGCAACCTGTTAGAGCGTCAAAACTGTTGGTAGTACAGCAACGATCGAAGAGACTGTAGTCGATCTTCGATGTCTAGACGTCGAATCGGGTGATGGCTCGCGCGGCTGAAGGATCACAGTTGCTGGCACAAGATCGAGATCTCGAGCGTCACCGCAACGTAGGTTCGAACATGATACGTACAGGCGCACCAACATGCAGCCGAACAGAGACGTGCCATGTGTGCGGATCTGCACCATTGCCACATTTGCTGGCTCATGTTGATATCCGAGACCTAGATTGTCAAATTGCACGCGATGCGAGGAGGATATATTGGATCGGTTGCAAATTGCTTATCTTCCATGTGATGACGCGGGCGCTGAGATGAACATTGGCGACGACAACATGCTGACGATGACGCTGCTCATGCTCGATTCTGCGATCTGGGAGCTTCGGGCTCGATCATTCTCCATGGGGTGGGCGTCCTCGTGCTTCGACATCGACCCATGCTCCGCGAACAGACTTGCGACCGGCATCACAAAGCCACGGTTACAAGACCCAGGGGAAGGAGGAGCATCGTGTACACTGACAGCCCGTAAGAGAGCGAAAGTGGCAGATGTTAGATCGCCTAGCTCCTGTCTTGTTTGTCGAGTTCAAATCGGGTCACTCAATCTGGATCTGGCCAGTAGCGAGCACTAAGCAAGGAAATGTTTGGAGCCAAGCCAATGGTTGCCCTCCATAGTCTCACTGTTTACTGGGTACAGAGTTGCTCTCTCCGTTGCGTCGTGTTCTTGACATTCGAAGAAAGCTGTGCGTCGGTGGCCACGATTTTCTGTGCAGCACAGGTGCAGCTCGGATCAAACTCCGTGGACCCTCAGCTTGAGGCGGTTTGGCGAAGTGCGATTACAAAACATGAACTGGTCAATACAAAACGGCGGACAAATGGGGCTCGGAGCGGGCAAGTCTCCGATATTGGCTTTTAAATCATATTTTATTTGCATTGCAGGCTTGCACGACTGCAGTGCTGAGCGGAGAATTGGAAAAGAATTTCTGTGTCATGACACATTGGACTGCGTGTTGTTGTGATATTTTTGAATGGCGGTACGGCTTGTAAAATCCGTGGCGGCTCGCGAGCTCCGGAGTGTGACAGGAGCTTGCAGTGGCTGCCTTGAACACTTTTGGCAGCTGCGGACAGACGATTCGGGTTGGAATCAATCACTCTCGCTAGACACGTTTCTCGCCAGCTGATCAATCACTCATATCGCCATCGCCCTCGCCATCACCATCACAATCACGATCACGATCGCCCGACGCACTACGCCCGGCCGTCAGTGTGCTGCTCACATCACACCGGTCTGCTGCTCAGACGCGCAACCATCTCCGCTGCCGCTGCCGACAACAGCAATCGACCTGTTCACGTCGACGATACGTTACACAGGCAACGCAAGGCCTTTTCTTCCACCACCTCATTGCTTCCTTCATCCGTAGCCAACGCCCTCCCGTCCATCGCAGTAAAGCTCGTCTCCTCTTCAAACCATTGGTAATTCAACCATTCGTTGCACTTTTTTGAGCGTTCCAACGGGAGCCGGCGTTGCATTGCATCTCATTTCAATCTCGTCGTGCATCTCTGTCCGACAGCAAAAGTCCGCGCGTTCGCAAGGCGCAAGGCGTTTCCAACGTCCCTTACGCAGGGTCGCCACCTGCATAGCAACATCAGAGCGAGAGCGCCCACGACTTGCCGTCGTCGTCTCATCTGTCGCCCACCATGTTTGGCAAACGTGGTTCCAAAAAGAGCCCGTCCGTTGCGCGCGACGCTTCGAAGCAGGGCAACCTTGCCTCCTTCCGTGCCAAGTTCGCCAACTTCAGTCTCGACCCCGATACCGTATTCAAGAAGAAGAGGCCACCACCCGCTCCTCGCTCCGTCTACTTCAATGAGCCGTTGCCGGAACAAGCCTTCGACGCCAAGGGGCGTCCCCAATACCCTTTTGTCTTTGCCAGCAATCAGGTCCTGACCGCCAAATATACCATCTACAACTTCTTCTTCAAGAACTTGCTCGAACAGTTCCGCCGCGTTGCCAACCTCTTCTTCTTGCTCATCGTCATCCTACAATTCTTCCCCCAATTCACAACCATCAACCCTGGTGTCTCAATGCTTCCTCTTCTCGCCGTGCTCGGCATCACCATGATCAAGGACGGCTACGAGGATTTCAAGCGTCATCAGTCCGACCGCAACATCAATCGTCTCAGGGTCAAGACGCTCACCGGCGGTGGTTGGCAGAACCCAAACGTCATGGAGGCCAACGGCAGGAGCCTCGCTGCCTGGCTCACTTCCATCAGGGACAAATTCTTCGGCGGAAAGAAGAAACAGTCTTCTCACCTGCAAAAGGAAATGGCCGAGAAGGCCGAAGCAGCAGCCGAAGAGGGTCACGCTCACCAGATCGCATCCCCCATCCCTCCCGCGGCAGACGCTCCCGGTGGTGGAGGCGCCACCCAAGTTCATTCCAGCGTTCCTGTGCCTGGCGAGGCCAACCTGCCCGTGCGCGCCTCGCATCAACTCGCTCGACGGACGACAACACGCCACAGCCAGTTCGAATCTGAATATGAGCAACTCGAAGATGGACGCATCATGCACGGCGGCCGCATCCTCAACGCCGACGAGGAGCACGCGTTCTACTCGAAGAAAGCGCCCCGATGGAAGCCAAAGACGTGGGAGAACCTGGCCGTCGGCGACTTTGTCTACCTCACCAACAATGACCCCATCCCAGCCGACATCATCATCTGCGCTACCAGCGAAGAGGAGGATGCATGCTTTATCGAGACCAAGAACCTGGACGGCGAAACTAATCTCAAGGCTCGCCACGCCGTACCGGAGCTAACTTCGCTCCGAACGCCCGAAGACTGCGCCCGTGCCTCGCTGCGCATCGATGCCGAACCCCAGGACACCAACATGTACCGCCTGAACGCCAGCGTCGTGCTCAATGACCGTTTCGACAAGAACGGCAACCCACTACAGTGTCCCGTCACTCTGAACCAGATCTTGCTCCGAGGATGCAATGTTCGAAACACAAAGTGGGTCATCGGCGTCGTTATCATGACAGGTTGGGACACCAAGATCATTGCCAACTCCGGCGTCACGCCATCGAAGCGCTCTATGATCGAGAAGCAGATGAACCCAATGGTGTATTTCAACCTCGTCATTTTGGCTTGCGTCTCCGTCGCATGCGCCATCGCCGACTCTCAGCTGGAACAGTACTACTTTGACCGCGACGCCTATTGGGAGTACGCCGCCATCTACAGCGACGACAATCCCCGTATCAACGGTCTCGTCGCGTTTGCCAACTCTCTCATCACGTTCCAGAACATCGTTCCGATCTCGCTCTACATCTCTTTCGAGTTTGTTCGCCTCGCTCAGGCCTACTTTATCTACGACGACTACGACATCTGGTACGAAAAGACCAACCGTCGCACCACCGCAAAGTCTTGGAACCTGTCGGACGACCTCGGCCAGATCGAGTACATCTTCAGTGACAAAACGGGCACGCTGACGCAAAACGTCATGATCTTCCGCGAATGCGCCGTCGCGGGCGTCATCTACCATGGCGATGCTGCTTCGCCTCAGGTCGGCGCTAGCGACACAACCACCACCGACGTGCCCACTGCAAAGAATTCCGACAAGGATGACGGCTCCACCAACGACGGTTCCGGCATCAAGGGTTCCGAGTCCTACCACGCAACCAACACCAAAGTCAACGTCAAGCCTCTCAACCCCGATATACCACCCTTCCACGATCACAGACTCGCTGAAGCTTTGCGGGACGCTGACTCGCAACACGCCAAGCAGCTCGGTAACTTCTTCCGTTGCCTTGCGCTCTGCCACACCGTCCTCGTCGAGGACCTTGAAGACGGCAGCATCGAGTACCAGGCACAGAGTCCCGACGAGCAGGCGCTGGTGCAGGCTGCAGCCGATGCTGGCTTCATCTTTATCGGAAAGGAGCGTCAGACGCTTCGAATCTTGACACCCTACTCGAAGGAGCCCGAAGTCTACGAGCTGCTCGTCGTCAACGAATTTTCGTCGGCCCGGAAGAGGATGAGCGTGATCGTGCGTCGGGAATCCGACGGTCAGCTGCTCATGCTGGCCAAAGGTGCCGACAGCATCATGTTCGAACGTGCTCGCCAAGGACAGGAGGAGCTCAAACAGGAGACCGATGCTGCGCTCGAGGAGTTCGCCAACAAGGGTCTGCGTACACTCTGCCTTGGTGGCAAGGAGTTGACTGCACACTTCTACGAGGACTGGCAACATCGCTTTCACCAGGCTTCCGTCTCGATTCAGGATCGCGAAGACAAGATGGAGGAGCTGGCAAGCGAACTTGAGAAAGACTTCGATCTGTATGGTGCCACTGCCATTGAGGACAAGTTGCAGGACGGTGTTCCAGAGACCATCGCCGATCTTAAACGCGCTGGAATCAATGTCTGGGTTGCCACCGGCGACAAGCTCGAGACCGCCATTGCCATCGGATACTCAACCATGCTGCTCACCGAGGACATGAACCTGGTCGTCGTTCGCGGCGGCGAGTACGGACAGCCCAATTCCGCCTACGAACAACTGCGGAAAGCCGTGGTTCGCTTCTTCGGCGGCCCTGCCGTGCTCCAAGAGATGGAACACCAACCACCGGGCGGAGAGTCCGAAAGCCGTCGATCGTCTTTCATGTCGCGTCGTCCTTCGTACAACAGGAACCGTCGCAGCAGCGTCAGTCAGGTCTCACTCGTTGGCGAGGACAACGGTCAACGCACCGGCGGCTTTGCGCTCGTGATCGATGGAACGGCGCTTGGCCACGCGCTCAGTGAAGAGTTCAGCAAGGATCTGCTGCTGCGCATCTCGACGCAGTGCAAGGCTGTCATCTGCTGTCGTGTCTCGCCCTTGCAAAAAGCCTTGATCGTCCGACTCATCAAGGATGGTCTCGGAGTCATGACGCTTGCCATCGGAGACGGCGCCAACGACGTCAGCATGATCCAAGCGGCGCATGTTGGCGTCGGTATCGCTGGAGAGGAAGGTCTGCAAGCCGTCAACTCGTCCGACTATGCTATCGCGCAATTCCGCTACCTCAAGCGGTTGGTGCTCGTCCACGGTCACTGGTCGTACTACCGCAACTCGGTCATGATCACCAACTTCTTCTACAAGCAGTTCATTCAGGTCGGCACACTCTTCTGGTTCCAGATCTACTGCGCTTGGTCCACCACGCAAGCGATCGACTACGTGTACATTTTGCTCTGGAACGCCGTTTGGACCGTAGCCGCCGTCATCTTTTTGGGTATCTTCGATCGCAACATCAATGACAAGGTGCTTATGCAGGTGCCCGAGCTCTACCACCAAGCACGCAAGCGCGCCTACTTTGGCCTCAAGCCCTTCCTGATCTACTTTTTCGACGGTATCTACCAGTCGGTCGTTTTGTTCTTCTTCTTCGCTTACTCCTACAACACGACGACCCCGCGCAACGACGGGTATGACATCAACTTGTACGAGTGGACGACCGGCATGGCCATCGCGTCGGTGTTGGTGGCCAACCTGTTCGTCGGCCTGAACGCACGTGCATGGACTTGGTTCATCTTCGTCGGTGTCTGGGCAGGCACCGTGGTGATGTTTTGCTTTGCGCCCATCTACGCGGCATTCACATCAACCTACTCGTACGGCAATAACCATTTCCTCTATCAGTCGATCCAGTTCTGGACGTTAGGCTTCCTCACGTGCTTCCTGGCACTCTTGCCGCGTCTCCTGGCCAAATGCTTCCGACAGTCGTACTACCCGACCGATGTGGACATTCTGCGTTATGTGGACAAGAAGAACAACGACCACGATTTCACCCGCGACCCCGCGATTCCACGCGCACACGCGGACGGCGCCATCTACTCTGACGCAGCTGGTCGACCGAGCATGACGCACCACACTTTTGCGCCGCTTGTTCGTGCAGCTACGTCTACGTCGAGAATTGATGGTACCAGAGAGGCAGCACCAACATCGGGTGTGCAGATGCACGAGCTCCATCAGACAGCTTCTCGCGCCAGCAGTACACACTACGACATGCTCACGGGCGAACAGCGACCGAATCGCGGCTACACGTTTTCGTCGGATGAGCCGAGAGCGGGTGGTTTGCACAAGAGGAAGAGTGTCAAGGATCGACTGGTACCAGACGTGTTCAAGAGGAGTTTGAAGAAGAACAAAGATCATAGGAAACGATTGACCATGATCAACCAGGAGGAGGACGAGGTGGCCGAAGAGCCGGCAACGTCTTCTTAGAACCGTAGAGGAGAGCCGAGCCGATTCGTATATCTTTTGGACCTTTCGTTTTCAGGAACTTGTCATTCGTTTGTTCCTTGCAATTAAAATGGGAATCGCATTGAGGAAGTGGTGCGATGGGTGATGCGAGTGGAGAGGACCGAGATGTCCAAAGAATTTGTGGTGAGACTCGTCATCGACAGACTGACGTGGTGAAGAGCGTGTGCCGAAGCATCGTAGCTGTAGCTACAAGGTTATGGAAACAAATGCTCCTGCGCCACCCCAACACATCCTTCTCCGTGGGGAGATGGGGCGAGCCTGAGCTCGGACCCGGGGCTGAAAATGAGGAGGTATCCGCAAGACGCAAGCTTCGAGATGAAGTTGAGCATTACGTTTTGTCACCATATTTTTTTGTGCTTTTCTTTTAATTTATTCATCAGAAGATCCAGGGAAAAGGGCCACGATTTTGGTGAAGTCCCTATTTCATCTCGCTTTGAGTCTTTTGCGGGACCTCTGCGCCTTGTCATCTGGTGGGGGTTACGCTCTTCGCTCAGTTGTTGTTCAAGCGCTGTCCGTTGCCATCAGTTCAAGTTCACTGTGGGTGACACGAGGAGGTGCGAGCGGCGGCGGGACTGTGAAGCAAGGCACGAGGAAATGAACCGTGTTGAACAGGTGACACCGGCACGACTGTTTGTCATGTGCAACCACACAACTCGGTGCCTCGATGAGCGTGAGACCCACTCTGCTCTGTCCTCAGATCAAAGCTCCTGCAGCTACCTTGACGCAGTGCAAGAGGTCAAATGGCGGAACGAAAACTACATATACCTCCTCTTCGCCCCCCGGGCCGCTCCCGTCACAAGCTTGCAGGAACTTTCCTTGCTTCCTCTCCACCTAATCTATTATCACTTGGTCACGCCAACATGTTTCTCGAATCCACCTTCATTCTCCTAGTAACGGCATCTTGTGCGACGCTGGCGTCGTCCACGCCTCCCTCGTACTCGATCCTCGTTCCTTGCGGCGACTCTACCTCCGCTCACGCCATCGTCCCTGATGCCACATGTCAACAGATGTCCCCCAACGGCGCTTTCAGCGTTGCTCAACTCGGTCAGCTTGATGCCAACACCAAGATCGGATTCTCTGCTACCTCGGATTGCAAGCAGACGTACACGCCGGACTTGAAGGAATTGATGGCGCTGGAGAAGAGTCAAGCTTGCACGGGGTATGTCGTCGGTGACAAAGAATCGAAGGGAGTTGTCCCTGAACAAATTGCAGACAACAAAAGTGGAAGTGACGCGAAGAAGAGCGACAAGCAGCAAGCTCAGCAGGGGTCTCAGCAGCCAGGTTCCGCAGAGCAAGGTGGTCTGGTCAGGCGCAACAATGCGCCCTTCAGTGGTTTCTTCAAGAAGAGAACCACTGATGAGTCGCACATCATGATGCCAGCGCCCGCCGACCTGGGCGATGGAAGCAAGCCTGACGTGCCTGCGAGTCAGAGCAAGGGTCAACTCTCGTACGTGATGCTTGTCCAGGCTTGAGGTGATGTACGCGTGACGACTTGAACTGCGAAAAACAGAAGCATTCGTGCCTCATCACCGATCCCAGCACTTGTCCACGATTCCTGTTCAGTCTGCAATATTACCCGACTCCATTTGTTGCCGCAGGCAGGCTACTAGATTGCACTCCCCTAGTCCCCCATACGAGGTCGCATTGCGACTCCTTTCGCGTTCGCTCTCGTCGGCGTTTCCGGCAAGTAGCTGTGAGACTGACAAGAACGGATCTCGCTTTCGGAACAAAGTGCACGCGAGCATTCCAATTGGCGGTACAGTTCGCCGCTCAATGAACGTAACGAGAAACGATGCAAGAAGCACAGCTGTAAACCCCGCCCTGCATGCAGAGGTTGGTATGCATTTTGCCACGAGTGAAACTTGGTCGTGTGAACATTCCATCGTGTGCCGAGTGCGAAATTCTAGTAACTTAGTGTCAAAGCGGTACAGCAACGTTTCAAGGCTGCAGGCCGATCCCGAGGCGACTGACCAAAAAAGTGTGACGAAAAAAGTGAATAAATGGTCACGGTCTCAATTCCCAGCGACGCGTCTGACACGGGGCGAGACGCGTCGACAAACATGGAGCGGGACAAAAAAGAATTTTTACCTCCTAGCGAGCAAGCTAGACAAGACCAACACTTCTTTGGCTTTTGACGCCTTGAACCCTCTTCTTCCTTTGGAAACTTTGCGTTCAGGTTCAGTGGCCAAAAGCGAAAGTTCAGTCAGACAAGCGTGACATCTCGTCGGTGAACGTTGACCATCTCAGCGGTCGCACGGCTTTGCTGAGTTTGTTCTTCCGCTCCGCCACACAGAAGCGGACAGCTTTAAAAATCGATATCGTGACGACACAACGTGCATTGATTGATAGTTTTAATCGGAGGACGAAAGTGCGCCGCTTTTGCCTTGGCGATGCGAATCTGGTTGCCAGTTCGCTTGCATTCCATGGTATCACCTTCTCCTTATTTTGACGATCGAAGCAATCGCGATCGGCCTTGCCATCCCTTGATACGTTCGCAGGAGAAACAAGGGGACGAAGCAAGGTGGTCCTGCAAGCGAGCAACCTTGTGATCGTGACATTCGGATTCCAGGGTACAAATGCTGTTGCGAGAAGAGCTGCGCATCCTGTGTTGGTTGCTGCGCATGCAAGGATGCATGGATTTGTAGTGTCGCTCGGCGTTTTTTGATGGCCAGCTGATTCGAAAATTGTATTTGTGATTCGAAATTCGAAGATGTGATTTGACTCAATAAGAGCACCGTGCATGACCGTTCCAATTCGGAAGCGTCAAATGTCCCGTCAATTCGCCCTAAGTGACACGATCACGATGCCATGCTATGCGGGCTGTGTGCCTTGCACTCGCGAAGGCAACATTCCCGGTCCTCACGGCTTCATTTCGCCTCGAACCAGGCCGGTGCATCGGATGGTCAGCTCGGTTCGATCTTTAAGACTTCGCCGTGGGTGTGCGCTATTGCCTCGCTTCGAACCGCACGATGTAAGGCGAAACAGTGTCCACAACACACTCTTGCCTCGATTCGCAACGACGTTTCGATGGGCAAAGAAACTTCATTGTGTCCACCTCGGGGTACGTCGTGGGATGTCCACGAGCATCGAAGCTCCAACGACAAAGGAATCCAATATGTGCAAGGCCTAGCCCCGCCCGAATTCATGCTGTCATACAGCATGAAAGCCTCTCCCCCTTTCCCGCCCTGCTCGCTGTTGTACCTTGTCCGAGGCGCGCAACTTTCCAACTGCTTTGCCGCCAATGAGGACGAGTGCATGCTTGTTTGAGCTTCTTTGCGGTCTGATTCTGTCCGGATTGCCGCCACCACCGCCGCCGCCTCTTTGTTATAGCACCAGACACTACACGCGTGAGATTCGTACCGCGAGAACGTTCGGGCTCCGCTTCATAGACCGTCAGAGCCACGATTCTCCCAAAACGGCCTCTTCGCCCTCGTTCACCGCTCGTCGTGTTCTCGCCGACCCTCGTTCGTGGCTGCTTACACCGTCTCGCCCGGGACTGTCAATGAGCGCGAACTGATTCGTTCCTCCGCCCCTTTCCCTTGGTCCCTTCTCTCATATCCTTCCACCCCAACATATCAGTGCCATCCGTACACCACGCTGTCCACCACTGTTTCCGACAACGTTCAACCTTGCACTTCGGCAGACAGCGCAGCAACTATCGACACGTCGAACCGGCCCGTCTAGATCTGCGCATACCCCCTAAGCTTTGGCGATTAGCGTTGGAGGCAGATTCAGAGCTTGTCTTGTTCTCGAGCCTCTTTCATCAATCCCGGGCCTTCACCCTCGACCACATCCCTCAGCCTAGCACTGCTATTCGCGCATCGACCTCTACATGTCTCAGTGAAGCCCCGCATACAACCGACTCTGCGAACCTGTGCTTGCTCGTGAGCCAGCAACATTCGAATGTCTGCCAAAATGGGATCCAAACACAAGCCCAACCTCTCTCAAAGCTCCAACTCGAGCTCTGAGGATGGCACCGCGTCTCGCTCCAGCTCCAGCAGCCACGCCCAGCCTTCGACCTCCCAATCAACTATGAGTCGATGGGAGCGTCTTCGTCGTCCATCCGCTGCCAGTTCGACCAAGAGACCCAACTTTAACGAGTCCAGCCGCAGCAATAGCACGCACAGCAGCACCGTCACGTCTCCTACCAGCTCCTTCTTCCCACTACCGAGTCCTCTGGGACCACCATCGCAGGACATGATGCGCACTGCGAGCGACGACAGCTACATGCACATCTTGGCGGCTTCCGCCGCAGCCCGGAGGGCAGCGATGGAGTCGGGTGCGCCCGCATCTGATGCAGCTTCCGTCATGTCGTTCACCTGCTCGCTCAGCAAAGAGTTTGATCGTCAGCGAAGCGACGAGCGCTCCTTGCACGCATCGCTGCACGATCTGTCTTCCGCCATGGCAGCTGCTAACAAGATACAATCCCAACAACAGGCGCAGGGGCTCGACAAAAAGCAAGCTTGGCTCGACACCACCTTCCACAAGCTCAGTGCGAGGTATCGCGCTCCCAAGAAGGGCGCCATCTCCAAGACACCGGTCCGACCCACCAAACCTCACTTTCTCGATCTTAGCTCCATCATCTGCCCGACCCCAGCACCCTCAGATCGCAGCAGTGCAACCACGGAGGATGAAGCCGAGGCTGGAGACAGATCTTCTTCTTCGTCAAGCTCGTTCAACTCTGGTCCTGATTCGTCCTTCGAGGCCATGTCCGGCTGGGATGATTCTTCGGCGGACACGAGTATCGAGTTGAGGACGCCGCAGAACGAAGAGGATCGTCAACTCTCTTGCAGTGCTTACGACTTTACCACACCTCGTCCTTCCCAGATGCAGCGTTTCGCATCGGCTCAAAGTGCAGCCGCTGCCTCGGTAGCAGCGGGAATGCGCCTGCCCTCGCCACCGCTCATCTCTCCGCTCATGCCGAACTTCGCGCTTCCGAGCTCGGGTGCCTCGACACCCGGCTTTGCTCCTCCCATTGCCAACAACTACGGCTTCCCCATCCCACCGCAGATGAGCGGTCGAGGTGTTACGGTCGACGACATTCAGCACAAGCCTTCGAGTGTCGCGATGCATCCCAGCAACACACTTGGCGTGCCCCAAACGGCTCCGATTTCGGGAATGCGTCAGCTGCGCAAGCAGAAATCGTTTGACAACCCTGCCGAGCTACGACGTCGACAGAAACAGGAGTGGAGTGTCGGTGGACCGAAGCCGCCTGGATTCGGCGGCAACGCAAAGCTGACCATCGGCATTCCTCAACCCCAGCAGTTTAAGCAACCGTCCCAGCATGGTATGCTTTCACCGCAGAGCGCTATGAGCCCGCCCGCGTCGTTGCTTCCGCTCGACTCGCGTCAACGTGCTCATTCGCGGGTTCGATCGCCACCTACGCACGAGGCGATGCTACCTCCGCAAGCACCCATGCACAGCCGTGTTGCTGAAATGCAGTCTAGACCAGGAGCGATGCAACGAGGAATGAGCTGCGACGCTGCGGGTGCCTCCGTGCAACAGCACAGCGCAGCAGTCACAAAACCTCGATCTCCGCCGCAACGACCGGGTCTTCTGCCTGCAGCTTCTACCGGCGCGCTTCGTACGCTGCACGGTGCAATGATGGGCTCAACGCCAGCGGTGAGCGATTTGGACGCTGCCTCTTCCACCGGCTTTTCGACATCCGCTAGACAGCCACGACAGGAATACGGGCGTCGCATCACGTCGCCTCTGCAGTCGCCTGTAGGTGGTCCGACGCCGCTGCCCCCTCTGCTGCCCGCCTCAGGGCGCGAGTCGTTCGGCTCCTCTGTAGGCACCGAGTCCCTCCCGCCGACGCCTTTGTCTGCGACGTTCCTACGCGGTCTTCCTCTTGCAGCCGTCGACGAGCGTGTGAAGCCGTCCGGTCCGAGTCGCGACGCTCGTATTCCGCACGACCTTCAGCAGCCATTGCCTCAGGGATCAGCACTCGGTTTGACGCCGGGAAAGATGGTTCGCGCGTACTCTGATTTCTCTCACGCCGTGAGTTCTGGCCAACCTGGCCCGATGAGAAACCACGGATCACGTCTTCGCAGAGACAGCACCAGCAGTCAGGACTCGAATGACATGGAGATCATGTCTCGACCCGCCTACACCACCCAAACCACGCCTAAGCAGAAGATCCGACCAGAGTTGCGCCGCGAACATACCTCCAACGCCGTCCTGGTCAGTCCACCCAAAGACGCTTCTCGGATCGACCTTCGCGGCGGACTGCTGCACGAATCTCCTCGTTCGGCTTCAGCGGCATCCGCAACCATCACACCGCGATCGTCGAGTCTGAAGGATTTGGTTGCAGCAGGTATGCCTGAATCCCACGGCGAGAGGGCGAGTTTGGATTCAGACAACTCGGACTCTTGTCTTGCATACACCAAACCTTCACCCCTGATCCAGCAGGAGGATCATATGTCGAACAACCACAACATCACACCGACCAACTCGTACAGAGCCGATCTGGGAGCAGCAGCGGGATCCAAATGGAGTCCGGACGACAGCCCCGCCAACACCGTGAAGAGAGGTGGCGGCAGGCAGAGGGCCAATTCGAGGGCGGATGAATGGGCGGCCAATCTGAGAAAGTTGACCAACAGGGGAGGCGCAAATCAACATCCTCTGCCGACGACGACTGCAGGAGTGGGAAAGTAGTAGCAAGAATGATGCTCCGAGAGAGGTCGTCTGTATGAGGTCTATCACTGTATTTTTATTCGCAAAGCTCCACGACGGGCTTGCGGCGATTCGTTTGCTGTATCACTGTTGATCAATCGATGTAATCCTAATCGCTTCCATGTTTGTTCTGATGAGTCTTCTTAATTGCTCTGATGTCTGTTCTGACGAGGTTTGGGATGATTGAACAGGTGTAGCCGGGCATGTATTTGGCACGAAGCTATGCAGCGCATCTTGGTGCACTTCGAATATCGGACGGCCCGCGCTTGTTCACATGCGGGGTGTTCTGAAAACGATGAGCAATCGTGCTTGCAGACAGCGGCCAAAGGATCTGTGCTCATCATTCTACTTGGAAAGGATTCGTCAACTCAACCAATCATCACTTGAATCAACGAAAGATTGTAACGTTGCTGGATCGATTCACATTCCTGCTAGCAAGACTGACCCTGAGCAGAGGGCACAAGGTCGATGGGTGCGGTCAATGCACCGGTGAAAGCCGATCTGCCACTGACACTGTCTCGCCCGAATACTCAGGGTCAGCTAATGCGGAGATTCGCGGTAAGACGTGTCGAGGTGAGCTATCAACCAGGATGTTAGAACTGTCGAACTCTCAAGCGCTGGAAGAAAGTTCTCCAAGACTTTCGCATGAGCGCCATTCGCTCTTGCTTTCGAAGATGTCCAATCCTCGTTCGTGAAGAAGCAAATCGATAAACAGTATGGCAGGCGTGGCACAGTTGCCAATGTTGAGTCTGCTCACAGTGAATTGGCTGCATGCCCTTGTCGTAGTGGATCTCGCTCGCCGCATGGACTGGACGCGAGGAGCATCAATGCGTGACGTCGAACCGCAGCCTCGCACATCTTGCGTGCCTTCTGATCGGCATTCACGACTGCCGTAGATGCATGCCACCCGATTGGGCTTCGTCTCGAAGGCCGCTTCGTGCGGTACGCCTGCAGACCAGGCGCCCAAGCTGTGCAAGCCGTTTTTTTTTTTTGGCTCTGGAACCCGATTCCTGAAGTTTTGCCGAGATGCATCTGAGCTATGGGTCTCACCCGAACTCGCTTGCCCAGCTTGTGCAAGCCGATGTGCGCGAAACTCCGCTTTGTCGCTAGACCATTCCTGGGAATTGGACGCCACATTCGCGTCGCTGTCTCTCAACCATGCCGTTTCACGTTCGAGCCGTGGAGCGAAAAGAATCACAGAGTACGTCAGAGCAAATTTTGCATGCACACCAAGATGAGCGGCGTCGATCTCAAAGAGAATAAGAACAAGCGTCCAGCAAGATCCCGGAACGGGACAAACACGACGCCGAGTTGCGACACTTTCACATACGTCCCTGTGGCGCCTCACGAGGTGTTTGAGAGACGGCATGTGACGCACATGGTCCTACAACGAACCGAAGATTGATACAAAAGCCACGGTTATGCAAAAAGGCAGGAGCATGGGAGAATGCGAGGGGGAATCCGACTTTCCATTTCCCTGAGCAATCGCCGCAACGGCGTTTGCGGGCTTCGCTGTACGCCATCTGCGCCATCTTTACTAGGTCACACGGACACGTTGGAGAAGGAATCGTGTTGAAATCAGTGTCTAGCGCAAAAGCAGGACCTGCACGTCTCCTGTCGATGTCCATTGAAGTCGATCTCGGTGCAAAGACAAGATAGAGCCCATAGAAGCGTAGCTCTGCTTTCGAAGAATTTCCGGTAGTCGCAGGATCGCTAGCGACAGCAGGTGGCGACTTGGAGCCATCCCGGTAATGTTAGAATTTGCCGTCTGTTCCGCCTCATGGTGTACCTGGGAACCGGCAATTTGATGCACAACGAGCCGAAAGGCCGCCCATCTCCCTTTTGATGTACTGTGTGAGCCGTGCCCTTGAGCACAAGCGAGAACGGTCGTCTAGAATCCCCGCAGTTGATCCACCATATGCCGAGGCGGATCCTTCCTTGAATGGACGCGATGGCAAGGGCAAGAACGCACCGTCTCGCTGAGGCTAATCGGCATGAAGCCAGCTAGCTCTCTCCAAGAGGACGTGGCAAATTCGAGGAGCGCCATCTAGATGGCGGCGTCTGTGTCGATCAGCAAAGGTTGGGATTTTTGGCTTGGCAAGGCACTGCACCACCCCATCGGATGCTTGAAAAGATCTCCTCTCCGGCTCAGTCCACCATCGTCCTTCTCGAATCTGCAGCACCCAATTCGCTGCTAGAGACCATGGCTAGCGTCGGTCGAGTATCGGAACTACCTGTGACAATGAAGCGTATTTACGGGAGACAGGCTCGGCCATGCGAAACGCCAAGGCTTTTTTTCACTCGACGTCAATCGAGCGTCGAGACAGATGCTGTCATTTCTGAGAATCCTTTCTCAACAAGACTGAAGAGACGGGCGTGTTTGCGTTCGCGTGTAACGCGTCACGGCTGAGTTTGTGCTTTCACCTTGTGTCGAAGCCGAAGGAGCTCAAGGGAATCGAAGAAAAGGTCAATGAATTATGGAACGAGGCGGGACCCTAGAGCGATGGTCGTGTCCACCACGTTTGCCAGGTTGCCGAATTGATGACCGTGTGGAGGCATCTGTTAGCTGTTTCCGTCATGATCTCGACCTGCAGCCGCAATGCAGTGCGTGTGCGTTCCCTCATGCGCGCGTAAATCCGTGAGAATTCCCGAGCTGCAGTAGCGAGGCTTTCGTAGGGCTCGTGCCCCGACTGTCCGGGACCCTGACACCCTGACCGGGGTTTTCAAGCAGAACGTTGCGCGTTTTAGTTGGTACAGTTACTGAGGGACGGTACACAAACGGGGGCAGACGATTCGACTTCTATGCCGGTGTCCAGGTGCGAGTACGTACTCACTGTACTATCTACCAGTATCCGCGTTGTCAGGGTCATCCTGAGGCTTGTTCATTCGCGACCTGCGTGGCTGCAGTTGCGCCCATTGCCCATCTTCTAGAGTTCCAATTGACGCTGCGCCCCGCCCCCCCCCC